GAGCGTGTGCTGACTGCTCGTGGTCGAATGCCGTAGAGTTGTGCATGTCGTCAGAGTTCTCAGGCAAAGATGAGGCACTGGCCCGACGCAGCCTGCGTGATTCGGACGGATCTTCGTGACCATGGCGGGGAACTGATGAATAGGAATCTGGAGGCAAGATTTGGAGGAATGGGATCGAAACGAAGGTGAGAACAGAAGTACCGACGGCCAGGAGAAGCAAGAAGCGGCCAGTGTCGCCCTTGAAAACAAACGTCGAGATATTGGACCAAAATAATGCACTTAGTCCAAAAGCGGCCAATGGCAACGCAGTCGCAGTGCCGCGGTTGTCAGGAAAATTAGATGCAGCTGAAGAGATTGATGTTTTAGTACCACTGCGATGTATGGATATAACCACATGATTGTGAGCACATACCGGTCTTGATCGCTCCCGAAAAGGCTCCGCAACCACCAGTACCTGTCATAAAAGCGAAGAAGCATAGGAAAATGATCGGGACCGAACCCTCTCCGTGTTGATAAGCTGTCGCTTGTTAGTGTGAAGTATGAATTGGCCGGCAGATAGGAGAGCCTACATAAGTAGATCGGGTAGTAACCAATTGCAAGACATATCGAACCGATCAAGGCGATGAGTCTTGGGCCACGAGCATCGGTCAACAATCCCAAAGGGAATCCCATGGCGTACATGCCCAGATTTCCAGCAGCACCCTGTAAAGCTGTCAATATGGAGGGCATTCCTTTGCAACTCCTCTTCCAATCAAAAAACTCACGATGAGGTTACTCTGGGTAGAGGTGAGCTTCATCTTGTGGGCGAATTGTGGTGCCCATGCCGAGTATGCATACTATATCGAGTGTCAGTTATCAGCGAGGCAAGCTTGAGTACGCAAAGCCGAGAATGACGCACATTTGTTCCGCAGGATAATGCCACCAGAGTCCCCGCAGCCACGGAGATGTACCGTGCGGTTTGTGAAGAAAACATTGTAGTGGTTGTTCGTATGTAGGTCTCTCTCTCTCTCCGTCTCTAGTGTGTTCTCAAGAATAATCCTCAATTGGGAGGTCGTTCGCAAGGAAGTCCGGCAGTTCGGCCACGCGTACTCTTTCCTCCGCGGGTATCTATCTCTTCCTTATCAAAATGGCGAATCGATGAGGGTTTCCGGGCAATGGGTGGTCGGACGAAAAGAGGGACATCGGACCCGGTGGAAGGAAGGACTAGAGGTGAAAAGAGACAGAAGTCGAGGGGGAAGAATGTAGAGAAGAGTTTCAGGAGCCCAGCGTCGTAATCGCGGGCGAAGATAACGAGGACGACCTTCGGGGCTCCACCGGACTCTGCCGAGTGCCAAGCCAAGTCCACGTTTTAAGTCGTCACGCGTGTTCAACGATCTAAACGTTTGATGCCAGGGACCAATGCGGAGGCGATCCAGAGTCATCCGATGTTCCACACTTACAATCTCATAGGGCTTACTCTTTTTTTAAAGTTACCACCTTGTCAACTGTGAGATCTCCTTATATCGGTAGGAATTTACTGGCGGGGCCCCAAGCGGGGACTCGTGGCATACTCGGCATAAGATCGCGTCATGGGTCCAACAGGTAAATCCAATAGTCCTATCGATGCAAGAACAGCCTTTCGGAGATTGTGTGTCTCTTGATGTCTTACTGGATTTGGTACTTAACCCCAGCACAATATTTTCCATCCTCTCTTACCTTCTAAATACGAATATACTTCGTACCTTCGTCGTACCAAGGCTGTCCACAGTGGATCCTCCCGTGTCTTCTAATCCAATCATACTAGGACTGATGGGACCGCGGAACTACTGTAGTAGGTCACTACCAACTTGGGCTTAAATTGCCGGCATTCTTGTACCTGTTGCTTCAATTTGCCAGGGTATGACGGGGTGTCAAAAAAATCCCTGGAAATAATCGATATCGGGATAGGTGTGGATTATAATAGTAAGGCTGCACCTAATAGAAGTATTTAGTTAGTAGTTAGTAGTTAACTAGTAGATACACTTACTAGTAAGCGATGAAAGCCTTTCTACTAGTATTATTAATAAATACTTGACTAGTCTGTTTTATTATTCACAAAAGTAATTCAGTAGTTCCCTGAGACTAAAGCCTGAAGCCCTCAACATGCTAGTAAAGTTTCCATGTTTCGTTTCAATAACAGCGACTGCCCTGAATCCGAATTTAGACCCTACACCTTGATGCGCAGGATATTCGACTATTCGCACTAACAAATCCACGTCCTGGGAATGCTGTTCTACTTACCGCCACAAAGGATAATAATTGGACACCAGTAGAAGCCACTCAAGTTATTTCTGAAGGTGATAATCTGGCATTTATTCAACTTCCCTAGGTATTAATACTGGAATAGACAGCTGTAGACTCTAGACAGATGAGTAATAGCCCAAAAAAGGAAGCCGAGTAAACAAACTTAAAAGTATAGAACTGCAGGATCACCAGCGGCTCAATCACCTTCAAGTTCTCTTCTCTCCTTTCATCACTCTTTCATCTCAGCTTCTCTTGAACCTTGGAAATCTCTGCTCCTATCGTTCGCAGATCCTTAAAGTATTCGAATCTCCAGGGTTCCTGTTATTCCCTTCCTTCATAGGCCTTTCTGTCAGTTCTCTGGGACTCATAGCCCCAATTCTTTCCTTCTCTTGTATCTAGGTAGATTTCTTACTCCTGTTGTTGTTAAATCCTGACTTACTCCACTATCTACTCTAGATAAGATATTCATAGGTAGTACTTATCTAACCTCCTTAATAAATTCAGGTATCACACCTACTACGGTAGTACATACTTATATCAGTATCTATACTTACATACAGACTGACCCACCTATAACTAAACATAGTACGGAGTAAGTGCCCCCTTTCTTCAGGGGGTTGCTCTATCATTACCCCAAAAATAATATTCAATGATGAAAAACAATACTAATGAGAGTATATGAAGATTACATAATAATTATTACGGAACTGCCAGCTGCCGTCCTACACCGCTTCCCAATCTGATAATGACGAAGGCGGTTCCAGGGATCGTCCGAGTCACTCCGCTTCTCCAGTTCGATTATCTCCTACTCCTCCAAACAACCCCAGTCTTCGCCCTGGTCCAGATCTGATCCCCTATTTCTCTCGCCATGGGTGCTCTTCTATCACTGCCGCTTTTAGCGGTGCCTAGCATGGGAACGGTGAGTCTGGTTGCCTCCCTCGATCGTCCACTCTTCCGATCACCCGACCCAAGTAGCAGCCTGCTAATTCCATACACAAATAGCTTATCACCCTCGGAGGCTCATGCTGTGGAGCTGCGACTTGCTCTGCTGTCTGCAGCGCATGTGGAAAGTTCCAAAACAGGTAGTTTCTGCATTTATTGATGCCTAGCCGAAGAACGCTTCCAAACTGACTCCGCCACAGCATGGCGACTCGAATCGCATACGCCTTTATCCTCCTAGTCAACTCCATCGTCTCCTGGATCATGCTCACGCCATGGGCAATGAAGAAACTGCAAGGTCTGACGCTTGACTATATGGAAATTCAATGCGACGGGAAGGAGTGCTATGGCTGGGTCGCAGTTCATCGTATCAACTTCGGTCTCGCTCTCTTTCACTTGATTCTCGCCCTCCTACTCCTTGGTGTCAAAACGTCCCGCGACAGCCGCGCTGCACTTCAAAATGGCTTCTGGGGTCCCAAAATCATCGTTTGGTTGGCCTTCGTTGTCATGTCATTCTTCATCCCGGAACCCTTCTTCTTCGTCTACGGAAACTATATCGCTTTCTTCTGCGCTATGCTATTCTTGCTCCTGGGTCTGATCCTGCTGGTGGATCTGGCTCATTCCTGGGCGGAACTTTGCCTGCAGAAGATTGAGGATAGCGACTCGCGGCTTTGGCGAGGTCTGCTTATCGGATCGACCCTCGGCATGTACATCGCTTCGATCGTCATGACTATCCTGATGTACATCTTCTTCGCCCGCAGCGGATGCTCCATGAATCAGGTTGCGATCTCGGTCAACCTGGTCGTTTTCCTGATCATCTCGTTCATCTCGGTCCAACCGGCCGTGCAAGAATCAAACCCGCGCGCCGGGTTGGCACAAGCTGCCATGGTCACCGCTTACTGCACTTACCTTACTCTGTCCGCCGTCTCCATGGAGCCGGATACCCACAGCTGCAATCCCTTGATCCGCTCAAGTGGTGCCCGCACCGCCACAATCGTTTTGGGCGCTATTGTCACCATGGCCACCATTGCTTATACCACTACGCGCGCGGCTACCCAGGGCATTGCTCTAGGATCCAAGGGCGGTCACAGCTACAGCGAGCTGGGTACTGAGGACAACGAGCATGGTCTGGTGACCCAGCAGCCTAACAGCCATCGGGAGATGCGTGCTGAAGCTCTGCGGGCCGCTGTGGAGAGCGGCAGCTTGCCGGCCAGTGCACTGGATGAGAGCGATGATGAGGATGACTTTGAGACCAGCAGCAAGGATGACGAGCGTGGCTCAACCCAGTACAACTATTCTCTCTTCCACATTATCTTCTTCCTGGCCACGACTTGGGTGGCTACACTGTTGTCGCAAGGACTGCAGGTTGACACCGAGATGGACTTTGCCCCGGTGGGCCGCACCTACTGGGCCAGCTGGGTGAAGATTGTTAGCTCTTGGGTGTGCTATGCGATCTACTTGTGGACCTTGGTTGCCCCTGTTGTGTTGCCTGATCGCTTTTCTGCATGAGTGATTTGCTGATGATTTGGGATTTCGGGCGTTTTCAGCGATTGTAATTGCTTCTTTGTGAGAATTTGAATATATTGTAGCAATGCTAGAATCCAGGTTGCATTCCAATTGACATTATCAACGGACCAAATCATCAATCATAAATCAAATCATAATGTGTAACCGTTGTATACTGCGCAGCCAACCAGGGTTGACGTTGAACCGATGTGGGCCAGGCAGATCGAATCTTGGCACTTGCAACTCCACGCGTTAAGTGCGACGCGTGAGACTTCCCCAACATGGCATGAACAATGGCGACCATCAAGGCCATCGAGGCTCACTCGGTAGGATTACCCGTACTATTCAAATGGCGATTGTATTTCCGCTAACCCTTGAGCCCTTCAGGTTCATCAAATCCAGTCAGGCCAGGTCATTGTTGACCTGTGTTCCGTCGCCAAAGAGCTGGTCGAAAACAGCCTCGATGCAGGCGCAACCACAATCGGTAAGCGTTTCGCTCGATACTGGCGTGGCGGTTGTTTCTTTTTCAAGATCGACTCTAATTCTTTTTTCAGAGGTCCGGTTCAAAAATAACGGGCTAGACTTAATCGAGATCCAGGACAATGGCAGCGGAATCTCGCCGGAGAATTACGAGAATATCGGTGCGTCCCCTTTGGAAAGAGCAGTACAGTGCTAGACACTAATCCATGGACTTGATATTCAGCACTGAAACACTACACCTCGAAGCTATCCTCCTACGATGACCTCTCACGCTTACACACTTTCGGCTTCCGCGGCGAGGCATTGTCATCTCTATGCGCGCTCGCGAACTTCCATATCGTGACAGCCCAAGTGGACCAGGCCCCCCCGCGCAAATAAACTCAACTTCGAAGCTTCGGGAAAGCTGGCAAAGACTCAAATAGTCGCCGGGCAGAAGGGGACGACTGCTTCAGTCGAAGGTATCTTCAAGCGACTTCCAGTCCGCCGGCGCGAATTGGAGAAGAACATCAAACGGGAATATGGGAAAGTGCTGAATCTCCTTCATGCATACGCATGTATCAGCGCGGGCGTCCGGTTCAGTGTTAAGAACACAGTTGGCAAGACGAAGAACGTCGTCGTCTTTTCCACCAACGCGAACCGCACGACGAGGGAGAATATCGCCAATGTATATGGAGCGAAGACTCTCTCTGCGCTGATCCCCTTGGACCTGAAGCTAGAATTTGAACCGTCTGCTTCGATGAAACGCGCCGGTGGGGGGAAAAAGTCGAACCAGATGGTTGTTCAGGGTCATATTTCCCGGCCTGTTTTCGGAGAAGGGCGTCAGACACCGGATCGACAGATGTTCTTTGTCAATTCGCGACCTTGTGGTCTGCCTCAGATCGCAAAAGCTTTTAATGAGGCTTATAAATCTTTTAATGTTTCGCAGTCGCCGTTCATCTTTGCGGACTTTCAGATGGACACGGATGCTTACGATGTGAATGTTTCGCCGGATAAGCGGCAGATTCTCATCCATGATGCTGCTGCTTTGATCGAATCGCTGAAGACTTCGCTGGTGCAGCTCTTTGAAAGTGCCGATCAGACGGTCCCCCAGTCACAGGTCCTTGGCTCGAAGCTTTCCACGCCTAAGCAGCAGGCGCTCGGGGCCCTTCCGGGGTTCGTCTCAGCTCGCAAACTCAACCAGCGCGTTTCCGAGTCCCCTGCGACTCCATCACAAGAATCCAAGCCGCGCAAGTCCATTGACAAAGAAGCCGAGAGTGAGCGCCCAGCTGCTCGGCAAGAAATTGAAATCCATGCCGATACCGAGGAAAACTCACAAGATATCCAACCTTCATCTCCTCCAGCTGAATCTACTCCGGCGCCTAGACGACACCCAGGACCATCCAGGGAAGCTACATCTCCTATACAAATTCCAGACAGCACTCCTGCCAAGCCCCGAGAAAAGAGCACAGCAGAGCCTCAAGAACAAATATCGAACAAACGAGGCTCTGAAGTAACCCAGGAGCTATCGTCACAACTTTCTGAAGAGCAGCAGCCATCCAGCCATCCGATCGATGAGCCAGAAGAAACGCCCAATGTGGTTCAGAATGCTTTTGATAGGATGCGCCCATGCCGTGTTCCAGCGGAAATGGCTACTATTACGATTGGCGGACACACTGTTAAATCGGTGGTGGGAAGTGGTCCTCCGCGCAGGCGTACTTCGGATTTAAGATCATCGGAAAAAGAACGTCCGGGGCGAAAGCGGCGGATTCATACCCCGTCTCGACCTAATATATTTGGAAAGCATATGAGAGTGTTCGCTGCCCCCGGAACACAAGCAGAGCCAGATGAGGCCGGGGATGAGGAAGAGGCGGAAGATGGAAGCGAAGACGAAGATGGAGAGGCTGAATACTCTGCGAGTGAGAACAGCCAAGAGAGCGATGTCGAACAAGAAGCTGAAGCAGACCCCCCTTCTACGCCTGAGGATGCTGATGATGCCCCTGGACAAAGCGAGGCTCGCCATCAACGAGAATCAGAGCCAGTTGAGGCTGGGGTAGAAACAGCTGGTGGCGCAGAAGAGCAGGAAATAGACGAAGCCGATAAAAAGGCCGAAGAAGAAGCCAGAGTCCAACATCTAATCCACCAAGCCGAGGAAAAAGCCATGCTCCCAAGCGAAAACAACATCAGCCGCGTAAACAAGATGAACAAAGGCGCCACTCATCGCGATGCAACTGTCCACTTGGTCAGCACGATAGATGCCTCAATCACACAGCTTCAGTCCCAGATGACGAAATTACGCGAGGGCCTCGAACGACAGAGACAAACCCCGACTCAAGAAGATGTCGACGCGAACGATAGCAAAACCGCCGAAGACCGCCTCTCATTAACCGTCAGCAAAGCTGATTTCGCGCAGATGCGCATCATCGGCCAATTCAACCTTGGCTTCATCATCGCCGTACGACCGGGCGAAACCCGCGACGAGCTCTTCATCATCGACCAGCACGCCTCGGACGAGAAGATCAATTTCGAGCGTCTGCAGTCCGAAACGATCGTTCAGAACCAGCGGCTCGTCCGACCCCAGCGCCTAGACCTCACCGCCGTCGAAGAAGAGATCGTGCTGGAGAATCGCGCCGCGCTGGAGAAAAACGGGTTCGTTGTTACTGTTGACGAGAGCGGCGAGGAACCCATCGGTCGACGGTGCAGTCTTGTTTCCCTACCGCTGAGCAAGGAGGTTGTCTTTGGTTCACGGGATCTGGAAGAGCTGATTGTTCTCTTGTCCGAGTCGCCGGCTACTAATTCGGTCTCTGTGCCGAGACCGAGTAAGGTACGCAAGATGTTTGCCATGCGTGCTTGTCGGTCGAGTATCATGATTGGAAAGACTTTGACTGCGCGGCAGATGCAGCGGGTTGTTAATAATATGGGGACTATTGATAAACCGTGGAATTGTCCACATGGACGGCCAACTATGCGGCATTTGATGAGTTTGGGGTCGTGGGATGAATGGGATGAATATGCTACCGGGGAAGGTGAGGGGGGGTGGTACTAGTCTTGATATCTATCGGCGGTATGTGGAGGAGCAGAATCAAGGGGAGGAGGAAGAGGAAGAGGAAGAGGAAGAGGAAGAGGAAGAGGAAGATGATGAACTTGAAGCATAAGAGCGATACCCAATAAAAGATCAATATATACCACTACCTTTGACAGCCCTGTACCTAGGTACCTAGGTAGGTATATTCAAAACGCCTTGAAAGCAACCTTGGAATCCATTCAACTCCCGAGGTCCAGGTGTTTCAACTTCAAGTTGAACCTTAGTACGAGTCGTAGTAATCTTGGAATCAGTCCGAGTCCAGCCTCTAGGTACCTAATAGGTACTATATATCAAAGTTACCACCACCCACTAAACCAGCCCTTCCGCACCTCCTCAGGCTTCTTCAACTTCTTCAAGTTGTCAGCATTTCCATTCCCATTACTAGTATCCCCATTCGAAATCCCATTCCCCCCTCCAACCTCCGCAACACGTCCATTCCCATGCCCACCCCCATCACTCTCCTCATCCATCTCCATCTCCCCACCGTTACGATGGTGACTCCCACCCCCACCCCCAGAGTCAGAGTCATACCCAACCCCTTCAACATCATCCATCATATCCTCCAAAACAAGCAAGTCCCTCTCAATCATCTCCGCCCAATTCTGCACATCACCAATCTCCTTCAGCCCATCGCGCGTCTCATCCGCCAACCCGGCCCACTGCGCATTCTGCCTCGCCAGCCGCGCCGTGCTCGCCGCTAACTCGGTCTCTTGCCGCTGCAGCGCGATCGCATTGCTGCTGATTGTGCTTGCGCGGTCTAGGAGGGGCGCTTCGAGGTTTGTCCCGACTGAGTGGAGGGTTGCGGTGAAGGCGGCGAGGGCTTCTTTTTTTTGGTGCTCGCCCGCGGTTTCGGGGTTATGGTTGGGGTCGGTTGAGTGCGGGGTTGGGGTGGGGTCTGGCATTTTGAGACGAGTTTGGGAACTTGAATTTCAGGGCTTGAACTGGAACTTGGAGGGTGGGTGGATTATGTTCGAGGTTTTATTGTTGTTTTCTGGGTTGTCGTGGGCTTGGGTGGTTTTCAGGTTTGATAGAGAAGAGTAGAGTAGAGTAGAGGGGTGGAAGGAAGTTTGTGTATGTATGTATGTATGTTGCTTCAAGTTCCAAGTTGTCTGAGTCCAGTCAGGTTCAGCAAGTTGTTTATCGCGCTTGTGACCTTGACGATGATAGCTTGATTGGAACTTGACATACCTAGGTAGGTAGATCTGCAACCCCACCTGGACACTTAGCGTGGTGCGCTGTCAGCCTGTCGTCTGATCGATCTGCATTCGGGGAGTTTCAAGTTTGCCTGCCAGTGCGGAGTTCCGAGTTCGAGAGGGCTGACTGGGTAATACAGTGGCGTTCCAAAAGTTTGAAACACCCCCTATTTTTCTGCCGCTTTTTCTGCCGCACTAAAACCTCGCGACCGGCACAAAATAAAAACCTCATGTATTGACAATTGCTAATAACTAGTATACCAGCCATCATTTTCAATAACTTGCTGTACACGGTGTGGCATAGTAATAGCCAAATTTTCTAGTATCGCTATATCAATCATAGACCACGCTATCTGTGCTACCCCAATAATAAACTGTAGAGTATCGTCGTTATTTGGCATGCCCCTAATCTCAGGGTGCAATTCATATATCTTTGCCTTGAGTAACGACCATAAATTCTCAATTGGACTTAGATCAGGCGAATATGGAGGCCATTTCATAATCTCATAGTCCTGATCAGCAATCCAATCACGAACAATATGTGCAGTATGAACTGAAGCATTGTCTTGTTGAAACACAGCACCTTCAACTCCGCTTAGCAAAGTTGGAAGCACACGCTGATATAATTCCAAGATAACAAATCGGTTCACCCCTCCATTAGGAGAATCTGGATCTCCAAAGAGTGGAATAAGTCCGGATCGACGACCGGTCCCTGAAAAGGCAGCCCAAAACATTTGCTTAACACTTTTGTGACATGGGACCTGTTGAACATCTCGTTCCGCAATTTGGCGGTTTCGTGGTGTAAAAGTCCACTCTCGCCGTCCTCCTTTTCCTCTTTCGATAGTTGTTTCATCTGACCAGAAGATCTTTTTCCATTTTTCAGAGTCATAATCTTGGACTCGATGTGCCCAAGCCAGTCTCTGGCGAGCCTGTTGGTCGGTTAACTCAGGTCGTTGAAGTTGAAGCCATTTCCGTTTATTTTCACCTTGGAGAAGTCGCCAAATAGTCGCTCGACCGCATTTGAAGTTGACTAAAGCTAGTAGAGCATCATACTTAATTCGTGGGTTCTCTGATATTGCTTCAAGTATCCTCAATCGATCTGTTTCATCCAACTTTTTTGGTGTACCAGAACGAGGTAATGCAGCCTGAGTTGGGCCTCGTTTTTCCGCCCGAGCAACTGTAGTTTTGATTGTTCCAATTGGAATATAAGGATAGCGTTCATGGATCTCAGTATATGACCATCCAATAGCTTTCAATTCAACAAGTCGAACACGTTCATGTGGTGCTAATTGACACCGGCGTGAGCGTTGTGTTACATTTGGATGCTGTGACGGTGTATCATATTGGTTTTGCACCAATTGCAGAGCAGTATGACGAATTGGTGGCATTCTAAAGGCCCAAATAGCTCAATATAACGCGTGGAATGTGTATAATATGCTATATACAACGCACGTCGCGTAGTAGAATAGGGGGCGGTGTACTAATATAGTGGGCGGTAGGGGAAGGCGGTCGCTCAGGGTGTTTCAAACCTTTGGAACGCCACTGTACGACAGTACTGCTAGTAGTACTAGTATTTACTAGTGACTCTAGACATCGAAGGAGACGGGACAGAAATATTAGTACCACCAGAGTCATATATACTCCGGGCATTATATTCGAATCGACTCAAATAAGACATGACAATCCTAAGATAAACAACAAAGAGCAGATTTTATAGACTCAGACCAGACCAGACAGATCTCTCCAATCAAAATAGGAAACAAAGAAAAGAAATAAAAAACAACAACAACCCGAAGAATAAACGCTTAGAAAACTTTCTCATCCATGCAAGTTCGCTCGAAAAATGGAGGGTCGAAAAAAAGGCGAACACAAAAGCAAAGCAAAACACGACAAACCAAAATAAACGCAGAAAGAAAAGATCCGGACGTTAATAACACATACTCGCGTCAAACAAGCCGACACGAGTGGAAAAGTGTAAAGTAAAAAAAGGAACAGAACGGGTGGAAGGGCTAGAACGAAAATCAAAGAAGACCCGAAAGAACAGCCTCAGTCGCAGAGTTGATATAAGGCCGCTTAAGATCAAGGTTAACGCCGAATCTTCTCTCAAGCTCCTGCTTAATACTCTTCTTCGTAACGGCCATCAGATCCGCCGTCCGGAGAATCTCCCTGATCTCTGCGAGAATGGCGTCGTCGGAGGGCAGGTGACTCATATCTTCCATGCTCAGGTCTCCATGCGCCATGCCCATGCCACCGCCGAGCATCTCGGACGGGGCGATCGAAAGGCGCGAGCTCGAGTTCATGAGCGGCAGATCCATTTGGGACATCGGTCTAGAGCCCGGGAAGCCGTACTCGGACTGGGGGAAGGCGTGCGAGCGGGTGCCGTACGAGTAGCCTGAGACTTCGGAGCGGTCGTCGCGGGAGGTTTGGGCTTCCCAGAGTTCCATTTGGTACTCTTCCCAGCGTTTCTTGGGGATGGAGGCCGGGTCGAATTTGCCTTCGTCGGAGATGACGACTTTGCGGCCCTTTTCACCGGTGATGACGCGGGTGTTTCCCCAGGAGAAGTCGTCCATGTGCCAGAATGAGTAGAGCGGGAGGGCGAGGGTGAAGACGGGGATGGCGAGGATGTAGATGAACATCCAGCCGATCATTTCCCACTTGCGTCGGACGATGAAGATGAAGGCTTGGAGACCGTAGATGACACCGAGAAGAATAAAGGCTGTCCAGGGGATCACTGAGCTGTCTTGGACTAGCCAGACGATCAGGTAGATGATATAGGCGACTGTGACGGGCTGGATGATGGTACTGAGGAGATCGACGAAGACAATGAAGCGCATACTGAAGCAGCAGAAGCCGCACAGCTGTTGAAGAGGGACGAGCTCGACCAGGTTGTGGACAGTGGAGTTAATCCAGCGACGACGTTGTGAGAGGAAGACAGCGAAGCTCTCGGGGGCCACGGTCCAGGCATGAGCGCGGAAGATGTACTTCGTCTTGAACTTGGGGTGGTGCTTGAGGAGTAGTGTGGTCAGGTATCGATCTTCACCCAGGTGTAGCAGGTTCTTCATGTGCAGGGTATCGACGCGAATCTCGGAATAGGAGTCGACGACTTCCTTGCTCACGAATAACGGTTTGCCGGTCTCTGAAGAGCGGATTCGGAACATGGTGAAACAACCGGGCAAACAGGTAACGGAACCGAACAAACTTTCAAACGCCTTGATCAAGTTGTGGGAAATGTAGTACTCGTAAACCTGAATCATCGTGACCATGGATGTTTTCGCGTTGGACAGGGCTGTCTCTCCACAGACACCGATGAGGCGTGTATCAGACAGGAATGCTGAAACGAAGCGAGTAGCGGAATCCGGTGCAACCATCGTATCGGCATCGACTTGCAGAATATATTCGTAGAAAGTTGGGTTGACACCGATGATGTTGCGAATTTGATGGTGCATCTCCAGCTCCATAGGGCTCATGGGCAGATTGTAGTGAATGCGGTTGAGGAAGCGCATGAGAATCATCTGGGAGTCACGCTTACCACGGTTACCCGGGCGAGACACTTCAGAAGGCTTGCCGACCTTGACAACGACCAGGAAGGGCACAATGTGACCTTGGACCTCGTAGAGACCAGAGTAGATCTTACCCATGTTGTGCTGCTTCATACCTTCACCCAGACTCTCAAAGCTGAGCGGCTCGGGGTCGACAGATTCAGGAACGCCGAGAATGTCCAGAACGATGCGCGGTGTAGGGCGATCGTTACCTTGACCGATAATCATACCGTCACAAATAACCAAGAGAAGCTTACGCTTGTCATCGTAGCGCATGCGTGCCATAGAGTCCATAGCACGACGGAGTGAATCCTCGTCTTCGGTATACACCGGCACTTGGCAGATGATGAACTTGTCGAGATTCTCGGGCAAGTTCTTCTTTCCGAATTGCAGGGCAGCCAAGAACTTGAAGACCAGAACAGTACAAATCAAGATGGAGATGGCAAGGATGAAGTAACGAGCGAACTGACACTTGACCGAGTTACGGGTGTCGACATGGCCGACGAAGAACAAATTGTCAAGGCACAGTTCCATACGGGAGCGCAAAGTGTCGTCGAGATCAAGATCAGTCCAGTACTTAGTCACATCGTAGCCGGACTTTTGCTGGAAGAGAGTAACGAGAAGAGGGCTCATATAATCAGTCTTGATACCGCTGGTGGAGCGATTCTTGCCTTCCGGGAAACGTGGATTGCGAGGTCCTGCAATGTAGTACGACATATCGTATACTTTCCCGTTGATACTGACGATATTTTTGCTCTCGTCATCCGCTAGACTCTTCATATACTTCGCAGTATAACCGACGTATCCCTTTTTGTAATTGGCTCGCATCATGACCATTTGCTCGTAAAACCAATCGGCTTGGTAGAGATCAGTCCAATAACGGAAGTCGTGGTACTTGGCATTGATATCAAACGATGTCGAAGAAATCGTGCTAGCCGAGTCATTCAAGTTTGATCGATAGTCAAGCGGCACGCTAGGGTCGATGGATCCGTCCACACCCTGGCACAATGCAGAGACCTGGACAGGGAAGAGGTTGGTGGCATCGGTACCTGCGTAGTTCTTGAGTGACTTTTGAGGAATGATATCGGGATAGTGAGCAGGCATAAAGTCTCCCAAGTTGAACACAACACCTCGGACGGCAACGTACGAGGATGCCCCATCTTTGCCGTTCTGGTTGCTGAGTTCGCCCTTGGAATAGACATGCTGAGTCGGACAAATCAAGCCGGGGAAAGCGACAATCATGAAAATAGCAACACCACAGGCAAACCAGATGATAAGGTTGATTGCAAGCTTCTCTCGCCAAGCGGTACGGATATCCTTCCGCTTCATGCGACCGATATACCGGATAAATATGTCGGGAATCATCCATGTTAACAGCCAGACTAGTGCCATCCAACGGCGGCGGGATGCTGAGACTGGAACATCCTCCACCTCCTCCATGTTCTTTTCTTGACCCTTCTCAAGCATCTGCTGCTTGGTGTCGAGGTCACGGAACATGTCACCAGAGTTGAAAGCCGAGCCGCCAGCATCAGAACGGCCATCCAATTCGCGGCTGCCGAAATATCCTTGCTTCGTTTCGTCACCGTAGATGAATGCGCCGGGAGACGCATCGGCCGGATTGAGCAGCCGAACTTTGGCATCCGGGTTGCCAGCCGAGTTGATAGCGTCGTCATCAGCACCGCCAACGGCGCCGTAGGTTGGAACAACGCGCTCTCCGACTTTGGCGAGATCTGCCCAGCAACGCTCGCTCAGGAAGACACCGGTGCTACCAACGCGAGCCTCATTTCCAGGCCAGCGTCTCTCATCCAAGACGACCTCAGACTTTTCCTTATCGCTGCCGACGACGACATTACCGATCTCGGCCAGGCCGAGGAACTCGGCAAAGGGGAGGAAGACGCTGAAATCCGCATTTCGGAGCCGTTGGCTGATCTCGGCGATGCCGAATGTTTGAACTTGCATGCGGACACATTTGCTGTCAAACTGATTGGCGATGCGTCGATCGTTGGGCTTGAGACAGATCACGAAGTAAGGATTCAGGTTCGGCTGGCTCAGGCACTTGTTGATGATTTCAAGGCCAGAAAGGAATTGGCCGGCCGAGCCCTGGGAGGGACCCAACAAGCCGCTCTTCCGACCTGCCACGCTGCGGCGGGAGCTTCCTCCCACCTGGCTATCCACTTCTTCAATGTTATCCTCGCTGTCAGCTCGGGACATGGCCATTGAAGTGAGTCGAGCCTGGGCGTCGTGCTTGCGTCGTGCCATGCTAGGCATACGCATTGGCTTGGAGGAGACCTGGGCCTGCATTATAGCGGTCTTCTCCTTTGGATGGGTGATGGTTTCGACGGCATCTTGATCGAAGAGCTCACGGACCAAGTCGCTGCGGGTAGACTTCATGAGGTTCATCAAGTCGCCCGAGATGACTTCTCCGTTCTCCTCGATGAGACCTGCCACCGAATAGTCAACCTCACCAGCGAAATGCTTCACAGTGAATGCGGTGCGGGGACCCTGAGTGATGTAGCCACTGCTCGCGCTCGAGTCGCCCACCGAGATTGCCGGATTCTTGCCCTCGAAACGCTTTCGAACGCTGTCAAGGAACTGGGCATCGGAACGTCCACGCTTGGTCTGGTCGTCCAGGATGCTCAGCAATCCATTGCCGTGCTTCAAAAGACCGCGGACGGTGTCGGTGTTATCAAAATAGCTGGTAGCCGGAACGGTGATTTCTTCGCGGTCCAGAATATCGGCCTTCCGGTCAAAGAAAGATTGCAGGCAGTAGTTGTAAAGAGACTCTGTCGCCGCATTGCTGAGCAGTTGGTCCAATGTTGAGCCAGTCGCGGGAGACTGGGCGAAGCCAGGGAAATCAACAATAGAAATCGTATTGGCGACGCTGTCTTCCGCAGCACAAAGCCTCTGGTTCACTCTCTCAATCACGTAGGTGACCAAGAGCGAGTAGATAGTGCGGGCGAAAGCATCCGCGTTTTGGCGAGCACCCCGTGGATCGAGCATGACCGTCACTCGCTCACGGTGGAGTGTCTTGGTCTTGTAGCCCAGGCTATTCTCCAGAGACTCGAGACTCAAGCCAAGGAAAGCAGCGACATTGGCCAGAACATCCTTGTTCTTCACCACCGTGACCATCTCGCCACCCTCGTGGGAGTAACCACCACTTTCCTCTGCCGCCGTGGTTGTCGCTTGCCCTGTAATAAAGTCCAATTGTCCAATATGCAGAATACTTGCCATAATCTGACAGATCTCGGCAATTTCACCGCGCGAAAACTCGAGCTTTCGCAGAGCCGTCTTGAAGTGCTGGAAACCATCAGCGTCATTGACACCGACCTTGAGTTGCGTTGGGTGACCAAGATAGCGCCATCGCTTGTGGTTGATAGAGCCCGAGCCTCCAGTTTGGATGTGGATCGTGTTATCGAAGCCCAAGTGAGCCTTCTCTGCAGCACTCGTACCGGCGAGAAGATAGTAGAGCGAGTGGAAGCTGCGCTCTCCGGTGGGAACCGATGAGATGCGGCTTCTTTCCAAGCGGTAATCGATGATCTTTCCACCGATCAGAGTGGGATTGACAGATGAGGAGCCATCATATTGAAGTTCCAGGAAAAGACCGGCCTTGGAGGCAGTCGGAGTGGTGACGGATTTGGTGGTGGTCAGGGTGTCGAAGACAAAGGCGGCATAGGAGAGTTTCGAAGAGAGAGGAGTTGAGGAATATGATAGGAATGATGAGAGTAGGTGTGAGCGAATGGTGGTTTTGCCAGATCCACTCTCTCCACTGAATTGATGGGTTAGCAGGGGTATAATGGCTATCTGAGGACCTGTTACTGAATCACTTACAGAAAGACGACAGCCTGGTTCTCGGCGCGAGCGCCCAGACGAGTGAATGCCCGACGAGCGAGATCCTCGGCCTCACCAGCTGCGCTGCCCTCTTTGTTGCCATCTGGGCCTTTTGTTGCGGAGGAATATGTGTTGAGAGAGATTAAAGCCTGGGAGGAAAGACGAGCCGTGGGCAGACCGACGTGGAAACTGAACAGGGGTTAGCGATCGGAGCCAAAGTTTCGTCGGGAGTGGAGTGAAGGTTTTGTGTAGCGGTGGGATGTTTTGCGTACCGACTGGCTAAGTGTGCCGTGAGATGGGTATCGGACTGGAGATGTGCGGGGAGAGATGGGAGTGAGGATTGAGTATGCGCTGGAGCGCCAGCTCTCGTGTTCGCCATGGTGAGGAAGAAGCCCCCAGAGGATTAGTCTAGAGGACTAGAGAGAGGTGAAAACGAGTGTGATGAAGACCTGTTGAGGGTCTTCCCTGAGGGGAGCAGATCCCGAGTCGGAGGAGAGTCTCGACGAGCCTCGGAATGAACGTGGACGGGGGAATGTTGGGTGGAATGAAGTGTCCCAGGCAATCGGTGGGAGATTGCGAGATAGCAGTAGTTCCCAAGAAGTCCCAGGATGAGAACGAAAGGAGTAGGGGAAAAACAAAAGCAGGAAGAACAGGAAACGAGAGAAGCAGAAGCAGAAGCAAAGCGACAGATGACAAGCAAAAGATTGATCCACAAGAGAAAAAGATACAGGAGTAATAGAATACCTACAATATGGGTATGGGTACGGTCACACGCTTGTAAGGAGCTATGTATAGTATAGAGTGGTCATCCGAGTGGATTGGCCTTTGGATTGGATTGCAGTTGCATTGATTGGTTTGTCTTGATTGGCTGGGAGTGCGGGTAGACCCACCTGACTTGGAACTTGGTCGAAGTGTTTACAGTAAATAGTAAATACTACAAGTATAACTGTCGTTTTATTAGGGCGACTGTTTAGGGGTAGTTGCAAGAGAGTTGAAATAGTATAGTATAGCCATAGTGTACTCAGTATACTCAGTATACTCAGTATCAGTGTAGTATGTATAGTGTGTAATCGGGCACGCCGTGGCTATTTCTGGCGGAAAATATCGATACGCTAAGCTGGATCAGGGTCTCAGGTAAACAGGCCCCACCGAGTCCAGTCCAGTCCAGTCCACCACAGCTCAGTCCCTTCTCTTCCAGTCCCTGTTTTTCTCTCCACTCCTCACTCCTCACCCTGGGCCACCGATTGATGACCAGTCCCCTGCACCAACACTGCCAGGTCCAGTCCTCCTTACTGCTACCCGCATGGACAGCCGAAATAGCAACATGTCAGATCATGGCCCGAAGAGGATTCCGGCTTCCATCTCCTTTTAGTCTTCTCTTAGCTCCACCCCACTTGACACATCCCGTGCCCCTGAGTGGACCGATCACAGGATGACCGGGGGATCGAGTGAAACTAGGGGTTCGTGGCGGTACATTGTGCAGGCCGAGTGGCAACCCTTTTGTGAGACATCCCAAATATAGCCGGCACAGCAAACTTACTCTCACAGTATCCTCCCACAGTAGCTGTCCGCTCCCAGTTCCACTCCCTCCGCAGGTCGCCTGATTGGACTGTCCTTTGTGTACAGTACGGAGTACTCATCGAAGAATGAAGGCATCAACTTCGAATTGTAGAAGTCAGAGAGAAGATATCACAAAATAGAGAATCATCTAGAATAATACCTCTAAGGACACAAATAATATACAGTGTAATATACACTCTCCTATACACGATACCATCGTATAACTCTCTCTCCTCACCTCGCCTACATCACCCCACAACAAAGCTCGGTCGATCACAGGCGATCACCGTATTTTTCCCTGTCACGTCCAAAAATACCCCGTACGCGGTACAAACCCAGTACAGACCCTCCGACTGCCTCACCATCGGGTCTTATCTCCTCTTTGTCAACCTCTTTTTTCTCTCTCCTGTTGTTTGCTTCACGTTTCCCTTCCCCTCCCCTTTCCCCTCTGCTGTATACTCCAGGAGTCTCTATCTCCAGCCACTCGCTCACCCCAATCCGGAGTTGTACAGTCCCTGTGAAGCTCCGAGCCCCCCCCCCAAACGGTTCTTTCTATTGTTGTGCCATTTGCCCCGGAAACCACCTCTCACCTCCACACCACTCGCCTGTGCTTCAATTTCGACGCCGATCATACCACACTACACCACAGCACACACACCCCTCCATGCGTTGATAACTGCTTAGACTGGAAGTCTCATCTCGACCGCCATCGTCTTCCACTACAGCTTTCACAATGTCGAACCGCTTCTCGGTCTTCTCCACCCAGTCCGCCGGTCTCTCGGCTGGGCCGAGGCCAACCTCCCAACATGCGACTCAGGTATCGACCACCACCTTGCTGAACGCCCTTCATTCGTTCTATACAGCTGGTCAGCCGTACCAGTTGGATTCTAGTACTAGTTTGGTTGTCAATACCTGGGTCACCGCCGCCACAACCCTGCCCGATGGCCGCAACGGTGCCACTATTGACCGTGACTTAGCCATTCGCGCTTGGGAACACGCCCGGAGGCGTGCTGAGGATGGCTGCATTGCCCTCTGGTGCGTTCTTTCATCAATCTATCGGTCTTCTCATCATTATCTTGCTGACCTGAATATAGCTCCCTCCACCAGTCCACGCCGTCATTACTGGAGCCTTTCATCACAGCGCTTCCCATCTCCACACCGGAAGTTGCATATGCTGCACTCGCAACACTGCGACCATTCCTCTCCGCAGTCACTTCATTCAACCCCTCTTACTCTCTCCACTCAGCTTTATCAGCCTCATTTACTTTGACCCTCCAGGGCCAGGTTGTGGGTCTGTCCCTAGCACTCTCTTCAGCCGGCATCAATGTCCGCAAAGGTCTTCTGGAAATTCCCAACGAGTCTGGTTTCCGTGCCTTTGATGCATTCTACTACCTCCTCACATCCGCATCCACCCCCGCTGAGCGAGAGTTTCTGGATCTGAGAGACCCCTCCCACTATACTCTGCTCAAGCGATCGAACACCTACAGCCCTCCTTCCTATCTCCCTACTGCTGATGACACCGCATCCGCTGAGGATCTCCGTGCCAATCTGAAAACTATTGGTATCAAGGGCGCTGCCCAGCGAGGCTTGCTTTCTGTTCTTGCAGGCCTGCTCAAGCTTGGAAATGCCGCTGGCCTTGAGGTTGACCAAGAGGAACTCGAAGAAGTCTGCGAGGATGTCGGTGGTCTTCTTGGTGTAGACCCTGAAGTTCTCTTGCACAAGTGTTCGACCGACGAGCGGGAAGTCTTGATCATTGGAATTTATGAAGCCCTGGTCGACTGGATTATTGGTAAAGCCAACGAAGCTATCGCTACGGATATCCAGGCTGTTCTTGAGGATGAGTCCAGCAATGGTGGTACTCCTCAGTGGTCCAACGAGGACACTGTTGGACTGACTATCATTGATATCCCTCGCCCGGCACTTGGCAAGGCGGTTGCCATGAGAGGTGTATTCGACGACGATCTTGGCATCAACGCTGAAATGAAAGAAGATGGCATCGTCATCCCTCCAATTGGCCAGTCCGTCATAACCGAGATGAACACCGCGGTGGCGTCAGTGGAACCAGACCTGGGTATCATGAGTGGTGCCGCTGGACGTGAACGCGAACATGAGAACGACCGACGACAGGGAGTCTTGGAGAAGGTTGCAGTCGAGGCTGAAAGCGATTCTTTCCTGCGTCAAATTCTCTTCCCAGTCGACACTGAAGGGATCTCTGTCGGCAAACGTGGGCGCTTCGATCTTCCCACAATTCTTGGTAGCAGTCGTGTTTGGTACCACCTCTCGATCCACCCCACAGACGACCTGCCAGAGCAACTTCAGGCCTCCGCCAACTCTTGGTCTGCGGGTGCGGTGTCGCGTCAACTGCGAGACTGGCGACTTCCTGAATGGGCCAACCGTCGCATCAAGCAGCTCGATTTCACTGCCGACTTTGATGTTGAGGAGTTTGTCAGTCGGTATTCCCGCCTTGGCTGTGCCGAAGGACAGGATGGTGTCGAGAATTGGATCCTGGAGAGAGGCTGGAGCAACGGTGACGCCCTCGTTGGCCAGCAGCGTATCTGGATGAGAGAAGGTGCTTGGTGGGAGGCCGAGAGTATGCTTGATCTCAAGCCGGATGAGGCCGCAAACCCCTTCGGATATGGTGCCAGAATGTACGAGCCTGGTATGACTCCGGACGGTACCCCCATGGGCGAGTCCACAAACCTCCTTGGCCACGGCGACATGATGATGCACCCGGCCGCTATGACCGCGATGGCCCCCAGTGTCATGGGCGGTGCCAAATCAATTGCTCCTAGCGCTCCACTTACCCAAATGGCCGGTGATTATGGTCTCGGTCATAAGGGAGATGATAACAAGGGTGATATCACCTACTACGATCAATACGGTCGCTATATTGGTGATGGCGACGTTGAATTCGGTGAACCCAAACACATCGAGAAGACACCCATCACGTTCGGTCGACGACTGTGGGCCGGATTCGTCTGGGCCATGACCTTCTGGATTCCGTCTTTTGTGCTCAGGTATATCGGTCGCATGAAGCGCCCGGATGTCCGTATGGCCTGGCGAGAGAAGTTCGTCCTTGTTGCTCTGATCTTGCTCTTCAATGCCATCGTCTGTTTCTACATCATGGCATTCGGTACTCTGCTCTGTCCCAACAAGGACAAGGCGTGGAACACAAAGGAGGTTAGCTGGCACACGACGGACGACAACTTTTATGTCAGTATCCACGGGCGCGTGTACGACATTTCGAAATTCTGGCGCCAGCAGCACAGTGATATCAAAGGCTCACAAGTAACGGACTCGGTCATGAAAGAACTCGCTGGTACCAACCTGGATGCCTATTTCCCGCCTCCTCTTTCTGAGTACTGTGGAACCACAGCCTCTCTGAACGTCCAGCTGCAGAACAATGACACCACGGCTGTTCTGTACAGTCAGGCCAAGCACAACTGTGGACCTTTGAACTACCCGCAGAACAGCACCAAGCTCCACAAGCTGACCTGGTACTCGGATGTCTTCCTTCCCAAGATTACCGACTATTACAAGGGTGAGCTGGTCTGGACGAAATCCACTATAAAGACACAAGCCAATAATGACCAACGATACTGGGCCATCGTCAACGACAAGGTCTATGATCTCACGGACTACTTTTACACCCTCGACATGGAGAACAGTTTATCCCAATACTCGTTCTTGCCCGACTCTGTTACCACTCTCTTCAAGGATAACCCAGGAACCGACATCACATCCAAATGGCAGGATACATCCGAGTTCCAGAACGCTCAAAGGTGTCTTGATTACGTCTTCTATAAGGGAAAGACCGACTTCAGAGAAAGTCCAAGGTGTACTGTGAATAACTGGATTCTGCTTTCCTTCGCCATTCTTATATGCGCCGTGGTTCTCGTCAAGTTCTTGGCAGCTCTGCAGTTGGGATCGAAGCGTCGCCCCTCGCCCCAAGACAAATTTGTCATTTGTTTGGTCCCCGCCTATACCGAGGGTGAAGACTCCCTTCGTAAGGGTCTTGACTCTCTGACTGCGCTGCAATATGACAACAAGCGAAAGCTGATCTTCGTCATCTGCGATGGTATGATTGTTGGTGGTGGAAACGACCGACCCACCCCCAAGATCGTCCTTGATATTCTGGGTGTCGACCCCAAGATGGACCCGCCCGCGCTGCCTTTCCACTCTGTTGGACAGGGCATGGAACAACTCAACTACGCCAAGGTCTACTCTGGTCTCTACGAGTACGAGGGTAACGTTGTTCCTTACATCGTCGTCGTAAAGGTTGGAAAGGAGTCTGAGCAACGCAAGTCCAAGCCCGGAAACCGTGGAAAGCGTGACTCGCAAGTGTTGTTGATGAAGTTCCTGAACCGCGTCCACCACCGTGCTCCTATGTCGCCTATGGAACTTGAAATCTTCCACCAGATTAACAATATTATTGGCGTGGATCCCGAGCTCTACGAATACTGCTTCATGGTCGACGCAGATACCAGTGTCAAGGAAGATTCGCTAAATCGACTGGTCGCTGCTTGCGCCGCGGATGCCAAGATTGCCGGTATTTGTGGCGAGACTAGTCTTGCAAACGAAGAGCGCAGTTGGTGGACTATGATTCAGGTGTACGAATACTACATCTCGCATCATTTGTCCAAGGCCTTTGAGTCTCTCTTCGGCAGTGTCACTTGTCTTCCTGGATGGTAAGCTTTCTTTCTCTATCTCTTCCTCTGATGCACTAATACTAACTGCGATTCAGTTTCTGCATGTACCGTCTTCGCACTGCGGACAAAGGCCGCCCACTCATTATCTCGGACAAGGTCATCAAGGAGTATGCCGACAACGATGTCGACACTCTCCACAAGAAGAACTTGCTTTCTCTGGGTGAGGATCGTTTCCTGACCACGCTTATGACCAAGCATTTCCCGACAATGCGCTACAAGTTCGTTCCCGACGCCTACGCAAGTACAGCTGCTCCCGAGAGCTGGAGTGTGCTTCTCTCTCAGAGACGTCGTTGGATCAACTCCACTGTCCACAATCTGGTTGAACTGGCCGCTCTGAAGGACCTCTGTGGCTTCTGCTGTTTCAGTATGCGCTTCGTCGTTCTCGTCGATCTCCTTGGAACAATCATTCTCCCGGCTACCTGTGTGTACCTTGGTTACATTTTCTACCTGATCGGCAGTAAAACTGGACCCTTCCCGATGATTTCGATTATCATGTTGGCCGCTGTATACGGTCTACAGATCATCATCTTCATTGTCAAGCGCCAGTGGCAGCACATTGGTTGGATGATCATCTACCTGATGGCCTTCCCTATCTACAGTTTTGTTCTCCCGCTCTACTCCTTCTGGAAACAAGACGACTTCTCATGGGGTACCACCCGCGTCGTCATTGGCGAGAAGGGAGACAAGCGCATCGTCGCCGTCGGAGGCGAAGAAGAAGCCAACTTTGACCCTCGCAGCATCCCTCTCCAACGCTGGGACGACTATGCCATGGCCAACAACCTTCCCGGCCGCCGCGGCGATATGGGCGCCAGCCAAGAGAAGATCTACTCCAACGGCCGCTACGTGGACGACATGGGCATGGAAATGGACGACATGCACTCGCAATACTCCTCCGTCAAGCCCGCCTCCACCATCCTCACTGGATTCCCCGGCGGCCAAGGCCGCCACAGCAACCCATACATGCCACCCCAGTCCCCCGCCCCCTTCGTCGGCGGCAACGTAGCCGGCAACCGCAACTCGCATATGTCCAACTTCTCCCGCTACACCGACTTCCCGCAGATGGGCGCCGGCGCAGCCGCTCAACAGCACCCCGCGGCAGCATCGAGACACATGTCCATGGGCGGACTGAGCAGCTACCAAGACGCACCCGGCCACCAGAGCCGCCACAGTCTCGGCTTCATGCAAAGCCACGAGAACCTCCTGGGCAATCGCTCCCGCAGTCCGCTGGGTCAATACCCGCCCTCGCGCCCCGCCAGCACTGCCTTTGATTTCCGCGGCGTTGCGGGCGGTGGTCCGGACGAGTCGGCCATCATTGACGCAACGCGTTCCTGTCTGGCGGAGGTCGATCTCGACACCGTTACCAAGAAGCAGGTCCGCGTTCTTGTCGAGCAACGCCTGCAAACGACCCTGACCGGCGAAAAACGCGCTTTCCTCGACCGCCAGATCGATCATGAACTGGCTAATATGTGATTTTCCCCCATTCGAGGTGCCAGCGCGAGACCCGCGCTTCTTTAATTCTTGTATCAATCATGCATCTACACGAGCGCTATTAACAAAACATTTCGCTTTGCCTTGTTTATCTTCATTTTCTTCTCTCTTTACAGTTGTGTTTTGCTGGGATGTTCTTTTTTTTCGGCATGTCTGGTGTTCTGACGGGCTGCATTCTTTTTGAAAAATCTGCTTCTGTTTTATGTTACTTTTGTGTTCGCCTCTTTTTTGGGCTAAGTTCATTGAGCGATTTTGAAAGGGTATCTATCTTGTTTTATTTATAGTTTTAATGTGATCGGATGGTGTATCTTGTCCAACTTACTCCGTGGAACTCCGTAGTATTCTACTTGTTGTTTCATGGTAACGCCCGCGTAAACTTTGCCCTTGTAGTACATACTAGTCCTAGTGGATACTAGTTATTAAGGCTTTGTTCCGTCGGGTAAATGCTCTTGTATCCAGCAAAGTGACAAATCTTATAGGCATACCTAGACTACCCCTTATTACTCAACTGCGTACAGATTTCACATCAAGATATCTCTATTATTGATTGGGCCCCCCCTGTCTCCACTAGATTGAAGTGGACAAACTACTAGTAGCACCTACTAGCGGTGAAAAAGCTTCAGCTCAGGTGTATTTAGACGTGGCTGGACCCGCCTCGCCTCCTTCACCTACGCCAAGCCTTGTGATGTAGATCTAGATCTAGGCCCGGTGTAACGAATGCAAAAGCTTCTTGATCCCCCTCGGTCCATGGGCCTGGACATGCTCGTAGTAATAATCCTTCGCAGCGTCCATGATAGCTTTGAGACTCGCGACGGGTACTTTTTCTTTGCGGTCGTAGGTGTAAAGGCCGTTCACTTCTTGTTCGATGTCGCACCTACACAAGTATTAGCATCACCTCGAAAACGGAGATCACCACGCTTCTCCACCAAGTACTGGTATATACCAGTGACAGGGGAGCTTTCACTCACAACTGCGTATAAACGAGTCCACAAGTATGGCCCCCCTTAACAATTGCCATGACAAGCCTCTCATACCGCTTCAGGAAATCCTCAATATCCGTCGCGGTCGTATATCCCCAATCACGCTCGCCCGCCTGGTCACCTTTCCCCGGCGCGATATTCACGCCCCCGAACTCGGTACAGATAACCGGCGCACCGGCCTTGTGCGCGGCACCGGGGTCGAGGAGTGTATGTCCCGCGAAGCCGGAGTAGATAGGTCTCGAGAACATATCATGACCAGCCTTCGGGGCAAGAATCCCGCCCTCCATTTTCGAGCAGGTTTCCGATAATTCAGCCGAGTCGCTGTAATCGTGGTAAGTTGTCAGATCGGTGAGGACATGTTCCCAGCCGCAATTATCATTAATAGGCCGACTTGGGTCCAGAGTCTTGGTCAAGTAATACAGTGAGCGGATATGATTCCGCTGCTCGATATCGTCTTTCAACGATGTATAGGCCCAACTCTCATTGTTCGGCGTCCATGTCACAATGCACGGGTGATTGATATCCCTCTTCACAGCCTCAGTCCACTCCCCATTCATGCGCTCAATATAATCCGGCCCAAACTCGTACGCGTTGGCCATTTCGCCCCAGACAACGAAGCCCAGCCGATCAGCCCAGTAATGGAAGCGCGGGTCCTCGACTTTCTGATGTTTGCGGCACCCGTTGAATCCCAGATCCTTCGCCATCTGGATGTCGAGGCGAAGAGCCTCGGACGAGGGCGGCGTAAGACCTGTCTCGGGCCAGTACCCCTGGTCCAGAAAGAGCATTTGGAAATAAGGCTTGCCATTCAGTCGGAACGTCCCATCACCATTCTGCCACGAGAGACTGCGCATTCCTGTCGTCGTCGCCACTTCATCAACGACCTTCCCAGCCGCATCATACAGCCGCAAAGTCAAGTCGTATAAAATCGGATGCTCAGGAGACCACAACGCCACACCATCATGCCAACACCCCTCCACATTGAACGGCGCGTCCTTCTCCAGAAGCGAGACATCCGAACTCAAAACCTTCATACAAACATCCAGCCCAACCCAATCCCTCTCCTTAAGAGACCCCCTAACCTTTCCCTTCCCACCCCCAACAACCCGTCCACCAAGACTAGCCTCAATCTCAACACTACACTCCGCGCGCGCCGCACGTCCCAGAACAGCGACTTGCGCACGAAGAACTCCACCCTCAATATCATCGCTCCTCAACACAGTCCCCGCACTCCCACCTCCAATCCGCATAAAAGGCACACTCTCCAACCAAACACTCTGCCAAATCCCACCAGTCGGCGTGTAAAAGATGTTCTCTGGCACGGGGCCCCAGAATTGTTTCCCGCGCGGCTGAGCCAGGTCGTACGGACTATCCCGTACGCGAAGGGTCAATCGTGCACTGGCACTGGCACTGGCACTCGTCGACGATACGGCGTCGGAAATGTCCAGGTCAAAGGGGACGTGGCCGCCGCGATGCCCGCCGATGTAGCACCCATCGACCCAGACAGAGCAGTCGTAGTCTACGGCGCCGAAGCGGAGGAGTAATCTATTGCCCTTTGCTAGGTCGGCGGTGGAGCGGATGTCGGTTATTGTGCGCTCGTACCAGAGGACCTCGTGGGCTTCGCGGAGGTTTATTCCTGAGGCGAGGGTTTGGAAGGCGTAGGGGACTTTTATTTCTCGTTTTGAGTTTGTCTTGGTCGAGTCTGTTAGTGCTGGCGAGGCTGGGGATTGCTCGGGCAGGCCTGTTTTCTGCCATTGCTGGGATAGACCTGTGTCTTTGTCGTCGAAGATGAAGGACCATGGGCCGTCGAGGGAGGCCCAGGTTAGGGTTTTGCGTTGGAAGTCGGGGCGGGGGTAGGTTGATGCCATGCTGGGGTGTTTTGTTTATTTGCTTGGAATGGGGTGTTTCTTTTTTCGAACGGAACTGAATTGAATTCTAAGTTGAGTCTGAGGGTTCTGGGATGATGAGGGGAAGGAAGTGGTTGTTGGAGTGGTTGAACCCCACGTTGCTACGTCAGCTGGGATCGTCGTTGCGGGGTGATCTATCAAGTTCAAGTTATGAGTTGGAGTATCTGGCATATATACATACTTGGCTATCTATGAGCGAGGGAGGATTCTGTCAACTGAATCAATACCAGTGGAGAGATTATTTGGCGATGGTTCTGCTCCTTAGATGCCTTCCTTCGAGCTTCATTGTGATATTGTTTTCACGGAAGTAAGGCAGTCCCCACCTGCTACTCTAGGACGAAAAACACGACAAGGAACTGGGTTGAATGTTCTTTGGCTGCTTGAAACTGAATAAGGGCAAGGGTTTGCCAGTATGGTAACACAATATGATATTCAATATGACAGTTTGGCAGGATGCTGCCGCGGACTGCTGGCAGTGATGATCGGTGGGAAGAGAAATGGGATGTGATAGAGTCGAGTTGCAGACTGGGGACTTCAAGTCAGAACCTTGAAAGAGAAGAGCCCGAGCTTTTAGCTTGGTACAAATGGACGTAGCTAGCGCATGCTAGGCGTCACCTTAGTATTGTGGTCTATGAAATTGGCTGCCATGAGAGTATAGAAAGAGTAAAAACCTCACTAGTTCCACCAGCAGTGATGGGAAAAAGGAAACAACACCACAAATGGAATATCCCAGATTTCCCACCATTATTCAATCCAAAAGCCCAAATTCCAAATTCCAAAAAGTCAGGAATCGAACTCTCACCCTCGCTGTTGCTGGCGCGGCAATATTTCGTGACAACTTCACTTTCTTTCCAAATCGGGAAGCCTATTCCCAAGATTTGGGAGACCTTCACATCCAAATCTTCAAAGAAGATATGATACAGGGGATAAAAATATAAAAAAAAGTTCATTATACCTCGACAGCCCTTTGGGAATGCCTTTATGACCACCCGCCCACCTGGATCCTCACCCGTCACTCAGCGCCAGGCCGCAACGCTGAGGGCGGCTCCCCAGTTTTGGACCTGAGGAGCTTCGGTGGTGAGTGGCTTTGCCACTGAGCCACCTGAGGTGAGGAAGTTGACAGTACTTCGGATCTTGAAAACGTATAGGGTCTTTTGACGTCATTTTCACAGCGTTTTTTATTGTATGCGCTCTTGCCATGAAATGCTCTGAGCGATCAAACGTCTACCAAGGTACCTGCACATTTGACCACTGTCACACTTTCCTAGGTAATACACATATTGAATATTGCCTGAACACAGCAGGAACTATACTTATCTAGTTTCTTAATCGACACCTCTTTTCAAACAAATATTACGGACTGTCCTTGAAGCGGCGGATTACAGAACGACATTCTCTAGGTACTAGAAAAACTCGCTATTTGCTCCTTTGGCACTAAGATTATTCAAAAAATGTTCCAAGGGCTGAAATGAATAGGGAAGACAATATTGCATCTTTTCAGGTTTTGGACCGAGACCCTAACTGCTAGGTCTAGTAGTCCTACCCACTACACGTAATGTGTATCCGAGTCCTGATAATCCCGACTCGGAGGCTCCGGTCTTAGGCTTTCCTTCCAAGGTATACACAGGGAAGAAAGTCCCTACTTATGGCGTTTGGAAAGTTCCGATTATCATTCGGGATAGTAGAGGAACCGAAAAACAAATGACTCTGCCGTGTATCGCAGTCGATCGCGATCCACGAAAAGAGGTATCTCCTGTACTACTATCATTACAACAATTAATGATCACCGAATTACCATCGCACCATGGAAGAAACAATGGTGGTTCGATATCAAGAAAACAAACCTTGAAATCATGACTCCACATTGCTTTGCCAAAGCTCTCAAAACGTAAATCACGGTATTTGCAGTTGTTAAAATACCCGACGAGGACGTCTGGCTTCCGGAAGAGGAAGAAAAACCACCCACCAACGAATCAAGATCGAGTCTCCCCCCAGAGTTCCAGGGGTTTGAAAGTACTCCGAGAATATCTCAATGAAAACCTGAAAAACAAGCGAGTTCGTCCATCTCAAAGCCCAGCCGGAGGACCCATCCTCTTTGTTCCTAAGAAGGCAGTCTAGTCTCTCGTTTGTAGTTTTCTTTGTTGGAAATAAGACTGATTGTCCATTCTAAACAGGATTCCCATCGATACACATGCGGGCTGGCTGCGTTTTGCTTCCGATAACGCATCCATTTAGTTCGACAGTGTTGATCAAGGTGTTGTACAGCCTTATTAATCTTTGCTCGATCATTACTGTATGTAGTCGGGTCTCCTTCGAATGTAATGTCCAGGTCAAAGATTTATGATTCGCGCTGTTGGCGGGTGAACTTTTCAGTCAGCGGCTTGATCTTGATCCCTTTGATTTCTCTAGGTTTTGAGTCTGAATCGACTACGGATCCGGCCTGAGAGGTAGGCATGAGGGCGCTAAATATCGGGCCGAGTTGTCCCTCTCTGCTTTTTTGGTATTTGAGGAGGGATTGAACTCACTGGTGACTCTTTATGACCTCTTGAACCATTCATTCCATCTCAATCTGCTCGTTATATAAAACTCGTTGCTTTTGTAGAGAAGGTGTCGGTATATTCTCCGGGGTGAGTTCTGTTAACGGGTCTCGCTTAGATTGACTGGCGCGTCTTGCAGCAGTACCACTGGATTCTGGGACTTCTGGGACATTTGAGATTCTGTCACGATTCCGTTTGGTCGTCGTTGGAACCTTCTTCGAGTCGTGCGTACTGCGAGCGTCGGGTGGCTGGTGTCATGGTCATGAGGCATTCTCTTCTTCTTGGGTGACCAAGAGGAGAAGAATCAGAGTTGTAAGGGTTGCTAAGGTATCAGCTAGCAGTGATTGGTCAAGTAAGAACTGAGAGATTATGCCTAAGATTCGATTGCAAAACAGAGACTGATTCTTTCTGATTCTTTGAAGAACCTTCAAAGAATCAAGGGCGTCACGCCTATTTATAATACATCAAAGGTCCCCGATTCATGAGGGAATTGTGTACGAATCGGATATGATTCCGACCTGATACTACCCCGTCACATCCCCAACTGTCCAGAATATTGTTCCGTATCGTTGGTTGTTCATGTTGTTATCTCATCCTGACAGAGGGGGGTTCGGCATTGAATCTGTTCCCGGTCTGAATATCACGTGATTAGATATCAATTTCCCGTGACAACTGCTTCCATTTCCAAGTCCCCTGGGTAGGTTCTTGTTGGCTCTGTATCACGCTAGTCATGTATATACCCTGATAGCTTCAAAATTACCTCTTAGAAAAATTGGAAAGCTCCTAGTACATCTACGGGTTTAAATTACGTCGTTCAATATTATAACCATAACAAGTGGCAGCGATCTGCTCTGAATCTGCCTCATACAATCCCAGAGATTCAAGATCCAACTTGAACATCCAAGGTCCACGTGTGAAGGCGCTTAAACCCAAACTTCTCTCTCCTTCAAGTTAATTCTATTCTATTCGCGAGCCCTTAAGGCTTGATCTGACACCTTTGTCTCTCATGCCCAGGTGCTTGCTTGATATTGTACTTCTCAAATTGCAAATCCTTCTCGTGGGCCCCAAAATGCTCGCGAGGTTCATCTTGATCCTCAGCTTAGCTGTATTCGGGTCCCCGTTTGCCTCCCAGAAAGACTTCCCAACGGTTTATACGAAGTCTACTACAGCGCTCTCGGCAAAGAAGTCTTGAATTAATCACTTCTGATATGGCCGATCTCCCGTCTCCTTCACCAGCACTATCTACTAGTAAGCGCCAGGACTCCGAGTCCGAACCAGGCGCACACCAAAGACAGACGCGATGGAATTCCCAGCAGACTTTCTGTGGGTGCGGGCTTCACATGAACAACGGGGATACAGATCGGGCCAATTTTGCAATGGCCATCTATGCCGCCTCGTCGCCGGAGCTTGATGGGTTCAGAGGTTTCTTGTTGATTTACAACACTAAAAACGTACCGGACTTCACATAGGAACACAGGCTAAGACTTCCACGGTAGCAGAATTTTAGAACCATCCATGTTCGAGGGGTTGCATAGCTGTGTATAAGATTGGAAAGCAAGCACAAATGCGCAAGCGCGGTGTGAGACCAGGGGTTGGCTGGAGCGTGCCAGTGGAGTTGTTGATCGCCGAATGGAACAACTGCCCAGGTGTCTGACTCTATATTCCTTTTCTCGTCGATGGAATCGGAGCACATGTCGACCTAGACACGTGCGCACAGGTTGGCCTAGTCAGCCACGAGGTAGTCAAGAAGCAGCGCTTCCAGCGAGCAACATATAATGCATCTCAGATCGAAGCAGTTGTTGGAAAGACAGTTCCAACATACGGCGTATGGAACGTTCCAATCACGACTCATGATACCAGAGGGACAGAAGCGAGTATGATTCAGCCCTGTTTTGCGGTCGATTGGGACACATGGAAGAAAGAAATATCCCCTTCGAGGTAGGAAAGGAAGAGAAAAGAAGAGAGGAATGGAAGGAATACAAATGGGAAAGGCAGATGGGAGCCTACTTGAAGCAGAAGGTGCAATCATGTGGTTCTTTTGTTATTACTAGCACTAGGGGTACCTTCCAAGCTACAGAGCGGCGTACCTGCCTAATCCGATCTATATTGAAATTTTAGTAAACAAACACAGTAAAAATCGAGTCCGAAGGCATCGAAATATTCTAATCCAAATTGGTCTACTCTGAAGTTACTAAAGACTGTATTGTTATAATCTGTAAAATAAGCCTCTTGATTGACTCAATGCTGTCTAGTCAAATCTTGAGAAAGCCTTCACGCCAGCTTCAAGTTTTATTTGTATCTATAAGACCTGGAGACCTCGTATTGATTGGTTGAGCAATTATCGTATCAGAGATATTCCTCCGCATCACATGACAGTGATCTAACTATATTCGAGGTCTGTGTTCGCAAATGACTCATTCATGTTCTTCAAGAACCACTGGCTGTCTGAGCAGACTTCCTATCGTGGAATAATCCAAGAACTTTGCAATAATTCAGGATGGTCCACGTAAAACCGTTTGTTCTGGACCACTGGGGTACGCGAGATCTAACACTAGCATCCATTTTGACTCAATAGCACCAAAGACTTCGCTGACGGATCGTTTGGAATTAGTCCGCCAGTTTAAGGTATGCCAAGATCGCGACAGACTATGCTTAAAATGAGACGTCAGTATTAATTGAGTACACTTCAAAGCCATCCTCTCAGATATCGTTGCACGGTTTGTTTCTCATCAACATTACACTCGACCATCAAATCGATAACTTGTTCTAGACACATGCGTGGATCCACTGTCATTACAGGATCTCGCCAAACTTGGGGCGCCCGACTCGTCTGTTCACCCCGTTGAAGCATCAAACAGCTTAATATACGGCTCTGTTCTAGGAAAGCCTGAACTGCGGCAACGAATTCTCGCACTCTACGAGGATGCTGAGACTAATCCCACAGAATCCTTGTCTTTGACAGTCACGCAGGGAGCTATTTCGGCCAACTTCTTGATTCTTGACACCCTCATTGGACCAGGAGATCATGTTGTCTGTCAATACCCGACGTATCAGCAGCTTTACGATGTTCCTCGTCGTGCCGGGGCGGAAGTTTCGCTCTGGCGGACTCGTGCTGAACGCGGCTGGATACCCGATGTATCTGAACTGCAGCTTTTGGTCAAAGGAAATACAAAGATGATCATTATCAAGCAAGTTCTTTTCTACCATGAAGTCGTGTGACTAAGTGTCAGTGCTAATGGTGCAAGATTAGCAACCCGAATAATCCCACGGGCGCATCCATCCCAAGAGGAGTCCTAGAGGAGCTTGTCGCTTTTGCATCCGAGCGAGGAATCATCATCTTCAGCGATGAAGTCTTCCGTCCGCTATTCCACGACGATGCAAAAGATGCTCCTCCATCAATCATCTCATTCGCGGGGCGATATAAGAACATCATTGCCGTCTCCAGTCTCTCCAAGGCATTTTCGCTACCCGGAATCCGAGTTGGATGGATCATCTCGCCGAATTCAGATCTCGTGAATGAGGCTATCAACGCGAGAGATTATACAACAATTTCTGTCTCACAGGTTGACCAGGATATAGCAACATATGCCCTTGATCCCGTCGTTCAAGAGAAGATCCTCCAGCGATCACGGTCAATTTGTCGACAGAATCTCGCGAGCTTGGAGACTTTCATCGCGCGTCATCCAGCCCATCTCTCTTGGGTCAAACCTACCGGGGCATCGTCGGCATTCGTGCGTATCCAGGATCGTAAAACTGGGGCCCCCGCTGATGACGCTGTATACTGTGAGAAAGTCCTCCGCGATACGGGCTTGCTCATCGTGCCTGGCGGTAAGAGTTTTGGTACAGAGACGGCTGAGAATCTGAAGGGATACTTGCGAATTGGATTTGTTTGCTCGACGGGTCAATTTGAAAAAGCTCTCGGGATTTGGGGCGATTATTTATCACAGTAGCCTTCCAGGCTTTCGTGGAGTGTGCGCGGAAATGGAATTTTATCCTCGTCATAAAATCCCCATGTCAGGCACCACTGCGCTCCCTATTAGTCTATCTCCTCCTCTCAGCATACCAATGATTTCTTTAAGCCGTACCAGTGCGAAGGTGGATCTAGCTGAATTAGGCTAATGGATCCCATCGAGCTCGAGCGCTTATGGAGTAATTGTAAAAACGCTTTCTAGGCGGTCTAAATATTTGTCCAAATTAGGCATGCACCTCGACGCTGCACATTAAGCTCCATCAAATCGATCCGATAATCACCTTATGAGTTCCATGTCCCCTCAACGGGGAAATTCCAGCGTAGTTCTGCCCCATATCTAGCCACTTTGTTCCTCAAATAACCCAAGATAACGCCCCGGAGGACCTAAAATCGCAAATAACACGCCCTTTTCTCTTCCTTGTCTTCATCATGCTATCGCTAAGCTCCATTGTACTCGTTACCACCATGGTGGCAGCGGGATACCTCGCAACAATCTGCTTCACGCCTCCAAACACATCCCCCTCGAAAAAAGAACGACACAAGATCGACCGCACATCGTCAATGGGAGATTTCGTCCCCTCATCCTCCGCCAAGCCGTAATCATCGCCGTGGCTTATCACGCTGCTCTCGCCATCCTCCCAGGACTGAACACACCCAATCTCATGACAACATTTTGCCCTCGATTGAACAATCCCAATCCGGCATTATTTTCTTGGACCTTTACCTCCGTCGTCGCGCTCTTGTTGGTGCTCGTTGGGGCCTGGGTACGCCTTTCTGCGTTCGGGGGTCTTGGTCCTAATTTCACGTTTCATCTTGCTGTGCCTTTTCGGCTTGTGAGGACTGGATTGTATAGTTGGGTGCAGCATCCGAGCTATACGGGCCATTTGGCGGTGATGGCGGGGTGCACGATGCTCTTTTTGAGGTGGGATGGTGCACCGGCTTGTTGGATTGAGGAGTCGACTTTGGCGGGATTGTCGGGGTGGGGTGCCTTTCTTTGGGCGTTGTTTATGGGGTTCTCTGTTTGGATGATACTTACTAGGGTCAAGGATGAGGAGGATATGTTGAAGAAAACGTTTGGGAGGGAGTGGGAAGATTGGAATCACTCGACTAAGAGATTTATTCCCGGCGTGTATTGAATTGGTGGGATTTATGAACTTTACTACGCTTGTTCGGATGTGCAACCTTGGAGCATTTTACTGTCATGTGTTGGATGAAGGCGTTGAAGCGCCGAAGGGCTGTTTAAACCTTTGGAGTTGTGGGTGGAAAGGCGGCTACTAGTATTCTTTGGCGCCAAAGCGGTCGTTTTTAGCGTGGATTCTACAGGTCCTTGAATTCTAAATGTAACTTGAAGTTTTGGAAATGCTGTTTGATGGAGGTTAAGCTTCTTGGTTTATGATATCTGGTTCTATACTATGCTACTAGCACTGATCAGAGACAAGATAAGTTTCACTGTAAATCATGATGTTTCGTCCTTTCCAACGCATATCAATTTTATGCGTCAGCCTGGCATACCTCCTTCATCAGGTGGGCATCCACCAATTATAATTTAAAGGCAATCAGGGGCCTAATTCACATTAAAAATGAGATGTCACAGGGAAATTTATTTTTTGAAGTGTTGTAGATCTTATTTTCGCTACTAGTGGTTACTACTTGCTTTCCTTACTGTCATCTTGATTTCCCTTAAAACTTCCAAGGTTGAAGCTAGAAGCGGTAGTAGGAAAGTGAAAAGCTAGGGACAATTTTGTCAGGTCATGTTGAAATAAAATCCAATGAAACAAAAGAACAAAAAAGGAAATAATGCGGCTGGTTTGACTTGAAGTTGTGGCTATGTGGCCGCATGAAATCACGTTACTAGTAATGAGTGAATATCACAACTCCGCCCACCAAGGTCCTATTTCTCTTCTTTTGCCCCTGGCAACTCCCCTTTACTGGCCCCTGGCAGCAACAATGGCCATCAAATAATAATGCTGGTTCTACCTAGATTGATTAGATTACCGGGGAAATGGTTCCTGGAATAAATGGCGTTTGGCATAGATTGCCGTTAAGTTCCAAGGAAGGGTTAGTGTTAACGAACTAGTAGTCACTGGTTCACGTTGGGGACGCCATGGCAGTTGAGCTCTGAATCAAATACCCTAAGAATAGCTTGGCATTTTTTCCAATGGAGGGAAACGCTGTCATTTAGGATGACATTGCTGCCATTGGCCGATAGCACTGCCCACTGGATCCATTCATCTAGCCGGATCGACTTCCGGTGGCTGCCATTGTGTGCCCGTGATAACCCAAGAACATTGGGAAGTACGGAGGAAATGGATAGGAGCAGGGAGGGGAAGGGAGATGGGAACCTAAGACCCTGATCTTTAAGGTGGCGCTTGACTTTGTCCTTGTGCCAGGATAAACAAAAACCCAGCAATTCAACTTCGCCCTCTCCACGTCGTTCCTGTCCGGGGCCCCGACATCTGGAGAGCGGCATTGACGGCTGCAGTCGACTTTCAAAGCGGTCTCCCCGTGGTCGAGTCCTTCTGATCCAGGAAGAAAGCCATCGACCCACCCCGGTATACGAGAAAATGACGTCGACCACTTGGAAACCTTGTCCTACCCCCGGCACCTTTTGACGCCCTTTGGGGTCCCATTGAGGGAGGGGTCGCTACGAAGTACTACAGCTGCAAGTTCCTTCAGGCTTAGGTTGAAGGAGGGGGGAACAGCAGGGGCGAGAAAGGAAGAGCCTATGGTAGTGCTCAACTCAGCCCATCAAACCAGTTTATCGGTCTCACTTCCAGCTGGCAAGTTCCCAGTTTTCCAGTTCCCCAGGCATCAGCGGTATGAACAACCCGCGATCCACATGCCGCGCTGACCAGCTCAGCCTCCCCGCGCCAGTCGGTGGCCGCGTCCGGGCCAGCCGGACGAGATTGGCGGGGTTAGGGTGGCCTTCACACAGCAAAGCCAAAGCCAAAGCCAAAGCCAAAGCAAAGGTTGGGTGGATCGGGGGATCAGATACAGGCGTCGTACAGGGCTCTCGATGCCGCGACCTATGAGAGACCTGATCGTAGTACTGGTGGGTGAGGGAGACGCGGAAGGAGTCGGATCCAGCGAATCTCTTTTCACACTCGGATCCGCAGCAGCAGCAGCTCTGCAGCTGGGGCTGCACAGTCTCGACGGTCTCGAAGCCAAGAGGCGTGCTGCAGAGAGTCAGGTAGACTGCAGGGTGCAGCATTGCAGAAGAGAGACTCCTCATTTTCGAGGATCAATGCTGAAATGCTGCCATGCTCCATACTGGAGAAGGAAAACCACGTGACTATTCTCGCTTGGGTGTCAAAAGTTGGGATCTTTGGGTGGAGCCACAGCCAGAGCCAGAGCTAGAGTCAGAGTCAGAGGGGCCTGGTAGATTTTGGGCCTTGATCGCCCAGAGTAAACCCTAGCGCATTTTGCTGGGATCGGCCGCATTCTTGGGTCGAGTGGTGATGGTGATGGTGGTGGTGGTGCAATGGACTTGAATAAAGAACATCTGGACATGAGGAGAAAATAGTGAACAATAAACTTCTTCATTGTGAGTGTAATATATTGAAATGGACATAAATGCACTTCACCGAGTGTGAAGGATCACCATGAGTGTTGGTAGGAAGTGAAGTGAACTCGGTAGATACGGATCCTCGCCGGGATACCGTAATGACATGACCCGCGCGCACCTGACGACAGCACTTTGAGATGGACAGGTCCTGGTTATTCTATTACTCTCATCCTTTTGATTATTTTGATTAATACCATCAATTATTCCATATCTTCTTTTTGTATTTTGAATTGGACCCGATCGATCCACTTGATCGATCATCGTTCCCACCATTCCCGAAACGCCCACACAGCGGTCATTCCTTATCCCTGTCTCTGTCTGTTCGTGCCTCTAGAACTTGCGACCTTTCCTCCTCCACACCTTCTTCCATCCCCAACCCATCACCTTCCCCCCCCTCCCCCTCCCCTCCATCCTCCTCTCCTCTCTTTCCCCTTCGAGTTATTCGTAGGGGCGAGAGACTCACCATTCCGACCCTCCCGGTCATGCACAAGATCTCCAACTTTACGGGCCAGGCCCGTCATGGTTGGGAACGAATGACGCCGACCTTTGGGATGTCCAGACCTCACACCGACATGGCCTTTCGCCGGCCACATGGCGCTCCTCCACCCATGACCCCTCCGACGAGTATTGACCCGACCGTCAATTTGTCCTTCAATGTCCCATTCTCGTCTACCTTGGCCGGTCCCGATGTCGAGGATGTACTTCACGCCAGTCCGAATGCCCTCCAACGTTGGACTTTCCCCGAGGGCTCCCCCGAAGGTACACAGGTACATCAACTGCCTGTTCATACCAGCAATGTGGATGGCTTGCGGAGGTTATGTCGGCAGATCACCGAAACAAGTGCGGGACGGATCGAAGCAACGGTGGCCTCGTCTGAACCAAAGGCCTTACCGTCCTTACAAAGGCGGCCGAACGGCTTGGTGACCAACGTCTGTGTGACAGGCGATGGCGAAACCGTGCGCAAGATGCGAGCAAAGATTTTGAACGAAACCCCAATCATGCTGGTATGTGGGCGAATTTTTCACAACGCCCCGGTGTACCCATCTGGTGTTCCGCTTGGGGAAGAAAAGGCTTTCCTTGCTGACTATCCGCCCTTTTGAATAGCGCTGCGCAACTGTCGATGTCGATATGCACCTGATTATGGATGGATCACCGAAGGGGATCAGAGCTAGCGTATTGGAGCATATGGATACCTTGGCCGCCTATACCGGAACCGATATTTTCTTGCTGACGCCGAAACTTCACGACGCCGATAGTGCCGTCGTTTCGTCCTACGGCTATGCCTCTGATAATGGGCTTGAGCAGCGTTTCCGTGTTGCCATCTACGGTGACATGGAAAGCTCCGAACATGCTAAGACTCGGGTGCTGATCATGATTGACCAAATCGTACGTCTTTTTCAGGGTGGGGGAACATCGGGGGACATCAAGTGCGTGCTAATACGAGGGCAGCTGAAACGCCATGTCGATGCTATCAAGCTGGAGCTCACCATGCACACCTTGGTATGTGGCCGCACCCGCAAGAACATCAAGCTCATCGAGGCTGCCACCGGCACCGCTATTTATTTCCCCCCGCCGTTCCCTCGAATTTTCGGATATACCCCGCCGGGCGCGAACCGCCGAAGCGAGGATGAGGTCTATATTACCGGTGATACCCCGGAACAAATTGCTCGAGCGAAGCAAAAGCTGCGAGAGTTGGTGATGGGTGTAAAGATATATGTCAAGGACGTTGTTGTCAACTCGAGCAAGATTGACAATATCCTGCTTGATCGATTGGACAAGGTTCGCAAGGTGATGGAGATGAACGGTTCCTATGTTCTGTTCCCCCAGCTGGGTAGCCAACGCGGCCTGGTTCGGATTCAAGGCACCGAGGTTTTGCACGTTGAGCGGACTGTGAGGGAGATTATGGCCTTGGTATGATCACGAAATTATCAACAATGTGGCTGACCTCTGCTAATCCGTCTTTCCTTTGTTTAGGCTGGCCAATTCTATAGTGCCTCTTGGTGGATCATCATGCCCGACCCCGCACAGAGTGGTCTTCGCGCACCTTCGACGCCTGAAATTCGCTCGATGCTCACTGATATCTGTACCAACTCGGAGGCCGAGGTCAGCTTTGACAACCAGACATTTACGATTAACGGATCCGACGATGCTGTCAAGGCCGCCATGACTGTTGTAAACCAGATTCCATTTGTTACCCGCAGCCAGTACCAGATGCGTGTCAAAATCGAGCTCGCCAATGAGCACAAGGAGTTTGTCAGTGGCAAGAAAAATGGCAAGATCAACAAGATCATGGGCCAGAGTGAGTTGAATTTCTCAGGTGTTCCCCGGCTACCCTGCTAATTTTATACCAAAGGCAATGTTCAAATCATCTTCGACGGTTTCAACGAATATAACTTTTACATCGATGTTTGTGGCAACCAGTACGACTCGACTAGGAATGGTCTAGATCTTGTTGAGCAGGAAATGCCTGCTTCCATCTCGTTTCATGTACCCGACCAGTATCATAAGCGTATCATTGGAATCGGCGGACAACACATTCAGCGCATCATGAAGAAATACTCTGTCTTCGTCAAGTTCTCTAACGCTATGGATCGTGGAGGAATGGGCAAGGAGGATGATGATATCAAGGTTGATAATGTCATTTGCCGTACGCCCGCTCGCAATGCCCAGAGTCTGGACCTGGTCAAGCAGGAGATTATGGACATGGTCGAGAAAGTTGTACGTGTCGTGTCACCCCGATTGAGACTCAACCGAAGCTAACGTACCACAAGGACGCCGAGTATGTCTCGGAGAGAGTTGTCATCAACCGACTCTACCACCGTGAACTGCTGGCTCGCATGACCGAGATCGATGAGCTCGAAAAGAAGTGGAACTGCAAGATCGAGTTCCCCAGCACCGAACTTGCCAGCGATGTTGTGACTATCTCTGGCCCCGAGTACCAAGTCCCCCAGGCTGTCGATGCCTTGCTGGGCATGGTTCCGGAAAGCCACGAGCTTCACTTCCAGAGCTCGGCTGAGCTGCGGGAGTACTTCAAGGCTCCTGATTTCCTTGCCGACGTAGGCACCAAGCTCAAGGAGCAGTACGAGGTTGACATCAATGTCGACGTTAGTGCTGACCTTCCGCTCGCTCGGGATGATGGGTCGTCCTCGCCGGACCCCGCCCCCGAGGACCGGGTTGTTCTCGGCTACACGCGCAACAATGCCGGTGGCCTTAAGGATGCCATCGACTTCCTCATTTCTCGCCTCGTCGCCCATGGCCTCGATGCCAACACGGTCAAGGGAGCGATCCCTCGCCCCAAGTCGGATTCGTTCGAGGAGTCGCTGCCCTTCTTCGACTCGAAGCTGTTGCAGCACGCCCCGGCACCTCTCCTCACCGACTCTCCTACCCGACCCAGTTTCGCAGACGAGACCAGCGAGCGTGGCTCGATCTTCGAGCGCCTTCGCAAGCCCGGAAGTATCTCGTCCTTCTCCTCATTCATCGGACGCAAGAACCATTCGGCCTCACCCGGATCTTTCTTCAAGCACGCTTCGAGCAATGCTTCGAAGGCTTCGCTTGTCTCGATGGAATCGCGGGATAGTGGCTACCGCAACCCTTGGAATGACTCCGGGGTGAACCTCCCCGAGGACGACATCCCCGTCCTGGGGAGCTCGCATAGCCACAAGAGCAGCAACAGCAATGGCTGGCCCACACGCTTCGACGCCAAGTTTCCTTTCGGTACGGCGCCCGGTGACATGACGCCCAAGCATGACCCGCGCGCCTCTTTTGACAGCGGTCGCCCTAGCACTTCGAATTCTACTTCTGGATACCCGGCCCCAATTGGGCCACCGCGTTAAACACAAAATATCCATTTACAGCAGTATACCCTTTTGGTTGATTTGTTTCCCAGCGAGTGTTCTCGGTTTCTTCCGATTTGATAGTGGATTTTGGTTTATTCTGGATTTTTTGAACTTTTTTTTTATCCTTTTCTTGTTTCTTTTTTTTATTATCTATTTTTTTTTGATTGATACCACGGAACGCAAGCAATGAAGGCGTCAGAAAAGAAAAACGAGAGATATCCAAGATGTGCGTGAGATAGAGCGGGAATGACTTTTGTTTTTCCCTTTTCTTTTCTCTTGACTTTTTTTTTATATCATCCAAGTTGCCGTATCTGTTTTTTTTATCTCTATTTTGATGTCTTGCAACAACGACGAAATTCCGGTATGCATGGGTGGAAAGGGATGGATGATGTCGTGCGCCACGCCTGGTCAGTTGACTTTGATACCTCAGGCTGGTCGGGAGTTTTGTTTTGGTTTTTGAGTCTCAATGTTTTTTTTACTCTTCTGATATCCCCATCAATGAGATTTGACCTTAGACGATTTCCACTCGCGGGTCTTTTGACTACAATGCTATGAAGCGAGTTGAGTTCGCAGGCGTAGCTTTCGTGGCCCTCATCGTACACACTCGAGTCGGTCACCGAGTCGGTCACTGAGTCAGCTAGGAACATTTTGATGAATTTTCCAAGGTTATAGAACATTTTGAAATAGAATGACGGTTGGAATGCGACAAGTTCTCCAAGATAGCCATGTGTTGCCAGACCATCGACACAAGGTCAGACGTCTCCGACTTCTCCACGGCCCTGTTCTTCCCTGAGGTCCTCACTTTCACTCTTCTTCACGCCCTTAGGTTTAATAAAACAAGTAGCGAGAATCGTAACCGATGCCGTGCAAGCGTAGAAAATCCACATATTCCGCAACCCGGTCACATAAGTCCCTCTGCGATCATCACCCTCATCCCCAGCCTCAATCCTAGAAGTCAAACTACCGCTTCCAATACTCTGCTGAATCAGAACCGTCCCTAGGACAATAGAAATAGACGTGAATAAATTCCGGAGAAAAGTAAACGCAGACATCGCCGCTGCAACGTCTTTCTGCCGTAAATGCGTCTGCAAGGAAATCATCGGACTCTGGAAAAGTAATCCAGCTCCCAGACCGGCAATGACTTCGAAACAGATAATTCTAGCCCAGGAGATATTTGTTCCGAAGTCGATGAATAGACCCGTTCCTAGCGTGAGGACGGTCGTGCCTGTGAAGATCATGGCGATGTAGTTCCCCGTTTTGCGGACGAACATGCCTCCGCCGAACGTCGCGACCGACATTGGAATTATCAGCGCGAAGAGCGTGACGCCGGATATTATTGGTCGAAACCCGAGGACGACTTGGTAGTACAGTGGTAGGAAGAAGTCGAAGGAGATGAAGACGAAGGAGTGGAGACACGCGACGGTGAACGAGGCGAGGAGTGATCGCGTTTGAAAGATCCGGATTGGGATCAGGGGGTTTGTCGCGAATTTGGCTTCCCATATAATAAATAGGGCCATTATTATGACACCGAAGATTATTAGTAGGATTACTGTTGGTGAGGTCCAGGGTATGAGGCCGCTTGAGCCTGTTTCGAGGCCGTAGAGGAAGCAGATTGTTCCGCCGATTATGAGTAGGAAGCCCATCCAGTCTATACTGCTTAGTCTTGTTACTGGCTCTTTCTCGAGGGTGAGATTCAGGTTGAAGAAGAGGAGGAGTAGAACGACGCCGTCGAAGGGAAGATTGATATAGAATGGGCTATTGTTAGCATGTACACGAGGAACTAACCATGGTCATGATCAATATTCCAAACCTGAACTTACAGCACCATCTCCACCCAATACTATCAGTGAAAACACCTCCCAAAACCGGTCCAATGGCACTAGCCATCGCAAACGCAATCCCAGTAATACCATAGTATTTAGGACGCTCCGCCAGCGCAAAAATATCGCCAATAATAACCGTCACGAGAACGATCGACCCACCACCACCTAGTCCTTGCACGACTCTGCCCGCGATAAGCGACATACTCGCGCTGGCCAATGCACTGACCAAACTCCCAACCATAAATATACTAACTGCAGCCATGATTGTCGGCTTTCGGCCGCAAATATCTGAGATTTTGACCCAGACTGGCGTTGAGGCGGTTGTTGCTAGTGTATAGCTGCTTCCGATCCAGGCGTATTCTCGAGACGTTACTCCTAAATGCGCAGCGATGCTGGGTAAAGCGGTTGAGATGATTGTTATATCGAGTGCGCCGAGGAAAAGGGACATGCAGAGTGAGAGAACAATTAGTCGGCGCTGCCATGGTTGCATTTGAGGTGGTTGGAAGGTGGATGTTTGGGTATTGAGCCGTTCGACATCGTTGTGTGTTGCCTTTTCTTCGACTTGGGGTCCTGATGTATCTGTCATTGTTAATGAATTATGAAAGAGATGTCAAGATTTTTTCTGACCTACGGATTTTTGGAAGACTTTTGAGAATAGTCATTTGCGTCCCTTGCTCCGTCCACCAGGTGGTTTCACCCCCACTCGGGGCCACTTTCCGCGTGCCAAGACTGTCATGATCTGACTCTAGCTGGCAAACTTCGCCGATTTTCTTTGATCTGGGGTGGGGAAAATATAAGCGCTTGAAGGGGTGACTAGGGTTGTATACATACGGACCTAATTGGAGGAGGGAATTGGGAGATGGCCCCGGCCACTTCCCGGTGCTGGTAGGTCGAGAAATCTGTGACTGCTCTACCAGCATTGGAGCAATTTTGGATGAACATTAGACGAGCACTACCAAGTGGACACCTCCTTTAGCTGTGTAAACACATATCCTGTCTACTATTTAAAAAAGGTGCTGTGTGGGCATTACCTACCATGTGGGTCAGTCCTGATCAAACCTTGGAAATATACCATCAGTAGTATTAGTAGTATGTTCAAGTTACACACACTTTTTCAAGTTGGCGACAAGGTACTCGGGTCACGGTGTGGTTTAGTAAATATGGCTAGTATTATAGCTTCTGCTAGTACTAGAATCCACCCTATCACCTGGGCAGATAACTATTCTGACTTTGAAGTTATATTATTCGTTACTGAGATAGTTAGCTTTAGTACATACTCAATCACCTACCTGGCGGTGAGAAAGTAAGATTCTGGCATCCTACTGTAGCTCGTGGTAATACACATACAGAACCTTTTCTGAAAAGGCAGGATAGGGTATTCAGATAGCCAAATGGGATTTCAACTTGATAGCTCCCAAATAAGCCAGGGGGGATGGTCCAACTACAGTAACAAAAATGGTGGTCCAATTAGCATCCCTCGTTCAGATAGCTAAAAGGGGTGTCCACTTAATAGTGCCCCACTAAACAAAGGACATTTTGAATAGGAATCCGTGGCTCTTATTTGTTAATCTGACGAATTCGCAGAGCGGAACCGATAAAGATGCAGAACCAGCCGCTCGGAATAAAAATTTCGCTAAATACCCAGGTCATCGCTAATTAATAACATAACAGCAACTTTCTTTGAAATCAGAGCTAGCGTCTCCATGGCTGATTCTTGGGTTCGGAGGGATTCGCTCAATGGCCTTCACTCCCTGAGGCAGAGTCGGAGCGGGCTTCAAAATCGGGACAGCGAAAACTTAGGAAATTTACAACCAAACCGCTATAAGAATTAAATTGATCGTTTCCAAGCAGCAAATTTAGTCACAATCACTACTAGTTGAGAACACTATTAGAAGGAGAGAGAGAGAGAGAGAGAGTGTGTGTGTGTGTGTGTGTGTGTTAAAATATAGATCTAGAAGACGGTGGTGTACCTTGGTGATTTAGTATTTCATAATTTCGTCCCCCTTGGCTGCTACTAGTATTGGCTGCCACAGGTTGCCTTAGTTTACCCCACATTCTGTGGAGAAACTGAAATTATGACCCGTTTAGGAATGATGACAGGGAACACTTATTTGCCCCTCGAGGCTCAGATTTTCACTGGTTTCGGAAAATTCCCCGTCAGAACTGAGATTTCAACTACTTTAGGCATCGTCACACGGGAATAAATGTACATAGCTGTCCACTACTCCATATGTGTGAACTATTTAAACACTGGCAGACCCCCTCGCACATCTTAAATTCGCACCACCGTTCCTAATTTCCAAGCCTCCAAACGTTCAAGACCAACAGGACCACCCAGAAATCCCAATACTGATCAATACAATTATCATGGGTATCGACGACGCGCTTCCCAGGAAGCTGCGTAGGAAGCTGAGAGAAGACTTGCTGGCCGCGAATGACGAGTTTGTGCGCGACATTCCCAAAATCGAGCTTCACGTGCACATCGAAGGGACCCTGACTCCTGAGCTGAGATGGAAGCTTGCGCAGAGAAACGGCCTCAAGGTCAAGTTTGGCAAGAGTTCGGAGCTCCAGAGTATGGAGGAGCTGAGATATGCCATGAACAGCGCGGAACCTAAGACTGAAGACGAGGAGCGTGAATTTTTCTTCGAGTCATACTACGGAGCCTTTGACACGTTAAAGACCAAACAGGATTACTTTGACCTGGCAATGAACTACTTCGAGCATGTTGCAACCATGAATGTTCGGTATTGTGAGGTCTTCTTTGACCCTCAGGGGCACACAAGCCGAGGTATCACCTGGGATGTTATGATGGGAGGCTTCAAAGAAGCATCGATAAAAGCCCAGAGTGAGCTCAACGTAAGTAGTGCTTTCCACTTAATTGAGAGAAGATTCAAAGCATGACAAAATAATTAGGTCCGTTCTTCGTGGATCATGTGTATACTACGTGATCTGTCCCCCGAGGACGCCATGGATCATTACCAGGCCGCGCTGCCCTATCGCGACATGATTACCGGCATTGGACTTGATTCCAACGAATACCATCGACCTCCTTTACTGTTTCAGGAGGTGTTCTCACTGGCCCGACGGGATGGCTTCCGAATCACGATGCATTGCGATGTGGGACAGGACAATACCCACGAGCACATCCGACAAGTCGCTTCCGAGATTGGCGGGGATGGGGCTGATAGAATCGATCATGGCCTCAACGCTGCCGATAAACCAGAGCTGGTGGATCTGATCCGGAAGCGAGACATAGGCATGACCATCTGCCCGTGGGCATACATGCGATATCAGACCTACGCCGAGCTCGGACCGAAGATGCGTCTTCTTTTCGATGCAGGGATCAGAATCACCGTCAACAGTGATGACCCGGCTTTTATGGACGACGCTTGGATTCTGCACAATCTGTTGCTCACAAAGCACTTTGGATTTACCGACAAGGAAATCGCAATGTTGGCCCGAAACGCGGTCACTGTATCCTGGGCAACACAGTCGACCAAGGAGAAGATTCTTCAGGAAATCGATGATGTCTATAAACGCTTCTATCCAGATTGAAGGAGCTTGCAATTTGTGTCTGCCAGGTGTTAATCTTGCATTCTCAAGTCCTGGGCTCCAAGGAAAATGTTTCTCATGTCGGGAGTTTACTAGTAGAGTGTATGAAAGCGGGATATAAAGCCACATACCATCATCGATGGATCACGATTATCTTGAACTTCATATATTGATAATCTATGATTTTTATATTGTCTAAGTTGGAAGATTTGTTATACAACACCTTACGGTCCTTTGTGACTAAAACAGTAATGTCTGCGAATCAAGAATCTGGGTATCACCAGTCTGCCAAACCTGTTCTAATACATCTATTGCAAGCTTCGGATTGCAACATCCAAGTGTCGCAAAATGACTTGTGAATTCTTTTCGCAGTTGTTGTTTCCATTCATAAGATTCCTGGCGTAGACATAAACCTGCTTGAAACAACGGCCATGACGTTGAGAACTTCCGATTCGTTTCTGAAGATAGTCTTTCGGCCCGCCGAAATACATCCTCTAATAAATCCGAAGTATGGAATGTCTCCTCCGATAGCTGGAAGGAGCGAACGAGATAGAGTAAGATCCCACGTCTCCAGATCTCGACCATGTCTCTTCGTTGCTCGGACAGGATATCAGATCCATGCCACATCCTAACGGCATTGCCAAGGACGATGGCTTTTCTCAAGGCGTCATCGGATTCGATTTGTGAAGAGATGTGCAGCTTATGCCATACAGCAATGTCTGCAATGTACTCAAATAGATCGATAGGGCAGTCAAAAACGTCGAAACCCCATTTGCGACCGGATGGGGATTTGAATTTGTTCAAAGCGGCTTTGATCTGCTCAGGCTTGAGGTGCGGCATCCGAGACGATGTCGTCGCACCCATGATATCTAGCCTAACGAAATGTAAGCGTTGGATAGAATGCAGCTACAGAGAAACGACTTTACCATGCAAGACGTTGTTGGAAAAAGCCTCGCTCAGTTCCGTCCGAGCCATGCCGTTTCACAATTTCACTTGCTGCATTTATGTGTGTTCCAAACTCCAGACAGTCCCCAGAGCAGAGCTGTAACATCTGTTAGAGTAGCCTTGAAGAGATGGTATCCGAGCACCTACATCGAGCTGGGCAAGTAACACCATACAGGCAATACTAGAAATGTCTGTTTTCTCGATGTCATTTGTCAATTGCTGTCTGAGCGCTCTCGTGGCCTCCAGCCGCAAGTGGAGACTCTGCATTTTCAACTTGTTGTCCTGAAGTCTGTTCCCAATATGGCAAGACGCCGTCGCCCCCACGGCATACCTAATGCAGGGGACATTCGTGGCCATTGGTAGTATAAGTTGTGTGTACGGAGTTTGCGCAGGGCCGTTGCCCAGATAGAAGGCTGTGCTTATTTCGCGTGCGTCTACAAGCCATGAGCGATAGCCAAATCTCGCCATGAAGAAATCTCCTTACAATATTTGACGAAGACCTGCACGCTATCGGGAGGAAGTAAGGCCGCAGGCATTGTCCATGTAGGTCGGCGATGTGGTAGCACGCGTCTGGCGTGGGGGTCCTCATTTTCCGAAACCAAGTGGAACGAGGCTTGCTCTTTTTGAGGGGTGGGTATTTCAGTAGCGGACTGGTATGTCCTGCCGGCCATATTTCCCCTGGCTGCTAGGCCGACCCAACGGAGAGCATAGCCCTCGCATTCGGCGCCGCGCCGATGGCAGCTCATGCACTTGGGCAGGGTTCGATCGCACTTTCGCCCTCTTCGACGACATGTCTTGCAGGCAATACCGAACTGGGGCTTTGAAGCCATTATCCCGAGAGAAGTAATTGTTCCAGTTGCAGCGGATAGATGTGTTCCAGTAAGGATGAGAAAAGGTTAGCCGAGGTGGACGATCAATAAGAATGGGAGGTTCGGGCCTGGGAAAGTTAGCTACAGCACTCCGTACTCCACTCTGAACTGGAGCAGGCGACAGGCTAGTCCGGAACAAGGCAAAGTTTCAGTTCTCCGCACCAAGGTGGGTAAGCTCTTAATCGTCTACCCGGAGTCCCCCTGGGTAAGGCGGACCTGATCCCTGACTCACTGAGTAGCTATGAGCGTTCAGGGAGCACTCAGGGAGGGCTTAAGGAGGGCTTGGTTGAAGCAATCCGGGAGGATCAGAATGGCTTAATTTTGATCATGTGATGTGAAGGTGACTAGATATTTTGGTACAATGAACGCTCAAACTAGGGTCAAACAGCTAACTAATAATCACTGATTGATCACATATGACAGTAACTTTCCTAACCACAAAAACTAGCGTCACTTTAGCTTATTCTCAGGGTCAGATAGACGTGGCTGCTGGCCTTTTCGCTCCTTAGGCTTAACGTGCTTTGCCGGTACCTTAGAAATCAGAGCCAGATCGCTCTCTGGTGTTGAAATCAAGTGATACTAAGCGGCTTGTAAGAAGCTCTTCCACGTTCGTTCTTCCATCGTGAGCTCAAACACCCAGTTCTTCAAAATCCCTTAAGATCTTTTGGATACGTTCTCCATGGCCACTCATATGGAAGAACTCAGCCAGTGCAGCATGAACTCTGAGGAGTTCAGGATCTGGGAGATCCCAGTTTCCTTCGTGTGAGCAGAACATCACGATACGATCTGCAGGTAGATGATGAAACTGCGCACTGAAAGTGTCTTTGTAGGTCTTTATCTTGTACTGGTTGGCAATGCCCGTTGCGATAAAAGCGAATCTGAAGGCACCAAGCTCATCATGTATTAGTTTGTCAAGCATCATCACGTTTCTCTCGTCATTAAGGGACTCTGAGTCATTTCCCATCTTAACAAGACTTGGGAGGTATCAGTTGATGTTGACCCAGGTATTGTGGTGTCGCTTAACATCATTCTTATCCTTGTGATTGAATGATCCAAGACTGAACGGAATGATGTGAGCAGCTTGGAGACTGGTTGTTCTGGCACCATCTGGGTACTTGTGATAGCCACTCCACAATCTATATGCAACACACCTGTAGCCGTCTCTCTGGTCGCGGAGTGTCTTTTGGTTCCGACTGATCGGATCGATGCCTTGAGTGGGGAGGTTTTCTATCGATTCTTCGATACTCTTCCGCGGAGACAAAGCGATGCTAGCAATAGGCGTTACTGGCCAGGAGGATATCACGAATAACATACTTATCTAGGCGACGGCTTGGCAGAGCTCGATTCTGAGGGTCGATGACATTATGCTGACACAAAGACTAATGAGGTGGAAGGGGAGTTGAATATGATTGTAGATATAGATCTCGATACGAAGACCAGGCAACGTGTAGTAGCAGACAACAAAAGTAATCAGACTGAGGAGATGGCAAGAAGAACTTGAAATTCAGAACCTGAGAAAATACAGAAGGAAGTAGATAGGAAGGAACTATACAGATTTGCCTATCGTAGAAGGTTCAAACAGTACTAACTAGTACCGATTTGGGGAAGGTTAACGGTCATGATGACTAACGTACCTACTACAACTAGAACCTGCCTTCCAAGGTTTATTATAGTAGATCTAGATCTGGCAAGTCCCAGTGAATGTAGTCCTACTGTTATTTGACTGCCCTACCCTCCCACTCCCTGGCCACTCATATGGAAGATCTTCTTACAAGCCGCCTGATGTCAGATTTTATATATTGGGGTAAATATAATCATTTTATTCCTACCTTACCTCGACTATCAAGGATTAGCGATAGAATTCAACAAGTTCAAATTGCCAGTCCCGTTCCTTGTGATCCCCGACATAGCTAATAGACACTACAGCCTGGAGGTGGACTGAGCAAAAGAGGTAGACTAGCAAAAGGGAGCCCGGACAGCACATTAAGGTCTAATCAAGTAGGTCTTTATCTCCTACCTAGGTAGCTTCATCGGGGTGCGCTGCTGCTATTCATTCTAATCAAAAGTGTACCTTAAGGTACTGCTTGTTTTTCCTCTGATATCTTACTAGTACTATCACTGTAGTACTACAACCAGGGGACCAGCAAAATTAAACAGAAACCATCTTGAAAAACCATACTTTGATACTTCCAGCAAAAGAGAGCTAGCGTAAGAGTACAATAGTAGAAGCCATCTAAACAAGTTCAAGTTATCTTGATTGGTGCCTTGGACTCTGCCACCTGCTTCTCCCAAGTCCCGCACCTTCCATTTTGCTTACTTACTTCAAGCACCCTAACAGACTCTAGTCACTCCACCCCTTCACATCTACAACATCTTGACATACGATACCTCGCCTCGGAAAACGTTATAAACGCGAACGATCGATCCACCAAAAATGTCAGTGATGCGAAAGACAAACCCCCATGGTCTCCGCCAAACGAACTATTCCTCTCCCGGTCCCCTAGTGCGCTACGTACACTGGCCCTGATCTTGATTGACCCCACGAGAGATTCCATGCCCGAGACTGCAAATGTTGCGAATGATTGGGTTTCTGAAACACCTTGTTGATAACCATTGTCACACTGATGCGTCTAAGGAAGGTCTTGTGTGCTTCGAAGCTCCTGCACATGTATCCCATGAAATCCAGGCGTGACGAATTCCAATACGATTACTGAGACAATATTCCAAGAGTTGATTTGCTGATTTTGACGAAGGGCGATCTCTAGCTTTATCTTCCCCGATCTGCATTTTTCGATACCGTTGTCTATTCACGCCGAGTCGAACGAATTGAATCTGTCAGAGTCCTACCCGCGCGGAATTGGAGCCCCGGCTTCCGAGTCGGATATAAAAGATCTGGCTATGGCGAGATGGCCCGAAAGATATTATTGGTGGAATCATGGTCGCTACTAGAAGGGCTCAGAGTGTTGGATTGAATATTAGTTGGAGAATGGCGTTGATAAGATCTCGGCAAAAGATTTGAACTAATTATACTTTGTCCCTGGGCAAGATCAGGATCTCCAGGGCTCAGATACGGTTGTCGTGTGAATTGAGGACTTCCGAGTCCTATACCTACATACTTACCCTAGGTGTCCCAGAACATTGCCGATAAACGCTGATTTGTTGGGAATGCCGCCTTCCACCCCGCCTTAGCGTACATCTGCCTGTCAAGACAACAAGGCCTCCTTTGTAAGTTTGTCTGATACTCACATGGGCAACCGCCTCAAGCCAGCCGAAGTAACCTTAACAATAAATTTCAAATGGAGAGACCCGAAATTTCAACCCACTTCGAACATTCGGCCTCAGACTTGAATTCCGAAAGCGACGATGCTGAAGCGTGGTGCCCCGGTGATGGCATCTGCCGGCATCCTTGGATTGTAGACCCTTTTCGGTTTTCAGATCAGTATGATCCTCCGGTGGAAGCGAAGAAAGAGTGCCTGGATAGGCAAGGTATCTTAAAGTGGGCTGCTGAAGTCCAATCGCACTACTAACATGGAGCCTGCTATTATGCTACCGGATCATGACCATTGATTTACTTTTGTAATACAGCTATACCTACAGACCGCGGTGACGCATGAAGCCCTAGTAAGCAAAACTGTTAGTGCACATGGCACCCAGCGCGTTGATCGCTGCCAACATGCAGGCCTAGTAAGTCTACAATGCGGCGCAAGCCCAGAGAGCAAAAAGCGGCGAGTACGGAACATAAATCCGGAAGAGGAAGGTGAAGAATTAGGAGTGGAAATCCGGTACGGAGGTATGTTTGTATATGGATTGAGGACTTATGAATGCTGCCCAACGCTACCAGATATGCAGATTAGACAAAAGGATTTCCTAGTGTTACTAATAGTGTCTCGGGACCTGAACACGCTGAACAGAATCCGTAGCGCCATCCAACGCCACACGAGTCCCTCCATCCTCCCCTTCATAAAATCGTCGCTCGCGAATGTAATACGGTCTCTCAACGTACTCGCCCATGAGACGGTCATCCATGATCACACTGACATCCCGACTGGGTCCGGGCCGGATACTCCCAACCCGCTGCTGGGGAACCTCATGCTGTTCTTCATACCGAGCGATTTGGGGTCGGACACTTGCTGTCCGCATGACTCGCTCGGCAGGAGGAGCCGGGGGCTCATCTACGTAAGTTGAGTGGCGAGGAACATATTCGGCGACTTGGACGCTGCCGCTTCGAGAATAGGGCTCATGGCCTCCTTCCAAGGGCGCGGCGTATGCTCGTCGATCGTTGGCGACGGGACGAGCATAATCTGCAGTGACACGGCGGTAATATTGTGGTTGTGGTGGCGGCATCTCTTGCACGTATCTGCGTTCAACATATGGATCTTGAACGACGGATTGGGCACGGACACTTGGGGCGCGGACGGGGACGGGGACTCGGTCATCGTATGTTTCGACTCTGGGGACTCTGGACATGGGTCGAGGGGGTGGAGCCATGGGCTGCATCCTATGCGCTGGGATCACTTCTTCATACTCGACGCCATTCTCGTCCACGATACGCCTGCGAGGAGCAGCCATGACCCTCTGCGGGGGTGCCTCCTCATAGTACGGCTCGCGATATACTGGCTGAGACATGTCATCCACAGCAACATACCTGGGACCATAGGAATGAGGGACTTCTTCGTAGTAGCCTGGATGTTCTTGCTGTGGCCTATCGATGACCGAGTACGATGCGGCGCGGTTACTGTTAGGGTCGACTGGCAGGTACTCCCTCGGATATTCGGACCGGCTTGCGTACTGCATACTGGCAACTCGTCGCAAGTCCCCATCATCGCGAATAGGGCGCCGGATACCCATCCGAGAAGAAACTGTTCGTGGTGGCCCCTGATCAACAGGGGGTTGGTGGTAGGAGCTGTGCTCGTAGAATTGTCGTTGAGGGTGTTGTTCGGCCACTGGCGTATATTGCGGCGAAGAAATGTCAATATAAACAGGACGTTCTTGGGTCGGCCTATTGCGAATGATAGTGGGATCGTCGGCGAATGGAGGGGGTGAGACCGGCTCTTCTTTGATAAATGTTTCGGAGGGGACGACGTTAATTCTTCCAGGGGGAACCTGGGGGGAGTCCTCTCCTCTCCCTTGTAGGCGTCTTCGCTTTCGGGAGACAATATGTGGGGCTGGGCCATTTGGACTGCCACGGGCAGAGTCGGGATCAGAGTAAATTCGGTCAGATTCATGATCAGGACGCTCGTCTCGGAGTTGTTGAACCGAGGGTACTTTGGCGGTTGCTAGCGGCGAAACTCGCGATGGTCTAGGAGCGGCAGGCGATGTGATGTGGTTGCGAACTACCTTCACATTTCTAGCTGGGGATACTGGCTCTTGCGCGAACCGGGTCTGTTCGGTGTATCTGGGCCTCGGCACACTTCCTGCCACGCCTCCTTGGTATTGGTAGGCTCTTTGGTCGAGAGATGGGGCAATCGGGGCAGGAGGGGAATACTCAGGCTCTTCCAGAGAATCTAGTTGCTGAGGCTCTTGGGTTTGGTGGGTGATCTTGTCTTGAGCGGGGAGAGGCTGCTTCTGAGAATAAGGGGCGCGCTGGTCAGCAACAGAGTAAGCATCTTGCATTTCCTGATCAGAGCCAGTTCGATTCAGAGCTTCAAGTCGCTGCAACTCATCTGAGTAAGGCTCTACCGGGGCGCGTTTGGCTGTGTCCGCCACTTGAGTCAGTGCCACCGGCGGGGATGGTCTTCGCTGCTCTTCAAGAGGCGGAGTCGAATCAGGAGCTCTACTGGAGTAGAAGGAATTTTCGTCGAAAGAATCGTTCGGCCCATTATTCTCGGAAGGTTCACCAATGGAAACGGGATTCGCGATTTGCAGTGCTCGCTCCAACAGTTGCGAGACATTGAAACCAGGTTTCGTATCCTGGGCGGCGAGCCTGTTCTTCACCTCATACTTCAGTTGCTCAGTTTGGTCCCGCAAAGTCCTTTCCAACCTCTGTCTCTGTAGCTGAAGCTCTGCTCTGACCAAATCATCTGACTTGGTCAAGAAGATAGGATCGATTTCTGAGGCGGGTTTAGGAGCTATGCGGGTGGCCGTGGACGGCAGGTTGCCGGCCACCGGGCCTTGACTGCGATGTGGGGATTTAGACGAGGTCTCAAGGAAAGCGACATGCTCAGTGAGGGCGTTCGAGGGCTTATTCTTCGCAGGTTGGGTGGGTGCGGTGCCATTTTGGACAATTCGTGCTGTAGGCTTGCGCACAAATTGTTGGGGGACTCTGAGGCGTGGATGTGAGCCTGCGAAGATCTCATCACTGATTTTCAAGATGCGTTCATATTCCTGGACCTCGTCTGCAGTTATTGCTGCGGTGGTAGCCATCGGACCTGTTGGAAGGTGAGTAGTGGAACCATGTGCCGTAGCCATGATCTCAAGGGGGAGAGAGCTGCTTCAGGTGAAGACAGCTGAGATTAAGTCTGGAGAGTATCTCTTGTAAAGCAGATGAAAAGTGCTATCACTTTTGAATCAGTCTACCTCTTGTGAAATCTCACTGCGAGTTCCTAAGGTTCCAGGAAGCTTTAAGATATAACTCAAAAAGGGAGCGGTAAAAAAAAAAGATCGCGGGTCGCGTTTTTCGGGTTTGGCGCTAACGTCAGAAACCAATGAGGTCCCGTGATTGCCCCCCGAGGTTTCCCTACACTTTTGGGTACTTCCGAGTTCGTACTGATTCTAAGTCTTGATAACACATCTTCCTCCATGCATCGCGCATTTGGTCGTTTTGGTCAATTCCTACGTCCTGTCTCATCTTTACCCAGAACTACACTTGGCTCCCCATTAATCCCTCGTTGGAATTCCACAATGACTGCAGTCAACGGCGCAAACGGAGGTGACTCACGGCCTGTCTTCTTCTTCGATATTGACAATTGTGTACGTCTCAAGTGATCAATTCACATGTTCGCGCGTTTGTATGGTTGGATACATTGACTGACATTGTTTTTTCACTTTCCAGCTTTACTCTAAATGTACAGTTCTACCCCGGACAGTTCTATCCCGGTATATCTGGAGCCCCGACAGCATACTGACTGACAGCTCCTTCTAGCATGCAATATTCACGATGAAATGCAGACACTCATAAGTAAACTATCCTAAAACCCGTGGCAGCTGTATGCACAAACTGACAGCTTTCCCCCATTCCAGATAAGTTCTTTGTCAAGCATCTAGAGCTGACTTCGGAGGACGCCCATATGCTCCACCAAAAGTACTATAAGGAGTACGGCCTGGCCATTGAAGGCCTGACACGCCACCACCAAATTGATCCTCTTGAGTTCAACGAAGAAGTGGATGATGCTCTTCCTCTTGACAGGATCCTGAAACCTAATCCCATGCTGCGCAAGCTGTTGGAGAGCCTGGACACCACCAAGGTGAAGCCCTGGCTACTCACCAATGCCTATGTCAACCACGGCAAACGGGTGGTCAAGCTGCTGGGAGTAGAAGACCTCTTTGAAGGTATCACATATTGTGACTATGGCCAGTTACCATTAGTTTGCAAACCCAGCCAGGACATGTATGCCAAGGCAGAGAAGGAGGCCTGCGTTCCCAGTACGGAATCGTGCTACTTTGTCGGTAGGTCAATCAGTTCCTTGTTCCGTCATCTTTTTATCAGTTCCCCGCTAACATACCATGTCCAACGTGCAGACGATTCACACCTGAATTGCACACATGCCCAAGCTCGAGGGTGGACGACAGTTCATTTGGTGGAACCAGGTGTCACCATTCCCCGTATCCCTGCCTCCAAATATCAGATCTCAAGTTTGGAGGAGCTCCGAACCCATTTCCCGGATGTTTTCAAATCGCAGGCAGCAGACGCTGTTTAGAATTATGATATAATGTTCCTAGAAGCCTGTTCGCTGATACTAGACTTGCGACAGGACAGGTCTTGGAAAGACATTCTTTGTTTCATCCAACTTTAGACAGTGGAATACCAGGAGTAAGAAATAGATTATCATGTTAATGAATCCAAGACTACAATGAATCTAGATGTAGAAAAACGAGGACGCCAAACCAGTTGTAGTGAACTATCAATCATGCATGTCTCCGCTGATATTGATGTTGAGTTTCTGTTTCTGCCTCAGGCGACGATCAGCGGAGCGCGTCAACGGAGACGTAGGAGCTCCTGGCCAGACTGGACTCCTTTAGCGCATCCCGTCTCTCCAACCACCAACATCAAACCACCCCTCCTTTTGGTCAACAGCTGTTCGTCGTCGTGGATCATTGATCCCTACATTCGCGATGACCGGACAAGAGATTTCCCCGGGTTCGGTCATCAGCCTGACCGATGGGCGACAGGCCACCGTCCGCTTTCTCGGCACCACCCACTTCGCCGTTGGAGACTGGATTGGCGTTGAATTGGACGACGCTACTGGCAAGAACGATGGCCAGGTTCAAGGCGAACGATACTTTCACTGTGAGCCAGGATATGGCATGTTCATTCGTCCAACGGCCATCGCCGCGGTGCTTGAACAGCCAACGCGGGAGAGTAAACAAAGCGTTAAGCCCGCCCCGGCGACTGCTGCCAGCAGACAAAGCGGAATCACTCCTGCTACAAGGAAACCAGGTGTGCTGCCTGCGACGGCCATCAAGCGACAGAGCACCAATGCGACTGGAACACCCACACCTGCACCGAGAATGGCCCCTCGAACTTCAATAAGGGTATCTCGTTACCCTCTCCCGTCCTGATCGAGCAGACCGTACTGACTGAGCTTCTCATATCTAGTCTCCTACGAAGTCCCCGACGAAACAGCTCTCTGCGGCTTCGAGCCGTTCATCACTAGGGGGCGCCCGCACTTCCACTGCCGCTCCGACTGCCACCAGACCTCGCCCGGCTGCCCATGCCTCCAGGCCCTCTACCGGTGCATCTACGCCTCAGCCTACCGCTAGAACCGGACGGCCCTCGGCGGTTGGTGCATCTACAAGGACTTCGCGAGCAGGATCCGCGGTGTCCAGCACAGCTGCCGGACTTTCCAAACGACCCTCTCTACGGCGGGTTGCCCCAGCAAAGGCGTCGGATGGCGGAGAAACCGGGGCAAGCGGCCAGTCAGAAGGCCCAACCGATGCGGAATCTCTTGATGCAGAAGGTGAAGCTCCTCAAGATGAAAGACGAACACCTGCTCCCGCTCCAGCACCTACGCCCAAAGCTTCCAGACAATCTTTGACTGCCCGGCCCGCAACAGCGCGTCCAAGTGCCGCCGGCACATCGTCTCGCCCCGCCCAGAATGCAGCGGTGACAAGAGAGCTAGAAGAGCTTAACACCAAGCTCCGGGTTATGGAAAAGAAGCGTTCTGAAGATCGGGAGAAGCTCAAGTCACTGGAGCAAGTGCAGACCGAGCGCGACAAGTTTGAGAATATTATTCAAAAGCTGCAGGCCAAGTATTCACCTCAGCAAATGGAGATCACGGAGCTGCGCAAGAAGCTCAAGGAAACCGAGGCTCGTCTCGAAGAGGTTGAGCGCATGCAAGCCGAGCATGAGTCGCTTATGGAGATGGCAACCCTTGATAGAGAGATGGCGGAGGAAACGTCCGAGGCATATAAACACGAGTGCGAAGCGCTTCGATCCAAGATGGAGGAACTTAATTTGGAGGTGGAAGTGCTCCGCGAAGAGAACGAAGAGTTCAGCAATGAGACCAATCCCGAGGATCGGTCTAGCCATGGCTGGTTGCAGATGGAGAAAACCAATGAACGACTTCGCGAGGCGCTCATTCGCCTACGAGACATGACACAACAGCAGGAGGGAGATCTTAAGGACCAGATCAAGGAATTGGAGCAAGATCTGGAAGAGTACTCTGCTGTCAAGTCAGACTATGAAGCTGCGAAGGAGCGACTTCTTGTTGCGGAGACTAATGTCGACGATCTCAAGCAACAGCTTGAGACTGCGCTGGGCGCTGAGGAAATGATCGAAGAGTTAGCCGACAAGAACATGCGCTATCAGGAGGAAATCAATGAGCTCAAGGCTGCTATCGAAGATTTGGAAGCCTTGAGGGAAATCAGTGACGAGCTGGAATACACCCACATTGAGACTGAAAAGCAGCTCCAAGAAGAGCTTGATTATAAAGAGACCGTCTTCAATGAACAGATCAAGAAAAACGAGCAGCAAGAGGAGGCTATCGAGGAGTTGGGATATACACTGGGTCGCTTCAGAGAATTGGTTACCAATCTACAGACTGATCTGGAAGACATGCGGTCATCGCAACAGATTTCAGAAGCCGAAGCTACAGACCTCACCACCCGGTCAAGAGCCATGATGAACCTTAACATGAAGCTCCAGGCCTCAGTGTCCAAGGCTCAGACTAAGTCCATTGATGTGGAGCTTAACCGGATGGAAGCTGAGGAAGCGGTACAACACCTTTCGATCATCAAGTTATACCTCCCCGAATATTTCGACGGTGAACGAAACTCTGTCTTGGCTCTTCTGCGATTCAAGCGTGTTAGCTACAAGGCCACCATCATGAACACCACCATCCGCGAGAAAATCTCCGACGAGTCCACGCTTGCGACCCCCGACGAACTTTTCCATTCCCATGAAGTTCTTGAACAGCTGCTCTGGATTACAACCGTCTGCAATCAATTTGTCAACCACATTAGTGCTTGCACTCCTGACGAGTTTATAAACACCAAGGCTGCTCTTTTCGAGATGGAGCCCGTCGAGCGCACATTGAACTTCTGGGTTGAGAATTGTAAGAAGAACGAGGTCAACATGCAGAAGTTTGGCGTGGAACTGCACCGTTCTATTGCTTTGCTTGCGCACTTGGCTGAGACTATTCTGCCATCGACACCGGAGATGTTTGCCGACGAGATGTGTATGCGTACGAGTCTTTCCCAGTCATATCTTGATCATGCTGCAAGCGGCATCGCAAATATCAGGGCTCTGGTTGCTTCAAAACTTGCAGCTCCAGAAGAATCCTCCGAAGAGGGCAGCGGCAGTGGCAGTGGGAGTGAGGAGAACGAATTCTCTCTCAAACAGCTTGACATCTTTGTGTCCCAGGCTCGTGGCTTAAAGGTGGCCACCGGAAAGATTTCTCGGGCCCTCGAAGACCTCAGGTCACGATCCATGGCACCTGTAAGAGAGGATGCCGACGAGATTTTCAAAAATTATGAAGGCGCCACTCGAGAGCTCTCGCAGATGACTCGAAAGCTGGCCCACGGTATCGTGGTTCTTACTAGTGACGAAAGTCGCACAGAACCATTTGCTCTCCAAGAAATTCTGGACAGCATGGCTCAGTCATTGGCAGGTATTGTGACATCTGAGGATGGCGCTCAGGATCCCAAGGATCCAATCCTACTGCTCCTGAATAGACTGCGCGACTTGGGTGGCCAGCTCGATGGGCTTGACTCAATTTCCTCGAATCTCTCGCGTACAGTCGAATTCGAGAGAGGCGCATTCCCTTGGATCGCTCGAGCGGAAGAGTTGAAATCTAACAAAACCATTTCACCGGATGCGGACGAAGAGATTCGTCGCTTGAAGAACGAGGTGCACGAAGTTTCCACAGCTCTTGGAGTCAAAGACAACACCCTCGAAGAGCGGGGGATCAAAATCGAGCTCCTCGAATCACGCATGCGCGAGACAAGCAAGAAAGCCTCAATGGTCAAGGATCTAGAAACGAAGATCGAAGAATTCCAGTCCTCCGAATCCGAGCTCCAAAAGCTCGTTGAACGACAAGCAGTCGAACTCCAGGCCGTCGAAAAAGAGCGCGAGGAAATCAAATCCCGCTACGAGAAACTGAAGCACATGTCCGGCGCTGCCGGCGTGACCACCACCGGAGACGGCATCGTCATCGACAACGAGGCCTCCCTTGCCGCTATGCAGGAGAATGAATCCCTCCGCGCTGAGGTTGAAAGCCTGCAATCTGCCGTTCGTTTCCTCCGAGAGGAGAACCGTCGCTCAAGCCTTCTCGACCCTTACTCTGTACAGCGGTCAACGGAGTTGCATGCCTGGCTGGACGCACCGCTCACCCGAGCAACCCCCACCATCGAGCAAGAGAAGATTCAGCGCACAGCGCTGGAAAGCCGCGACGTCTTGACTCATCTCCTGAAGTTGACCAAGGAAACACGTGTCTGCGACTTGAAGTCCACAATGGCCCCCGCGGCTGGCAGCGAAGAGAACGAGAATACCAACCGCAACGCATGGCGGCCCTCAAAATCGCGTCTGCGCTACCAGGTTCTCCAGCAACGCGAGAATTTCGAGCACTGGGCCGAATGGCGCGACGACATTGTCCACCACGAGCGCGAGCAGGACCGTTTGGCGGCTGCGAAGCGTGAACGCGCGCTGCGTGACCGTATGCCGAAACATGCGCATAAGGCCTCTGTTGAGTTTCCTCAGGGACTTGGGCATGGGATGATGGGTCGGGCGTGGCAGATTCTCGGCATGCAGAATCAGAATCATCGGAAGGCTGGTTCGGTGAGTATGCCTGCGGATGGGTTGGAGATTGTGTCTTCGGACTAGGCTGGGACGTTCTAGTCTTTTGTGTACAGCAGATGTTTTTTTTTCTTGTTTCTTCTTTGTGTGTGTGGCTTTGACAAGATACCCCTTGCTGCACATTCCTTACATATTATCTTTGTGCTTTCCTCGTCTTGATATTCTGGGGCTTTGAGAAGGCGGATCGGCGATCAGCTATACTGATTCCCGAGGTTTGGGTCCTATTCTTACATTGCTGTATAGAATCCAATAGATATGTTGAATAGATCTATGGATGTCTTAACTAGATCCTATCGTAATCCAAGTTGGAAATTACTACTACCTAGGTAATACCTAGGTAGCAGCTCCAGGCCGGCTTGGAGCATGAGGCGCTGGTACTCCAGGCTAGTAACTACCTGGGCTACCTCAGCTACTGAGTCGTACTCGTAACTGCAGTCTTGGAGGAGAAAACCGTGAGAGACTTCCAAGTTTAACCTCCAGGGCTTCTATTGAAAGAACATTGTATGTATTGCAAACAACCCGAACATTGATTCAACTACCCATTAATAACTGTATACTAATACCAGGATACAGATCCCCTAAGCACGAAATCAACATAGAAAAACAAAATTCAAGATCCAACATCCAAGGGGTATTCCATCACAAACACCAATCAGCGCACAATTATATAGAAATCACGAAATCACCAAAAAGTCCAGAGAACTTGAAGTTTTCTACCAGCGGGAGTGATTCCCGAACTCAAGGTAAGCCACGCTATACCAAGCGTAACGAGAAGATCTGCCCAGCCTAGCCATTGCCATCAAAGCCCTAAAAGGCCAAACCAACATCGGTCCCCTCATACCTGGGGAAATCCTCAGGCCGGGCAGTCCGAGAAAGCTGATGCTGCGAATGACCCTCATAAATCGTAGGATAAAAGCCACCATCAACATCCTTCTCTGTCGGGCTCGCTCCGGATAGCGACACCCTAGGCGTCGAGGACGCGGTGAAGGAACTCGAGACGGAGAAATTGGGCCGTCGGTTCGTCGCACCGCCTGTGATAGTCGTCACCGTTGAGCCGACGGTCGTACCGCTCAACGTCCGCGTTCGCTCCCAGGCGAATCTGTTTTCACCGGCGAGGGAGACGGGCTGGGAGGGAGAGCTGGAGACGGAAGCTTTGCTGCCTGGGAAGAACCACTGGGTCATTCGGTCAGGGAGGGCGGGTACTGCGATGGTGTTGCGGGTTTCAGGTGAGGGGCGGGAGAGGGAGGAGAGGCGGGATGGCATTGTCCGTGAGCTTGCAGTTGACGGGGAGTCTCTGGTTGAGAAGGGCGAGTCGGTGATGGTAGATGTGTCGCTGGGGTCGATGTCTTTGGGACGGGGTGTTTGGGGATCTGACTCTGAGGACGAGAGAGTTTGGGTCTCGGCGTGGTTTGAGTATGTTTTTAAGGAGAGGACGTTTGATTCCCAGCTTGATGGGTCGAAGGAGGGTGTGTTGAGATCTTCTTCGCGGATGGTTGTCTCGATGGGGTTCACGAGAGAGAAATGCGGGATCAAGGTGCTTGCGATGCGGACTGGCGCGGGGGAGTCGATTGGATGATCGGTGTATACGGATGATAGACGATCTCGTGAACCAACTGGTTTTCGAGATACGGCTACTGCAGCATGGCTCGATTGACAGCGCCGAACTTGAATACCAGGCGGAGTGAAGGCCCGTGGAGGGGACGCTATAGTCTGGCGTTGTTGGTTGTCTTCCAGCTGAAACTCCTCGAATGAGGGCAGGTCTGATAACCGATGACCAGATCGGTGAATGCTCAGTTCCAGGGGCTTGTACTGCTTCGGCAACGCCGGCAAAGACTCGAGGTGGAAGGAGTCGACTCGACGAAAGTCTGTTGGTGCGCCGATTCTCAACGGGGTTGCTGATTGTCTCTTCCAGGACATACTTGCACGGGTTGATGCCCGAGATGCAAGATGCCTCCCCTCAACTACCCATGATGATAGTGAACTCTGGCGATGATGATAACCACCGGGGCTGGGGAGATCATCATACACGACTAGTTTCATGGGGGGAACTAGATGTGGTTGGGCATGGCATACTTGCATCTCCCGTTCGATGCCTATTCATCAGGATGAATTAGCCGCTTATAGATGGATATGGATATGGATATGGATATACTCGATGTATTCCGGTTCACTTTGGTGTAACGTACCTCTTTCTTTCGACCTTCGACCCCTCTCCTCCTGCACCTCTTCATGCGGCGATAAACAAGAGACGCATGACCGAAACCAGCCGGTGAAGAGCGATCCCGCTTGTTCCAAAGCCAGCATCATGGCGGCCAGCGCGTTTGGGGAATCAATCCATCACCTTGCCGGAAGGCGAAAATTCAAGAGAGAGAGAAGTACAAAGGATGGGAGACAAACAAAGAAACAAATATCAAGGAGAAAAGGGAAAAGCGAAAAGAACGAAACGGATTGCCAGCAACGACAAGAGTCGTACGAGGAGAGAACTAATGACCAGCCCCCACCACGACAGGACGAGGATACCCCATTCCGCATACACCATAGGCAAACAGAGTTCCTTACTCGTCCAGGGACAGTAAAATGAGAGACTCTTGGGGCCGCTAAGGAGCGCGAACTAAACCCGGATGAGTAAATCATCCTGGCGCTCACAGAGTGAGCACACACCATCGTTGGTGATGATCACCTTAGCGGGGGATGGATGTGGTGCCTGATTCGCCAGGATCATGTGGAGATGTCACAATTGGGCTTATCGAGAGCTTCTGCCATGGTCACTTTGACTAGGGCGTTGAGCTGCAGTGGGCCGGGCGCGTAGAGGAGGGGCGGGCCAGCACATCAACAATGGCACATTGGCACATGTTTATGCCTTTGGGACCCATGGCGTTTCATTTGTTTCATTTGATTCAGGTCGATTCAGGTCGTGAAGAGAGATTGAGGTGTAGTCCGTAGATGCGGTGTCGGGGAAGATCACATGGGGTTCGCGACTACATACAACTTTATTCTACTGTGGGCAACTAGAGAAGTGACAGGTAAAGCACCCCAAAATGATGAAAAATAATACAGAAAACCCTATTTCTATCGGCCCCATACGTTATTGTCCTCCTCCATGCCATCGTAAGCCCAGCGACCGGATCGATTCTCGCGATCCTCTGCAGGTTTAGCCGGGGCTTCCCTAGTCGGAGCTTCGGTCTCATTCTCTTCTTCGATTGGCTGGCCGGTCGGTCTCCTGGAAAATGAGAACAGGGTCAATCCAATCTTGGTCGTGTGCAGTTGTGAACCAATCGTGAAGGGAGAACAATGGACTTACGAGAATCGTCGGGTTTCACCACCCGCCCAAGCAGAGCCCAACTCCCGCTGGGTCTGGACTCGTTCTTCCTCTTCAGCCTCATGGTCCTCCACCACGAGATCCACTCGTTGGCTGGGTTGCGATTTCTGTGAACTACTGGAGCTCGCATTGCGCTGCAAGGGACGAGGCACCTCTGAGCTCCGACTGGACCTACGGGAGCTGTTGGTGTTGGCTTTGGCGTTGCCACTGTTGGCATGGCGTCTACCTTCACTACCCGATGCTCGGCCTTTCCGATGCGAACGGGCCTTCTTCACATCACCTCCTGCCTGAGATGATCCTTGGTAACTCTGGCTGGCTGACAGCCGTTGATCTCTGGGAACTTCGTTGGCTGTAATCACCGGGTACTGTCGGAAGTTAGCATTTGCATTTTGCGAAACGACACCGTGGGACCCTGAGCAAACTTGGCGCTTCCAACCTACATTCCAATCTCCGAACTCCAGCGCTCGTGCATTCGTGAAAAGTCGTTCATCTTCATCATCCATTGCCGTTTCAATCTCGCTGTACGATGATCGATATCGTTCGGTCGAAGTGCGACTGCCACGTTCGCTTCGACCACGTTGGCTTGAGTCCCCTCCGCCTGTTAGGAGAGGAGTGCGACTGTTGATCTCGCCGGGCTTGCTGGCTTCGCCAGGCTTGGGGATCCAATATTTCGCTTTTCCGCCGCGTTCATATCGCATTCCGTCCATCACTCGCTTGACTCGCGAATGGGATTCCTCGTGCGCGATGACGTTGTCGCCTGAATCGAATAGTCGGTATTCGTAGTTCTCCCCACGCACGGTAATCTTAGTATCTTCGACCAGGTCTAGAATGCCAAAGGCATCGCGCAGGGCATATTTCACCGGTAGTCGGGCTGCTGAAATCGTTGGGTCTGCATAGTCGTGCCACGAGAATGCATACCAGTGCACGATCGCGAATATGGGCATCTCAAAGCAGATGAGACTGTCCTGAATTGCCGCTGCGAGATTGTCTGGGGTATATCCAGCAAGGCCGTTGCCCATAGCGCCCAGCCATTGCAAGATGGACAAGAAGAACCCTTGCCAGTATGAAGCGAAGATAATGAGCTTCACAGAGAGGAATTTTGGGACAGGGCGGAAAGGAGTGAGGTCGTCATGCAAGCACACCCAGAACATGGCGAGGGAATACAGGCTAATTGTCACACTGAGGTTGTACACAATGCCCGTCCAGAGGTAGCCCGAGGTGATACCCAGATAACCTTCCTCATAGGTATCGGTCGCTTTCATAATGATCGAGACAAGTGCCAAAACAGGTTTGAGCCAGGCATACTGCAAGATACCGCGCTTGACGGCCAAGAATGTGTGGGGGTCGGAGATATCAATCTTCTTCAGAACATGATTGAGCGGCCATGCGTGCGAGACTGGAGGACGACCGTGTGCCATGATGATAACGGATCTTTCTCCGCCGAGGAAGTTGATGAGAAGCTGGAAAAAGGTGTAGATGGTGAAGGCCTGTTGGAGTCCAATATCAGAGCGGGTCTGCCTAGGTTTGAATCGGAGAAACCAACCTCATAAATATCTCGAATCGGATCCAGGAATTGTGCGGCTCGCAGGGAAATGATGCTTGTCCATGACGATGCTGCGTAAATTGGCACCCTGTTCTCAATCAGCACTGTTATTGTCCCCGGCCCCTGAAGTCCCCAGGCTACCACCAAATACTAACATCAATAATATGCGCACAACATATCTTTGGAGTAACGGCTTTCGGTAGTTTTTCCTATATCAAGCCTTCTTTTAGTATTTGGTCTCGAGAAGATGGGAGGTTGCGAAGAAAGGTCGTACGTTTGAAACCATATCGAGCTGTGAATTTCCAGGCAGACGTTAGCTTAAGGGTTCTGGAATATGGTTGTGGATGGGGCAAAAGAAGCCAAGTAAAAGAAAGAAGTAACGAAAAGACTCACACGAGGGAGAGTAGCGAAGCTACCAGAGCTGCAACACCAGAAGTTATAATGATAGCCTGCGCCAGGCTTGAGCCTGTTCCTCTGGGAGGGGCCGTCATGATGGGCTGAGAGTTAACAAAGCGCGGGTGAAAAGGCCGCGAATCTTAAAGACACCACTTCATATCGCCCCACTCAAGCAGAGACACGAAATCCGGCCGTCCAAGTGTGTCGAAGTAGCTGGCGGAAGCTCCTTTGAATGTTGGCAGGAGCAGACGTCGGCCGATGACGATCTCCTCGTGACACCGCCTTAACCCGCCCGCATTCCGCGACTGCCTCCGACGCCGATGCCGACAATCTCCAAAAAGAACTTCGTTACGCGCAACTGCTTGCGTTGGTTGCGAGTCATTCTGGACTCGAGGATGCTCATGCCGGCTGGCGATTTCACCGAGAAATGGCCAGTACTAGCTTGACGGCCTCCTATCTGACGCCGGACCCAAGCTTCAATTGGTTTGTCTCGGAGCTCCTGTTTGCCCGAAAATCGCGTTACTGATTGTCCTAGGTTTTTTCTGTTGGAGCTGATCGTCTCCTGTATTCTGTATGTATAGCGATATATATGACCACTTGATTTCCAGGGTGCTGTTGCTGACCAATTCAGGGCCCTTTTCTTCCTCCTTTACTTCAATCGACTATTTGCGACCCTCGTATCATACGCAATCCGAGCATACACCTGGCACTACTATCGCGTCTATATCGATATCAACGCGCTGCAGGTTTCGTTACTCGGTGGTCGAATATTCTTCAAAGGCATCAGGTACCATGGCGCCAACGAGACGATCTTCATCCACGGCGGTTTCATAACATGGAGATATTGGAAGCGCAATGTGGAGCGGACGGACCTTTCTGAAGTCCGGCGGAAGACAGGAGGGCTGGATAGACCCGAAGGGTCTCAAAGTCATTCTGCTGGCGCTTGCGGAAAAAACGATGACCGTGGGGAAGAAGGCGGCGTGAGAAAGGCCAAAGAGCTCCCATGTCGCGTCTCTATCAAGGTCTACGGCCTGGAATGGTTCATTTACAATCGCAGTCCAGCTTATGACAGCATCCTGGCAGGGTTTGGCTATACCAAAGATGGTGAATCAGACAATAATGAGGACATCCCATCTTCGCCAACTTCGTCTACAGGCTCGCAGCCGGAACGCCAGCATACCAACGACACGGTCAATATCCAGTCTGCAGACGAACATAAGCCAGCACCAAACGATCTGGCAGAGCACCATACGACGGAAAATGATAATTTGCGATCCCGAAAGACCGATATCCGCCAAGCTGAGCTGTCAGACCCCGTTTCAAATATGCTCCAGCTTCTCCCAGTGAAGCTTGAATGCGCCAAGGGCGCTGTTGTGCTTGGAAACGAGAATACCAGATCTGTATTAACCACCACTTTTGACAGTGCAACAGGAAACATCGCGGCATGCAGCGCAGGGCCTCTGGATCTTTATCGACAGCTCTTTGCATTCAACTTCAGTCACCCTGTTATTCAAATGCGCCCAAATCCCGACTTCAAACAAACTCAACTAGCAACTGCGAAAGTCCTGAGCACTAAAGAAGAAGAGGATCCTTCGCAGAGCAAAAAGCGACGAAATCTTTTTAGCTACCGATTTCACAAACGCAAGCTATGGCATGGTCTTCGAGATCTCGTCCCGTATTTTCAGAGCTCCGTGGAGTCCTTTCATGCCAGCATCAAGCAGGTAGATTATCTGCCACGAAGTGAAGCAGAGTTCCCAGAAGTGCGTTGGACGGGACTGTCCCGATATCTAGATCAAAGCAATGCCGACGACCATGAACAGTGGAATTCGGTTGAGTATGCCAGATTTTCGACGATCATTGACAGCCCTAGCTTGGATTTGACCTATTACTGGGATATTCCGGGACGGGTTGGTCCTCAACACCTAGCTTTCACCCAATCTGGCCATGATAAGACGGACAAAAACATCAATCAAGCTCTTCCTCCCGAATGGGGTATTGACATGAAAATCGCTGGCGGTACAATAAACTACGGGCCTTGGGCCGACAGGGAAAGAGTCGGCTTGCAAAATGTCTTCGTCCCAAATTTCTACCGAAGTTCCGATCCTGCAGAGCAATTAGCCCCCGGTGTCTTGAGGCAAAGTACAGCGTTTAGATTGCGTGTTGAGATCACCGGCGAGCTTGAACTGCGAATTCCTACCCGCGAGCAGTCAAAAGACTGGCAATGGAAAGGTCGAGCTGATGCTATCGGGGGTTCCTCGAAAGCAAAAACCCAACAGAAGAGAAGGAAATCACGCCCGAAAGAGGGTGAAAAGGGAACCCTTGGATCCGACATACGTCCCTTTGGCTGGCTATCTCTCTGTGTGGCAGCCGACTCTTCTGTCAGCTACGCCATGGACATGGTAGCTTCTAGTCTGGGCTTTCGAAACGAGCTCACGCTTGATCTGCGAGAGTCTAAGTTATCTTCCAGCGTGAATCATGGACTCCTCTGGCAGTGTCCTCGACAACTCATCACATGCGACCTGTCTAACCCTCTTATTTGGAACAGTCTTCGATCATGGCGATTTACTGTACACAGCCAGGATTTGGAACTGTTCCTCTTACGAGACCATATTTTTCTCTTAACTGACCTTGTCAGCGACTGGGCATCAGGACCACCATCTGAGTACTACACGTTTGTGCCGTTCATTTACAATATTGATCTCGTCTTTTCGAATCTTCGGCTTTTGATGAATGTCAACGACCGAAACATCATCAGCAACCCGACTGATTTGGAGGACAACCGATTCATTGTCATTATGGGCAACACGTTAACGGCGAATGTGGTGATCCCACTCAACAAATTTCAGCCTGATCAAAACGCTGTAGAATTCAAAGTCAATCTTGAAGAAGGGGGTGTGGACTATCTCACACCTGGCTGGGATACTTTGCATGCCTTCTTACCGGGGAAGTCTATGGCCACACTGGACAGCCTGTTCATCGACGGGTCCTACAACTATTTCCACATGACCTCGCCTGAGTTGACGGATACATTGGTACTGAATATCAAAGGAGGCTCGCCTCGAATGTATCTCTACGGATTTTTGATCAAGAGTTTCATGACAGTCCGAGAGAACTACTTTGGAGATGAGATGCACTTCAAAACCCTCGAGGAATATCAAGAACTAGTCAACGCCGAGCAACCACCGTCCAACCCCACGGGCATAAACCCGAACAGAAAGTCCAATGATATGGATGTATTGGTTCATGTCACTGTCGATAGCCCATGTGCGATGCTTCCCGAGAGTATTTACGACCAATTTAAATGCTCAAGGCTGCGCGCCGCCTCGCTTGAAGTTGATTTGCGGTTTACCAATTATTACATGGACATGCAGCTTTCAATAAGTCCGCTCAAACTCGACATGCAGTCAGTCCAGGATGATGGATTCACTTCCATAACAGGAACACAATTATTTATTGACGGCGTCTCGGCCTATGGTCATCGTTTATTTGGACTACCACCTGCCGAGCCGACATATGTTTGTAACTGGGATTTTGATGTTGGAAGAATCTTGGGTGAATGCTCCACGGACTTCTTGCAATGCTTGTCCTCAAGCCTTAAAAGTTTCGACTTCTCTTTTGACAACGAAGAAAATTTCCTCGCACCACTCTTCCCTCCTGTTCTATACGATGTGACTTTCTTGAGAGCAAAAATCAGCTCTATTCATGTCTCCGTGCTGCTGGACCAAACTGCCGTGGTCTTGAAATCCAGCCCGCTGACAACAAAATTCAATGATTGGGCCAATTCGAAGTTCTCAAAACGACTGAGCTTAGTGGTTCCTGATCTGACTATTGCTGCCATTGATCGCAATAATGTGGCCCAGGCTCTTCGAACACCCGAGAAAACTGTAAATACACTGGGTCTCGTCCAGCTCTCAATCGCGCTCAAGATGGCTATGCGCAAGAGGGACATTGGCGAGCTTCGTCGCCTGCAACAGGAACACATCAAGGCTCATGACAAACGAACTCATCGAGCACAATGGCTACTGTTCGACTGGGAAGATATTGGTCCAACTTCATCTTTTGCCGACGGGGAAGAAGATCTCTCGCCTCCAACAATGGCCATTCCATCCATGCCTGAGCCCATACAAGGAGGATTCGGGTCAAGGAGTATTCCATCTTACCATGGGTCGTCAAGAACTCATTCATCCGGTAGGAGCAAGAGGAGCTTCCTCATTCCTTCCGAAACATCGAGCCTTAAAAGCGTCAAATTTCACAGGAAGTACGATTCGCGAACGCTTTCAAGCTCTGAACAAACCCAACGGCCGGATCCTCCGTTCCGTGATGCTAGCTGGTCTAGCCGGGTAAAGGACACTGATAGCGTTTATTATACTCCCAAGTCGATCCCTTATTCTGCCGCAGCAATCCGAGACGCAAACCCTTGGATTCTACCACAATTCTCTTACTACAAACTTTCGCTTGACACATCTGAATTGCCATCTATCGCAGAAAGACAAAACTTTGAACAAGACGATACTGATAACAACAACAAATCCATGTTCCTGACATTCGAGGACGACCAAACGACTTACACCAACTTTGCCATCGATCTTCCTTTAGGAATCAGGGGGTTCTGTACTCCAAGGTTTCTTCACAGCATAGCATCGTTGCTTGACGGACTTGAACCCAAGCACCCCATTCAGATCATGGATGCTCTTCAAAAAGATGTCGTTTCTGACATTGTGGGTTATGACAAGGCCATGCGTCAACCAAAGAAAACCACGGCTGTCGCCCTGCGTATCCCGAGCATTCAATTGAGACTGGTCGACGTTTCCGGGTCCCGTGAAAACCCACAAATCAAGTTCCGCGACGTTTACACCATCGAGCTGTATCGACTTCGAACGGAGTTCCAAAGAAGAGTGCAGCGTCAAAAGGGCGACCTTCTTGAAGGTCTAAAGCAAGGTGTCACAGTCCACGCTGCGGCAGATCACGCATCTATCGCGGTGGAGGGTGGTCGAGCAGATTCATTCCAGGAGAAAGCCGTCTTCGACTGCGAGCTAGGTGACATGAACTTTTGGTTGGTCACCACACCCAACGTCCGGTCGCACCTTCAGATGCGGTACTTCAATACGGTCACATCTGCCAAGTCTGTGGAAGGTCTGGCGTTGCTGGTTCGCCGAGCGACGACAATGTTTGACTCGGTAGCCTCGTCTTTCCAACAAGTTTCATCATCCAGCAAACGGCGTCTGCGACTTCTGCTCTACTTTGTCACGCAGTCCGCTTCTGGTATCCCAGACCCCACATTTTTAGCGCGCATATCTTATGTGCTCAGAGTTGCTTCGACCCATTTACGACAGCACGACTCTTGGAAAATCATCTCTCGTATTCGCAATGTCTACAAGAATCTTCCCGTGCATCTCAAGCGGGAATTGGATAGGAATTGCCAAAGCGACAATTTGCCATTACCTCCCAATGCCAAGTCGACGGTTTTGACTGGATTTGATCAGTGGCGAGCCTGGGACTTAGCTCACGTTGAAAAAAGCTATGTCATGCGAAAAATATGGTCAACGCAAGAACATCAGCCTGCCACGAAAGAGCCCTCTTTGTCATTATCTTGCACGATCAAAACCTTCAAATTCTGTTTGGATCCCGGTCCAAAAGAAAGCGATCTCGTCGTTGAGAACCTGTCAACCATCACGTCAGTGATTCCAGAAATGGCAGTTCAGGGAAAGAGCCCAACGAAACACAAGAAGGTCATCAGTTGCCAGTTGTACAATTCATCTTCGGCTTTACGTCTTCGATGGGAGATTGTGGATCTTGTCGAGGGCGTGATGAAAGTCATGTCGAATATCACGCTGGAATCCAAGCCGGAACAAAAAACAACCGCAATCAAAGAAACGACACCCACTGAACTGCAATTTGTATTTGGCACCGACTTCGGATCCATCACCCTTGATGGCATCAACATCAAGCTTGCTTTAGTATCTCGATCTCTACGTGGTTCAGTCGTTCACAGTTCAGCGGGTACTAAAGATGCAAATAAGGAAAAGCTTGCTCTCTTGTTTAGTGCTGCAGCCTGTTCTTCGGAGTTTTTGAGCCAATCGACGACTCTCTTGCACTCAAATATCGCAGAGCCTTATCTCTTCTTCTCGCTTCTTTCTGAAGAAGATACCACTAAGTGCAAGCGTGACTGGAAGATCACTAGCTCATGCAAAAAGCTTCGTTTCAATATGAGGCAGGATCCGGTCAATCTGGCCCATACGGCAGATCTCCTAATAGCAGACGAGGTCTGGTATATTCGACAACTCATGGACAATGTCAAGATTCCCACGCAAGATACCGATGTGAATTCCGTGGCATCCAAGAAGTCGACTAGTAACACTGTCAATGTGGCAATGTTCCTAGATGACTACAGGCTAAGCTTTAGTCTTCTCCCGTCTTTGACCTATATGATCGTCGGTGACGTCGCGCGGATGTCCGTGATGCCAACCGAAAACTCGAAGATCGAAGTCGATTTCGACGTCAAGAAGAATTTCCACAAATTCATGTCTGGTGATGGTGCCCGGTCTCACGCTTTGTCGGTTCTTGAGATACCTCCAACCAACGGCCGGATTTTGGCAAATCTCTTACCCGACCGGAAGGAAGTGGAGATAGATATGACCATAGAGCTCATACAACTCGAAGCCAGTGCCGTGCGAAGCCTTCTTGCTGTATTGACTGGTCCCGACATCTCGCACCTTCTTTCAGACCTCAAGCAGAATGTTGGCGTTGTCAAGTCTCACCTAACGGACGTGCTTTCTCTAGAAAAAGAGTCACCGAAGCCCAAATCAGCTACAGAAGATACTGTTGTTCTGTACAAGTCGCGTCTCACGATGGCTGGAATTGAGATCCACGCCATTGCACCAGGTCTGAAGGGACGGCACTACTCAGCGGAGATGCTTCTCAGTCTGGGCATGATGCAGATGCGCCTCCAGAATGGTCTAGACCGTGGTTATACGATGGAATATCCAGAGTTCAGCATTGATGCCTCTCAAATTAACTTCGAGCTACGCAGACGCGAGCGATCAAAAAGTACGTTCTGTGGTGGGCTTTCCGCGGCGCTCAAATTACTTGGAACGTCGACCGTTCGTGAGAATGGAGAAATCATGCGCGCATATCACTTCACGAGTGACAAATTTGACATTGAATTGTTTACGGAAACAGCTGCTTTGGTGGTTGATATCGCAATCTACACGCAAGAACGGATCAAGACGCTAGACCTGTCCCATGAGGTCAAGCGACTTAGGAGGTTACGACATCGCAACCACGACGTACCGGAAACTCCATCTGAGACTCCCGAGATTCATTTAAACGACGATTACAACCCACAGGCGTTTTTGAATGCTTTGTACTCCTTGCAGTTCCTGGACATCCAGGTTGCCTGGAATATGCCTGCGGCATTGTCCGCCGCCTCAGGCAGACAGCCCGAGGACCTGGTCTTTTCTATCCAGCAGCTGGAGCTCTCTAACAAGAAGAAGAACGCGGCCAAACTTCGCATTGGAGATATGCAACTACAAATGGTGCCATTCCGCGCAAACAGGAAGCAGCGCTCTCTGAATTCCGCACTCATGCCAGAGCTCGTTTTCAACGTTGCTTACTACTCCAGCGGCAAAGACACATGGCTTGCATTCCAGGCAGCTGGCAAGTCACTAGATATTCGAGCGACGTCTGAATTCATCATTCCAGCGAACATGATACGAAATTCGATGGCGTCTGCATCCGAAGCTCTCAGGGAAGGCAAAGCTGCTTGGGCGACAAAGTCGACCCCAGATGATGGCAACGGCACCGATAGCAACAAAGATCGTAGTCTTTTCGGTAATCGACGCTTGCGATCTGTCTTTGTGGATGTTGATTTTGCAGGTGCCACTGTGACTCTGCAAGGCAAACAGGACCATGATTCCCAGAGCATGCTTTCCTCCACTCTCAAGGGCAGCCGGGTAGCGGAAGGCAAATACGGGCAATATGTTCAGGGCGATTCGGCGACGACTGCAACCCTTCGAGCACCAGGTGTGGCATTGAAGGTTCACTTCGAAGACAATGGAAATGACGATCCGGCCCTCAACGCCGAACTCAAGGTTGATCCGTCCACAAATGTGCTCTATCCGACATTGGTGCCCTTGGTTAAGCAGATGACTGCTACGGTGAAGGAGATAATGAGTGAACAGCAAAGTCAGCAAGGCCACCAAAGCCCACAAAATCAACGAAGTGAACACAGCCAACCGCCGCAAAACCGCCGCCCATCTGCGGCTTCCAAGCTGCAACCCCAGAAACTGATCCAGGAGACTCCGTTTGGACCGCAAGATCCAACATCGATTTTAGGTCGTTGCAAGGTCAATTTGGGATTATTGTTCAACAAACAAGAGTTCAGTCTGAGCTGCCAGCCAATAGCCAGAGTTGCCGCCACAGCACGATTCGAGAGCGTATACGTCACCGTCAACACCGTTCAATCGGCAGAGCAGGCACGCTTCCTAGCCTTGTCTTTGGCATTCAACAACCTAGAAGCTTCCGTCAAACACGTATACTCTAACGAGTCTACGGCAAGCTTCGAAGTCAAGTCTATGGTGTTGTCACTCATGAACAGCAAGCATCTCGGCCGCATGAGCGGGATGTCGGCTATTCTGAAAGTCAGCCCCATGAAAGTTTCACTGAATGCAAAGCAAGTGCAAGACTCTCTACTGTTCCAGGAAATCTGGTTGCCATCTGATGATGAGCCTAGCCCTGCTGCGACCCCCGAGCCGCCTGCGCCAACCCCCGAGTCTCACCAGCCATACATTGTTCAACGATACCAGCAGGTTGCCTCGGCGTCGGCATTCCCTTGGAATACCACTATCGCTATTGAGAAGTTAGAGATTCAACTTGATCTGGGCTCAACTCTTGGAAAAGCGCAATTCGCTATTGACAACGTATGGGTGTCATCGAATAAGACTTCTGACAGTGAACAGAGCATGTGTATCAACTTTGACAGTGTGAGCATTGAAAGCAAGGGCCGTATGAGCGGCGTTGTTGAGCTTCGTACTTTCAAAGTCCGCACCTCTATCCAATGGCCAGAGGAGAATGACGCGTCCTTGCATACTCCCCTCATTCAGGCATCCATTGCCTTCCATCATCTCCAGGCCAAGGTGTCGTTTGATTATCAGCCTTTCCTGGTCGCACACATTGCCATGTTCGACTTCTTGATGTACAATGTACGCGAATCCTCTGGGAAAGACAATCAGCGACTATTCAGTATGCTGGAGGGAGACGAGGTTCAAGTTTTCTGCACGTCTTTGACGGCTTCCCAAACGCTGGCACTGTATCAAGCGTGGCGGAGACTTGTGCAAGACAAACAATCTGCGTACGAAGCATCCCTGCGTGAAGTGGAACGATACCTTCGGCGCAAATCCACCATGCTCCCAGACCGAACGGAGATTCAAACAAAGGACCTTGCCACGAAAAACGACGAAGAGTCCGAGCAGGCGCCGATATCACTTCATACAGGGGTGGTTGTCAATATTCGCCATGTCAATCTCGGCGCATTCCCAAGCACCTTCTTCGACAACCAAATTTTCAAAGTGGAGGCATTTGACGCGGAAGCCCGATTTGCCGTATCACTTGATTCAGACAAAATTCACAGCGCGTTGAGCCTGACATTAGGTCAACTTCGCGTGGCACTCTCTGGCATCAGTCGCCCAAGCGCCGCCCAGCTCGAAGAATTGTCGGTAGACGAGATCGCCGAACGCGCCGCCAACTCCCGAGGCGGAACCATCCTGAAAGTTCCCCGACTGGTCGCTGGAATGGAAACATGGCAAGTCCCCGGGACCAGGCAGATTGACTACATCTTCCGCAGTACCTTTGAGGGCAAGGTGGATGTTGGCTGGAACTACTCACGCATCAGTTTCATCCGCGATATGTGGGAGACACACTCGCGAGCCTTGGCTTCCCGACTTGGTAAACCGCTCCCTCCTTCTGCGGTTCGCATCACCGGCGGTCCCGGTAGTAGCAGTGCCGAAGGAAGTGGCTCTGGATCAGAGCAGCAGGAGAAAATTACCGCCGTGGTCAATGTGCCACAATCCAAGTACACTTACACAGCGCTTGAGCCGCCCGTGATTGAGACACCGCAGCTGCGCGATATGGGTGAAGCAACACCACCACTGGAATGGATTGGGTTGCAGCGTGATAAGCTTCCCAATATTACGCATCAGATCATTATTGTTACGTTGTTGGAGATTGCGAAGGAGGTGGAGGATGCATATGGGACGATCCTTGGAGCGTGATTGCATTTGTGGCGCTTGGGAAATCCTTCTGGGATTCATCATGTGGCGTGGTGATTTTTTGACCTTGCTTGGGTCTCTCTCAGCACTCATTTTAGTTCTTGTACATACTACTAATTGGTCATTCTTATTGGAATTCCTTACTCTTCCAAGGTTGTCGTGTTAATACTGGGGCGAGTATCATTTTAACAAGTCGCCATCTTGAGCTCTCCAGGGCTGCTGTGGCGAAATGCTACTACCTAATCAAACCAAACACTACTAGTAGCGCTAAATCTCCATGGTATCTTTTAAGCTACCCGCCCAAATATGGACCCCTTTTTATATCTTTTCAAATGTTACCTCTACTTTATTCGATAATACAGGTAGATTACAGCTGTATATAACACACTCACCCGAGTCACGCGACCGTAGAGCCGCGCTTATCTCATTTGGTGTTACACAAGTCCAATAAATTTAACGTCTAGTACATACGACCATAGGGTGTGGAGAACAGGGCTTCCCGTCCGCTCAGCCGTACTTAAGCCACACGCCGGCAGGTTAGTAGTATGGTGGGTGACCACATGCGAATCCCTGCTGTTGTATGTTTTATTTTTGCTTTTATGTTTTTTCTGTTAAGATCATGTCTCCCGGGCTTTTTCAATCTGAACTTGACGGAGGGCGACAGGTGTTCGAAAAAAGGACTATTCATGTCTTCTTCCCAAAAGAAAAAAACTATATCCAATTTGATAGAGCTTTCGTGATGCCTCTGTCACAGAGTTTATGAAGGGCCTTACCATATAACTACTGGTCGCATTCCTGAATTCGCGGTCTTGACGTCTGAGGCTGACACCTAGGAACCGCGGCAAGTGGAAAGGCATTTCCGTGATATAGTTACTTTATTTATCTGAGAGTAACATCCTCATTGACTGGAGCTTATTCGCGGCTCCTTCTAGAGCCAATTGAGGGAGCTATACCCTGAAAATTCCAACACACGAACCTCTTTGAACACGATTTGTGGCGTTCGTATTGGGCGTTGCACCCCTCACACGGCGCTCGTCATGGATTGTACGGAGTACACCAGCCGTCCATCGGTCTTTGAACAATAGTACTTTGCCTCATACCGGGCTTATATACTGCCTACCTTTGCTATTCACACTCTACTATACTCGTGGACATTCTGAGTGAACGTGCTACCCTGGGGCTTATAACAAGCCTCCCTCTTAATCCTGATTATAGCAGATCTATACGCGTTTAGAAGAGTTTAACACCTCCGAAGTCGAACACACTATTATTTCGGGATTTCGCCCGGCAGTTAGTTCTACTAGCAGAAAAAAATGGAGGTTACAGTCTTGCTATGCCAAGGTCCAACCAGCGCAAACACTAATGAACTCTGAACTAGAGTGCAGGGGAAACTCGTATCGACTGACAAATACTGGCTGACTCTGAGTCATATAGCGTGGTAGCGGATCTAACATACCATCTTAAAAACGCTGAGAATCGTCCAGACCAAAAATCGCCGACTCGCAGAGATCAAAAAATTTATGATTGATAATCGAAAATGTCGCCGGTTGTGCAAAATTCCAAGCCGAGAGTGATTCTCGGTTTAATGACATTTGGACCAGATGAAGCGAGCGGTGCCCGCATTACATCCCTAGACGAGTTTAATAAGTGCCTTGACTATCTGCAGCAGCAAGGATACAGTGAGGTTGATACGGCCCGAGTCTACGTTGGCGGTGCACAAGAAGCCTTTACAGCCCAAGCAAAATGGAAGGACAGGGGTCTTACTCTGGCCACAAAGTGGTTTCCCGAAACTCCTGGTGCTCATAAACCCAAAGTTCTGCGCGAGAACCTGGAATTGTCATTGAGAGAACTGGGAACAAGTCGGGTCGATATCTTTTACCTTCATGCCGCTGATCGTTCGGTGCCATTTTCTGAAACCCTCGAGGCTGTAAATGAGCTTTACAAGGAAGGGAAGTTCTCTAGATTAGGGTTGAGCAACTACACTGCGTTTGAGGTTGCGGAAATTGTTATCATGTGCAATGAAAGAGGTTGGGTCCGCCCGGTCATCTATCAAGCCATGTATAATGCTATCAGTGAGTTTCTATTTGCCTAGAATCACCCTATATAGTCGCCGCGACTAATCTACGTCACCAATAGCACGTTCAGTCGAAACGGAGCTGTTTCATGCCTGTCGACGCTACGGTCTCGAAATTGTTATCTACAATCCACTTGCCGGGGGTATCTTCTCTGGCAAATATCAAACCAAGAATGTCCCCACCGATGGCAGGTACAGCGATACGTCCTCAGATGGAAATCTATATAGGGATCGTTACTTTAAGGATGCGACATTCGACGCTCTTAGAGTCATCGAACCTGTAGTAGAGAAGTATGGGCTGACACTGGTTGAAACGGCACTTCGCTGGGTGCACCATCACTCTGCATTGAATATGAAAGATGGTGGTCGGGATGGTATCATTCTTGGAGTGAGCTCCTTCGCTCAGCTGGAAAGCAATTTGCGAGATATTGAGAAGGGCCAACTACCTAAAGAAGTAGTTGATGCTTTGGACCAGGCATGGTTGATTACCAAAGCAACTGCTCCAAATTACTGGCATCTGGAACTGGAATATACTTACAACACCCAAGAGGCACTTTTTAAGCCAAAGGCGAACCTTGGAACTTGAATTTTGGAAGAACTCTGATCCTCTCTGTCCTAGCTAGACTGCGGCATTATCACGAATATAGGTGTCAGATCACTTTCCATGGCCGCAACTTTTGCAGGCGTACTGTTGGATCCATGTTAAAACACGATTTTATTTCTATTTAATCACTAAGGATGGCTTTTCGGTCAAATATTGAAAAGACCGGTGCGAGGATTTTCAAAATTGCACATTAGTCCTCTAGAAGCAAACGTCTTCTCCGAATTTTCGTCCGGTTAGCCCGACGCTCCACCACTTCGCCCGGTTCGCCCGAGGATACAAACCCCTTCTCTGAACACATGCTCGTCTATCCTATCTTGTCCAAGAGATCCCTATTTGTCTAAGGAGGCTTAGGGGGGCCAGGTTTACTTACTCAAATCTTGTAGCAGCGGATGCTGAATGTCTTGACGCGTCTCTCTTTTCCGTACCACTAGGCAACATCCCCAGATCTCCCCGCTTTCGCGCTCGGAACTGTCCCTCTTTATCTTCACCGTGCGTGTCGAAAACAAACCTGAAATGCCATCAAATACCCAAGTCCCGATCGTCCCGCCGACCATGCGCGCTTGGGTGCGCTCGCGACGCGGGCCAGCGAACACAACGCTCAAGCTAGTTTCAGACCATCCCACGCCCGCGATACCCGCAGCCTCATCATCCGACGTCCTGATACGCGTGTCGCATGTGTCATTGCAGTTCAGTACTGAAATGACGATGAAGATACTGCCAAGCCTGCCCTTCAACAGTCCATGGGTGCCGGAGATTGAGCTTTCTGGTGAGGTGGTGGCGGCTGGTGATGACGCGCCGGCAGAGATGCGCAATGCGGGCTCGCATGTCGTCGCGTTTGAGAGTGTTCCTAGCGCCATATTCATGGGCAGGGGCGTTCTGGCGGAATACGTGCGAATACCCGCTTGCCAAGTCGCACACATCGACGCCGGTGTTGATATGGCATCGGCCTCGGGGATTAGCGGGTCCGGCAGCGTCGCGCTCAGGATGATCCGTACAGCCGGTGTGCGCGAGGGTCACTCCGTGCTCGTCAATGGGGCTAGTGGATCGGTCGGTTCGTTGCTTGTGCAGCTGTGCAAGTTGCGTGGTGCAAAGGTGGTCGGTATAGCCAGTGGGGGTAACGAGTCCCTGGTTCGTGACCTGGGCGTAGATGAGGTAGGTTCAGATTGCAGATACTGCGCAAGGACATCGCTAATAGTCATATAGTTCATTGACTATCGTAGGCATGATAATCTGCCGGCTTATTTAGCGCATCAATATGGTGATAGGCCGTTTGACTTCTTGCTCGACTGTGTCGGCACGCAGGCGCTTTTTGTGAATTCGCCAGCTTACCTTGAGGTAGACGGAGCCGTGATCAATATCGGCGTGTTCGAGGGTGTGTTTGCGTCGGCTCGCAATGCATTGTTTAATAAATGGCTGCCGACATGGCTTGGGGGCGTTCCTCGTCGTTATATCATTTTCAGCACACCACCCGCGTGCGATGATGTGATATACCTGGCTCGTCTTGTTGAGGAGGGTCAATTGCGTATTCCTGTCGACTCCGTATTCAATATGGAGGACGCTGTAGGTGCTTACGAACGCATCGCCACCAAGCGTGCGCGTGGCAAGGTTGTGGTCAAAATACACGGCGGCTAGACCGCAGGCATTCTACAAGAATAGGAAGGGGCGTGTATGTAACATTCAATCAAGTACAGTTTTAAAAACTCTTTCTACTATGATTTCGGGTGGCAAGATGTTCAAGCCCCATAAATTCAAGTGGATAGTACATATTTGAAAGACCCTAAGATTTTGGAGCTAGGTATTAATGACTCGGAGTATATAGAATTTGAAGTACCTAGGTAATGACTACACAGATCAGTAGAATACTGGGCAGGAAACCAAGTAGTCTAATATTCTTCACCTGGGCAAGTTTCAAGCTATGTCTCTCATATTGGCTATATAGCCTCTTATCCAACCTTACCACGAGCCTTTCCTATCATCTCGAGCACGAGACTGTGAATCGTACTCGACAGTAAAGTTGTCTGTTCGATGAATAGCCAGAGTGCTCATGGGAAAGTCATTGCTGCTTTTCGGTGCCGAATTAATATCCTTATCATGATCTGCACGCAGGATACTCTCTTGGCTTTCCACATTGGTAATAGCCAAATCATCCTTCCTTGCGACTGATCTTTTGCTTCGCTCGTGAGTGGAGTTCCATTGTGTATTGCTGCCTTTATAAGCTCCGCTATGACCGTTGCTATAGGAGCCGAGAGATCGTTTCCCGAGGATAATTTCAAGTAGTGGTTGTAACGTCGGGATGCACGAAGCGATGGTGACCACGTTGGCTTCTATGTTGGTCCAAAGAATCAAATCGGCGGTCTGGGATTAACGTTAGACATCGTGGCTCTCTTGTTGAAGGAGTTGAGCGGTATATGGTAGACTACTTACGCCATCTAGAAAGCTGTTAGCAAAAGTGGGTGTTGTTGCACAATCTGGATGACTTACATGTATAGTCAGATTTGTCTGCAAGCCCGTGCAACTGAGTGCATTTCACAATGGCCATGGCCGCGGCTCTGATTTGCATTAGAAATTGATCCATATGATCAAGGACCAACTTACATGGCACCTAGACCCAGAGCAGCAGACAATGCAATTCTTTTACGCAGGGACATCTGCAGGTTCATTAAGACAACCATGGGGTAGAGGGCAAGATAAAGGTCGACAGTAGCCGACATGGCTACAAACCTATTAGTACTCTGGTAATCAAGAGGGGGGTCACAGTTGGAAGTTACCTCCAGTAAAAATTGCGTAGTCAATCAACATCCAGGTACTTTTGCAGGTCGCTTGGCCCGTTTGTACTAGTTCTGGTGTCCATAGTGCACGGGGAGGGTCGCACTTCAATTCATTAGCCATGGCTATTGGAAAGGGGGATGCTGTCTCCTCTTACCATAGTGAAAAGAATGATGATGCAAATACACGAAACTGCCGCCGTCATGGAGACTAGTGTCCACAGAATGATCTTTTGTACCATTCCCGGATTGAAGATTCTTGTGATCATAGCCGTCACTGCTATTTTCGGAATGGTAAATGAGAGGATACCGAGCAGAAATGAGAGGTTATTCAGAAGCATCGCTGCTGACAAGTTGAGACTAGGATCCTGTAGAACAACATCTTGATGTTGTCCGAATCCCGCCATAACTGAAGCTGTCGTGACACCACAATAGGCCAGACCAAGAGCCATTGCAACTACAATCAAGTAGTCATCAGGGCCAAACATCTTCAGCATTTTCAAGCGAATAAAAACTCGAGCAGCGACAATCAGAAAGGTCAAAGATGTCAGCGTCCAGAGAACTGCCAAGATCGTAGGACCTTTACTTTCATGTTCATTCTCAGCTGTCACGACCATTGTGACTGCTGATTTGAATTTTGAGCTTGTCGGCTGGGGCGATATGTAAAGCTTCTCCTGCGTGGATGAACGATAAAAGTAAGTCACCTATGCTATATATGGCGATTCTGCGGTTTGCAGCGAATGAAGCAAGCATTTGGAAAAATGTGAGGACCTGTCAGACTCCCGTTGATCAGCCACTACCCTTTTCCATTCCTTTGGTTTTCGCCCCCGGCCCCTGATAATCGGTAAGGCCCAGCAGAGCGGTCCCCTGAAACTGGCCGTTATTCTTCAGACATGAATAGCTTGAAAAGAGGCAAAACAAAAGTACCGCGACCCACTCTCAAGTGGAGAAAAAACACACGGTCGTAGCAAGGATCACCAAGTGTACCCCCCCTATAACGGGAAGTCCTCCCAAGTTTTTACTTTTATCAAGTTGATTGCTGAAATAAAGATCAGCGAGCAGGATTTACCCGAACGTTTTTGACAGCATGTGGATGCAGTACCCCAGTGTGGCGTTTTTGACAGGTCTTCTATGACAACGCCATGTGGATCTGGTTATGGAGCTCGCAACGCTAACGATACCAAGTGACGCGAAGGAGCGCTTAATCAGGGGCGCCCGCGCTAAGAAACCGAAACGGGATATGCCGACACCTGGGCATTACCACGAGGTAATAATCATTATAGTTCGGTCCAGGCTGCCATTACCCTAACAAGCACCCTGCATAAGGTGCCCCATGATGAATGAATGCGCAAATATTCCGAGTCCGTGGCAGGAATGGCATACGCTAGCAAGTCTAGATTCTATTTCTATAACTAACTCCTGGATTCACTGTTGCCAGTGTACTACTATATCAGAGCCTGCCGAGCTTGATTAGCCGACTGACATAAAGAAACGACGATTTGTTCGAATTTGCAACTCGGACCTACCCTTATGATTATAATTATGTACTCAATGTCAATTTACAGATCCTGCCCAGGTGTGCCGTCGGCATTAGCGAATACTTCCGTCCACATCCGTGTTCTGGCCCCAAGGGCTCCACTGAAAACGGCTGGCCCACCGTGCTCGTAACCGTGCCACCCACACGTCTGGAGTACTCCATACCTAATGTACGGAGTAGAACTGGGTTAAAATGTAGTTCGAGCAACTAAGTGGATAATTCAAGTGTCGGGTCATTGCGAAATTACCTATCAAAGGAGTAGAATGGCCACATGTACATTCGTTCACGAACCGGAAAGAGGTGTTATGAATCTCCGCCTTGGTCGCCTTAACTTTTAACCCAATTCTGTTAGCATGTGCCACCAGAGATGAAAGGATTGAGCAAACTAACTTAAAGATAGACTGTTTAATATGATTTGTCTCCTGAAGTTCCTTTCCCAATTGAGGGGGGTACAGCGGGGATGCCTACATTCGGCCCATGGACGGGGTATTCCGGTAGAGAGCAAGTGGCAGAGCATTAAAGCCTGCCTCTCCCCCTTTGGCATAGAGGAATCCATCACAAAGCTGTTTCCTAAATTTTACCAAAATGACTGTCACATACGAAAACGGTGCTGATGGCACCAACGGCACTAAAGGTACTAACGGTGCCAAGGTTTCTCACGAGGCCTTTGTTGATGTCTCGTCGGCCATTGCGACCTCGACCAATCTTCCAGATCATGTTCCAGCTTTGCTTGAGAAGGTTGCTGAATCCGGCACAGCTTTCCTTTCAAATGATCCAAAGGCTCGCACAGATCTCTTAGATGCAGCTCGCGCTCTGGTGTACGCCACAGAGACACCCAGAGAGGCCATGATCCGGATAGCCTGGTCGCAGTCCACTCTGTATGCGTGTATCGAAGCTGGTGTCGACATGGGCCTGTTCACTGCTCTGTCTCAGGACGACAAACCTAAAAATGTTTCATCGCTAGCTGAGGCTGTTTCTGCCGAGCCCAAAATGCTAGGTATGTTCTTCAGGTCCCTTGCCCAAGAACTTTATTAAAACCGACTATAGCTCGTATTTTGAAGCACTTGTGCGCCATGGGTGTGATCCTGGAGACCGGTCCTGATGAATATCGTCGTACTGGATTCTCCATCTCTCTTATGTCAGAGCGCTTTAGCGACGCCTACCCATGCATGTAAGTTACAAAAGTTCTATCCGATCTTCCCAATGCTGATATCCTGTCTCCTTAGCACCGATTGCATTACGAATGGTGTCATGGCCCTCCCCAGCCATCTCAGAAAGAACAACCTTCGTAACCCTACAGACGGTACTGATTGCGCATTCCAACTTGGCTACGACACCAAAGATCACTTTTTCGAATTCCTCGGGACACATCCGATTTGTGCCAAACAATTCAACAACCATATGTCTGCATACCGCCAGGGTCGTCCTAGCTGGATGGATGCTGGATTTTATGACGTGCCCGGACTTGCCGATCTTGCCACGGAGGATGAATACGTTCTTATTGTTGATATGGGTGGCTCCCTTGGTCATGATCTGAGTGAGCTTCGTCGCAAATGGCCTCACGTTCCTGGCCGTTTTGTTCTTCAAGATCTTCCAGCTGTGATCCAACAAGCGCAGACTATGAACCTTCACCAATCTATTGAGACCATGGAGCATGATTTCTTTACCGAGCAGCCTGTAAAGGGTAGGTTGGAATCTAATCATACCCCCGAGTAAAGCTAAATCTGACAAATCTCTTATTATAGGGGCTCGTGCTTATTACATGCATTCGGTCCTGCACGACTGGCCTGATGAGAAGTGCGTTGAAATCCTCAAGAACATCGTCCCAGCTATGAAGCCTGGTTATAGTAAAATCTTGATCAACGAGAACGTCATCCCTGAAACAGATGCCTACTGGGAGACAACTTCACTAGACATCATCATGATGAGTGATTTTGCATCGTGCGAAAGAACCGCAGCCAACTGGCATTCCCTGGTGGAAGCCGCTGGCCTCAAGATCAGCAAAGTCTGGACCGTTCAACGAGGCGTGGAGAGTCTCATTGAGTGTGAACTTGACGAGTAATCCTAATATCCGGGGTACTCTGGCTAGTACACTTGGGCGAGCAAAGTCTGGGCGATGGGCGTGTATTCAAACTTAGGATGAAATTGCATAACAATATTATAAACTCTATCCTTCACGGGTCCGTAATATAATGTGTTACAAAGTGGCCCTCTTATGGCTATAGGTCGATACCAAGTGAGGAACGATCAATGAAGGCCAGCAGGAAGTCTTTCAGCCCCCATGCCCAGGTGGTTAATGTATTTTTCGCATCCCAGTTTCCAGGGTTCTTTTTCTCACTAAATCCAATTCAATCCTACCTCGCTGATCCAGTGGCCATACCCTAAATACTTGTTCATGCGATTTTATCTAGCTTGTAAGATACTAGTATAGCAAGGTGAGGTTGCGAGCTTTCGAAGGATCTTTTGTCTTTCTAGCTCACCCATTTCCGGGCATTATGGAATTAGTCTTTTTTTTTTGTTTGGTCTACCACTCACTTGCCCATGTAATGGGCTTCTGTTGTGCTTGGCCGTGGCATTCTAGCTCAGCGGAGGCGCTGTAAGCTCCGCAATAAGCTAGTCTAAAAATGTACTATAGGGCTCGAATAATATTTGCTTTCGATAATTCGTAGGCCATATAGTGGTGTTTGTAAGATTTTTAGGACTTTCCAGTCCCTCAAGAACTTTACTTAGAAGTTCAACCTCGCACAGGAGCAGAAAATCTCGATGACGGTCGTTGGTAACAAGCAGACGTGACTGTAAACAAGTGAGCAGAATTCATGGAGAGTGAGAGTAAGTCTGTGAAAGATTTACAGTGTCAGAAGTTCGACCTGAGAGCCCAGATTTACGCTTTTGAATCTGGGCAAGAGCTAACAGATCACACAAGAAGTACGGATCTGCAGTCCACTCTTTCTCAAATTGTTTCCTTCGATGTCCATTAACACTCGAGTAATGAATGTAGCCGATTGACGGGGGCGAATTATTGGAGATGGGGCAGGAAAATTGCTTATGACGATTAAATAAGGTATATTCCGGTCGGTGGACAGGACGGCCCTGAAAATAGAATGAGGATCCTCTCCTGCTCAAGAATTTTGTCAGTGGTTGCCATGAACCCCTAGGTATTCTACTAGTACCAAATATAGTGACCTGGGCAGCTCTTACATATAATTTGCAAATGTGTGCTCCTTGCCGATCAGAATATTGACGAGTGATTGACGTTTTTGAACATTAAGAAGATATTTCGCTAGCATTTCTGCGTCATGTTGTGACTGAGAGCTTCCACTTTTCGGATCTCTACACTCAGCCTGAGATGGCGCCCTGTTGGAAGAGGTCCATGCTCATCTTTTGCTTAACCTTTTTCATTTGCTGCATAACTCTAGTCTAAGCGAAGTTTGATACATACGACCATAGGGTGTGGAGAACAGGGCTTCCCGTCCGCTCAGCCGTACTTAAGCCACATACTAAACGTGGTCAATAGCCAAAGAGCCCTGGATCTTAAATTAGCGTCAGTTTCTGTGTTAGGGTGAGTGTGGGTGATATGGGTGAGAATTCTGGAGACTGGGGTGAGAGAGGTGAGAACAGGGCGAGAGGGGTGAGAATACCCACTGTAATGCGTTGCGTTCTCCAAATCTGCAATGATAAATAATAAAAGCCCGAGGGCGCAAGTCCAGTCTGCTATTCCTGAATTCTTTTTTACCCAGCTACCCAACTGAAGATACTCCTAGAAGAAATCCAAAAGAAGCTGGACGAGAGGCAGACACGTACTACATTACGTGGTTTTATATATAAGTATTAGAACATACAGGAATAAGTAATTAATAAAATCTGCTATAAGCAGCTCGTTCTAGCTATACTTCGTAACTATAAGAATATAGTACTAAACTGGGTACTATAGGTAATTAAGATATTATCTTAGATAATTGAGGCTTATTAATATACAATAGCTAGAGACTTTCTTGTAATAAAGTGACCAACGCTAACTTCTTTAAAGAGGAGCCTAATCTAATCCTGTAGCTGTTGAAATCCTTTACAGAAGATTACATTGCCATAAGGAAAAAATTATCCTTGCAGAAGTCTGTATATCTGAACTTAACTAATTTTATATTTGCATGCTTCTTTGTCCCAGCTACACGCAATGTCAGCCATTTTCTAAAAGGAAATGGGTAGGGGAGTTGGTGGCTCATACTGTCCCACGACCGTCTTGTATTGAGGTGTTGAGTCGTTCGGGGTAGTACAGATCGGACTGTCAAGATCAATTTTATTTGCTACCTGAACGTCCTCCACCTGCTTATTGCTTTCATTGCGGGTGACCTTCACCAGCAACTGCTTCAGTCGAACCATGTCGAGATCGGCGTCGGGACTCGCCCTGGGAGACAGGAGTGTTTGGAGGTTCTCCGCCGGAAAGATCGAGCAGCGCATTCTCAAGGAATACTCCAAAGAGACTCTGCAGATCCTTTACGATAGCTTGAATCGTAGCTGTCCCCTTCGTTGGGTTGCCCCGACCTGTTCTTTGGATTCTGAGTTGTCTGCAGGGCTGACCTACAGGATTGTCGCGGATTTTACTGTGTGGCCTAAACTTGATCGTTGATGTGCGATCTTGAATACTACGCTGATGGCATAGTAAATGCAAATTAGCTCAGCTATATGGACTGACCACCGGTCTATTGGCCCCACCTGGACCTGTTGGGATTCGACAATCTGTAGACTGTTGTCAAGTACCGCAACGGCGGCGCCCAAGTGACCCTCGCGACCAGAGGCATCTGAGAAGACAATAATATCTGATAAAGACCTTACGGTCTCAGCTCGCTCCGCCGCTGTTTCTCGGTCTGATTCAATCTCAATCTCCGCAAAGGCCTCCGCTCGCCACGGCGGTAGTGGGCTCGGATCAATCGTCCCTATTTCATTTAGCCTTTGTAGGTCCATTGTCTTCTGTCTTAAAGCTTCTTCTAGTGGAAAGCGAGCATAGTTTTCAATTAAACAATGTAGACGTAAAAAGGATACACTCGTCATTCCTCTTTTGGGACACAAAGGTGGCTATGTGCAGGTGCCAAGTAGACTAGCATTTGGTGGACACCTGGATATTGTTAAGCTGCTCCTTGTGAGAGACACTCAGAAACAGGTATATGAGACTGAATGCGCTCTAGCTGTGCTCAGTAATCAGTCAGACTATCCTAGGGCGCACAGTGAACGTTTAGATCTGTGTACATTGGTTTGTTCCAAGGTTTAAGTAATATCCAAGCTAGGAACAAATAAACAATCCTCCAAATAACAAAATCCTCCAGATAGGCCATTTGCTCCCACCAGAACCCTAACCACGTGCCTATGGATTACTTCTCGCATTTTCCAGGAAGTTGAGTGTAGTTCCGAGCCATGATCTCCCAGCTAGCGATATCCTTGCGATCTCTTAGACGCATTAACTTACAATCAAACCATCATTCATCCTTCTTCGACGATTGGCTTTGGTCGGATTTGGGATCAAGAACTGCCATCTGAAGGGAAGAGAGTAGACTCAAAGCATACGGCGAGTGATCGATTTCATTGAAAAGGTCAGTCACATCTGTACCAATGGCATCTTGAAGTGTCGCCGGACCACCTGGGTGGCTGTGCATGAAATCTGTGATGTCGCAAACGCGCCCAGAGATAGATACCAAACATGATCCCGTTCGAGTTAGATGCTCATAATCGCTCCAGGATAAGACAGATAAGACAGTTGCTTCATTCACGTCTTCATAAGACTTGGGCGTAATGCCTTGAGCGAGCATTCTCGCTTGTTCAATCTCTCTCTCTGAAGTTTGAACCAAGTTTTTAGCCAGTCCCAATTTGGCACAAAGCTGAATGAATAATTTGCTTAGATCGAAATCAGGCAGACGAAGTCCATTACGATAATCGGATGGAAATCGGTGGTGAAAATTATGATGGCCTTCCCCTGCAGAGAAAATCCCGAGAAGAAGGTTATCTCTTGCAGATACACCAGTAGTAAATGGCTGCTGGCCTGACCAATGGGCCAACGAGTTGACAAGGAATGTTGCGTGGTGTCCGATTAACAATCTCCATGCGACCGCATATTTCAAGCCCCCAGAGAAGTCGTGCCAACCAAAGTAGCAAATCAAGGGCGGGATAATTATTGATACAACCACCATAAGAGGGTAGTAATTTCGTCTCTGCCATTGCGCAACAGGATCGTCCTCAATATCCGACACATCAACGGGTCCCCAATGCTTGTCATTGAGGGTAATAAGCCAGCCCAAATGTACCCAAAAGAGTCCCTTTTTCACGTTGTATGGATCTTTATCAGTATCCACATAACGATGATGAGATCTATGGTGACGGGCCCACCAAATAATATCGAATTGTGGTATACCGCATGACAGGACTATAAGGAGATATCGGAGAGGTTTCACTGCCTCATATGATCTATGCGTCCACAAGCGATGATATCCTACAATACATCAGTAAACTAATAAACTCTCAGCTTCAGGTATAAGTTACCTGCTGTAATTCCAATAAAGAATAGTGTATGAAGTACCACCGCGAGAATTGCAGTTTGCCGCAATAACGGTACTGTTCTTCCCAAAAATATGTCCCAGAAAGGTAGAATGAAGGGCAGGAATAGAAAATAGGGACCAAGGAACCAGTGTAAATTGTAGTAATAAAAGGAAAAGCCAGATAGAGTGTCTCTGCCAAGCCTCTTGAGCTGGTCTCTAGGGCTGTCCGAATATGGCTTGGTTGATATCTTATAATCGACCATCTTCAACGAGCAAGCATCAAGATAAATGGTCAGTACTAGTAAATTCCACCCGATCGATCTTCTTGTGGAAAAGATATGTCCAGGACTAGTATTGTTGAACGGAAATACATCATTGGCACTATGATATAGGAGATACTTTTATTAGTAATATGATGAAGAGATCCGTGCGGCTGAACTATCTTCAGCTGTGCGCATTATAGAATTGAACAAACCCCACAAATAGCATGATACCTATACAGTTCCCTAGAGCGGAGCTCTGTGACTGGTAAAATTCATGTTGCACAAGAGCGGATTTCCATGGTACAGAAATAATACGTAGCTGAAAGTGGACTGTTGTGATACATAGGACAGAGAGTCGATATTCTGTATGGGTAGTCGTGTCTTTGAAACCTGCCAGTTTGTGGTAGCACAAGAGATTAATTGGAGATCCCAGACGGGAGGATCGGCGCTTCAGTGCGTCCGTGTCCTCACGAGGCAACTGCTACCTATCCATGACTACGTCATGGGGGAGCTGGGGAGGCGAGAGAAAGTCGATGTGTCTTTTTCTGTTCGAAGCTGATACCAAGGAAATGCGAAAGAAGGGTTTCACAAGAGATTTACGCAGATAAAGAAAGAATGAGCGCACTAACAAGAGAGCGAAAGAAGTGATGGAGCTATGGAGGTAAAGAATCGACCCATCTTGACTAATAAGAACTCCTATGGCTATACGGTAGGCACTCTGACATTTTACATGATATGAGTGAGTAGAGAGACCGCTCAAAAAAGGGGATGAGTTCAGGTATGATTATGTATCACAGGGTCTCGAAGAAATGGAAGATACCTTTGTTAGAAAGCTGTGACAAAGATTTTGTGCAAAAGCAAACCCCAGAATTCAAGATTATTAAACTTTGAAAGACTCCATGCCCCACCAAAAAAAAGAAAACATGAGTCTGCAATTTATACGTCAAGGTGATCCGCATTCTGTATATGTATGCGAGGAATACGCATTTCGTATCGTTATGAGATTCTGTGCCGAGAGAGCGCTCCCTAAGGTACGCTTCATCATCAGATGCCTGCCATAATGTGAACTATCTTTTGAAGATATTTTGAATGGCGATTGTAGAAAAGTAATCTTGATATCCGCTGGTGAGCTTTCCATCGACGGGGGTGATCCAAACGCGCTCAAGTAACAGCACGAGCATATATTCAAGATCGCAAAGTACTTGAACAATGTGTTTCGATTTTCCTTGCCGATTCCAGAAGGGAAAGATCTACATTAGAAGGAATACAAACATTTTGATGCGGCCCAGAACCTGAAGCGTAATTTGTCAAACTTGCTTAACAGTGCATCTGATAGATGGGTTCGTCCCGAGGGCTAGGAAGCAGCAAAGGCAGGAAATAGGGCAATGTTCATGGGAATCTGCAGGCGGTATTAGAGAACAAAGGTCCGAATAACGATAAGCCAATTAGGAATAGAGGAAATTTGAGAGAAATATAGCCTTTTGACTAGCCGGAGGAAAGCTAGCTTGACTCTGGAGAAGGGTCGTAGATTATTCATCCCAAACTGTATTCCTCAGGTCAGATCAATGCAGACAGTTGAGTCATAGGCTTTGGTTCACTACGAATATGCCAGACCTTTGAAGCGGTGGAAAGGGTCACAATGCGCTAGGAAATGGCTCGCTGTATGTACTGAATCTGTAGAAGACAGCTGAATGTCCAAGGCTTCTTTTTCTAGTGACTGTGTCGCGCTCTAAGACAGACTCATAATTCCTTCATTACAAATGGTGGCTATGTGCAGGTGCCAAGAAGACGAGTTCTTCAAGTGGTGGTAGCTCATCTAATGATATACACTTCACTTCAGTTGAGTGGGTCAGTGCGCGACTAATGCATGACGGAGCGTGATTCTCACCTTGTCTATTGCGCACTCACCCTAATCACCCGGATCGCGCGACGCTAAAGCGGCGCTCACTCCATTCTCACCCGGGCGGCGCACCCACCGCACTACAATCTGGTCTGGGCTCGGATATCTAAGTGATTTGTACCATATCGACATTTCCAAAGAAAATTGGGAAGAATAGACTTGAACTCATGTAAGACCACATTTGGGAATAGAAGGGAAAACGTGGCTGCTTCATGGAATCCCCGAGCGACGATCAAGCCCTGAGGTGGGCTTTACATTACTAGTAGGCCTAAAGGGTGCCAGTGTAACCGCTCAATCATTGACTTTCACTGAGGTCTTGTCTTACAACTATTAAGCCACCTGGCAGGGAATATTCATAATAAATTTGCCGATGCAACCGATTTCGAACAGCTTTACGACTATACTAGTAGTATATTGTTATGTAATCCTAACCTTCGAAGTAAAGCATACTGATACTAGTATCCATCGATTGCACTGAAATATACCAAGAATATTTAGGAGTGTCATGCCAGTGACAGATCTCTTAGTAGTCTGCTACTAGTAGCGGTTAATTTCACCTGGGCAGAACCACACCAAGGTAGTATTAATTACAATGTCCAAGCTTGAAACTTGAACTAACTGCTTTTATCACGAGCTGGAAACACATGGTAATGTTCTAATAGTGTAACCGTTTACTGCCAGATTTTCCCTAACTAATTCACGGTTAAATCATGGATGATTTCTGATTCATAACGTTGGCTATATAGTACCTACCTATTACCTAGGCATAGGTAGTGAAGTCCCACCTATCACCCGTCAAGACCTTGAAGTGGATAATGGGGAGCCCATATGTGTACGGGTCGAGGCGAGGTCTACCAAGGCTTCAACATTATCACACGAAATTGCGCGCCTTTCGTAACATCTGCAGACTCTGGTCTCTACCATGCCTAGTACACTTTCAAAGCTTTGGCTCGGAGACTTGAGATGGTGGCGCTGATAAATTTGTCAACCATATACCTTTGCTGTAGTCATAAGAGGTGGAGCAGTAGAATCGATTCGTCAACGGATCCAGCTGTGACATATCCCTACTCTCCACTGGAGACTTGTGCACGCTCAAAACTGGGGATGAAGAACTTCCGCTTGACTGATACCACCACTGGACAATGTTCGAGGGCCGATATGAAGCACCCATATTTAGACCGAGCTCAATAGGATCGACGAAAATCTGCGTGCGTCAGTAAATGTATCTGAGGGTTTGTTGAAAAATTGTAATACCGGATCGAACCCAGATGTCTTTCGGTCGTACAAGCCAACCACGGCATATACGGCCTCTTTAGCGCTTGCTTTATATTCATTCCGTGTAATCTGAAGATCTTTTGAGTCCGAATCTTTAGTTGATGCAGCCCAAAACCCAGATGCAGATAGAACGAAGGCCTGCCCAACCTCGCAGCGCTGCCAGGTACCGCTCAAATCCAAATCGCTGTTAGACCACAGGCCACTTTTGTGGGGTAGTCCACGACACCAGTTCAAGCCGTAAATAGGCTCCCAGGCTATCATTCTCCGAGGGCTCTGTTCGAAATTTTTCCAAATCAGATTGGTGAGAGCCTGACCTTCGCTATTCAGCACTGTGTGTGCTATGTAGAGCTCGAAATTCGCACGAATAAGCCAATCCGCGTCACTTTCATTCTGCCAGAATTCTATAATTCGGTCCAACGCCTTGATAAGTGTCATTTTTATGATCAAATGGTGTCTGTTTGTTCAATGTCGAGAGGCCTTCAGGGAAAGTTGAATGATGCCCAGGTGGTAATCGTAGTGGATCCAAGATCTAGACTGGTAGAGGGTGGGCGACTATTGTTAATTATAGCCAGTGGCAACCAATCCTGCACATAATACGGATAAACACCTCTTCCGGAATATTTCGAAAATAGGCCACTTGATGACAAACTAGCTGGAAATGGATGAAAATGTATGGAGACCGACTTGAATCCAAAGCTAAGAATTGGAGGTAGAATCTTCTCCAAGGACATTTTGGTCGGTGTGGCTTTGAGACCTAATTTCTTGAAATATGCCTGAGGTAAAAGGGAAGAGTTTCCTCTCACTACTATCCCGTGAGAATCCTCCTACTGCTACGCAAATATAAGAGCCATGTCGGGCAACCATGGAGAGATAGGCACTCGTCGACTATTAACATGTTTGAATAACGAATAGAAGTACTACTAGACTACCTGATTAGACTTGTCACTCCTCGTTTGCTAGCCCACAAGAACTTCGATCCGTCGGCGTAAGAACATAATGGGGTGTGTCGCTAATAAAAAGTTGTGCATTCCAGCATTTACTGCTACAGTGTCATTCCAACCAATCTCTTATCCTCCCCGCCTTACAACTTCTCTTCGAACCGTGCCGATTCCGTGGGGCGTCCGACAAAGCCATTTGTATCACGCTGCTTTTAATTTTAGCTTACTGAATTGGTTAAAGAAGGATCCTCCCACCTACCGACGGTCGTTTTCCAAGTGCCTTTCTTGTAGTCGAAAGTCGAAATCTTCTTCCAGCTGTGAGTAGCCGGATCAGGGCCAGAGTAATCGGCAGTTTCAATCTTGGTTGCGTGCTTAGTGAATACGGTTCCCTGCTTGGATCCCGCCTCATACCACCACTGAATTTGCTCCTGCGGCTGGAACGTCGCGGTGGCATTAAGGGGAATGCTGCTCGGATCCACGAAAATAGGATCAAACGAGCCCGACGCGTTTTGGACGCCGATAACGATCCTGATACCCTCGGGGTTTTCCGCCGAATAGTTATTGACACCGATCATCATGCTGCTGGGATCGGGTTGGCTGGCGGAGGTGGTAAAGAAGCCCGAGGAGGCGATGTCGACAGCTTGGCCGACGTTGCATTGCATCCAGTTGCCTCGGGCGGTGATAGAGATGCCATTGGTAGGGATGTCGCTGGTCCAGTTGAAAGCGTATACGGGCTTCCATTTGATATCAACGAATGGGGAAAGGGTCTTGGAGCGCCAGACCGTGTTAAAGACGACTAGTGAAGATGTGAGACGTTGCAGCGACCCGAGGATCGGAGCTACTTACGTTCACCGTTTGCGATCACACTTTTGGCGACGTGGAGCTGATACTGATTATTGCTCAAGAGGGGCATGTTGAGCTGGTCAATTGCGACTGTCAATTGACGCTCATCGGGTGCGATTGGGATAGACATGATTGTAGCTGAAGTTGCTAGGATATGAATGCCTCTAGTGCTTTGCTCAGCTGAGAAGTTGCTTGAAGAATGTGAGAATTGACATTGAAGACCGATGGTAACTGGGGACTTTTATATCCGTCCTGTCCATAATCAGTAAGGCATCAGTATATAGACCTCGAGCACATGCCGATGATTTCAATTTAGTAACTGCACGCGACGCTGCAGGGTCTATTGAACACCACAAGTCACGGCTAGGTTGCTGATACGCTCGGCAGAATTCTGTAGAAAACCTGGCCAATGAAGAATAAGATAATCATACTCTGAGTTTCCATGTGTGATTTGCTTTTTAGTACTGTATGCATGTTAGTGCCAAAAAAAGGAATAGAATAGTTCTAGGGCTGCATCGACTGGCACGGACAGGCTTGTCAGTTCATCGATCATCAAAAACCGAGCAAAAACACCCGAGATGTGTGACGGCGCCTGGATTTTGCATACAGCTCACTTCTGGTTCGACTTTCTCCACTGCAATTCGGTATCTTTCAGCTCACATTAATCAACGCCACGAAGGTCTAGACATTGAATATGATAGCGGTACCGAAAACCGTCCACGAAATTTTCCTAAGTATAGTCAATACGGCCATGAGCAGAGCTTTTTTACAAGCCCTAGTATCAGCCCGGCGCAACCATGCACTTCCAAGTTCTCTGCTAGAATTTTCAAAACGCCACTTAATGTCGGGACACTAATACCTAGGTATTCAAATCGATGTCGACGAACTCAGCGAACATGATTTAGACATTGTGAACCTGCAGAATTAATGCCAGATCTTCAGCTTTCAATGAGCCACGCCACTTGAAGTCTGAATATTGAGTTTGAAAGCCCAGCTGACGAATTAAATAAATTCTATGCAGACCTCGTTTCTGCAGGGAGTGGGTGAGCTCACGGAAGTAGATTAGAGAGAGCCGGAGCCGGAGCGACACATTCGACTCATTTCCATCAGGTTAGAGACAGACGAAGTGAGTTCATTTTCGGGTGTTGCTAGTTTAGAAAGTGAAGAAGAAGAAGAAGAAGAAGAAGAAGATGATGATGATGAACCTTTTGGGGGACGAGAAGGGAATCGCTGGTTGAGGCCAGGCAGCCTGCTTCTGCTCTGCACCAGAGCCGGCCAAGGTACCCAGATGTGAATGTGAACAAAATGAGAGATAGGCGGGTTAAAAAGCGAAAGCTTATTTTACGAGGGTGGAGGAGAGGGATGATTAGGTGATGATCGGATCGGTCCTTCCGGTTGTGTCGTGAATTGAGTGAATAAACCGGTCAAAATACCCGACTGATGAATTTATTTACTCCGCGCTTCTTTGAACCACATTCATACTTGGCACTTCTGTGTCTCCAATTATGATGTCCACTAGGGGGGCTTGGGTCGCTGTTGAACCCGTGTTTTGGATCGTAGGCGGCGTTAGTGCTGCAAATTGAAAAGGTAATAGTAGTAATCCTCATCAGCCCTGAAGTTTAGTCGCCGAAGTCACACGGATGAGAGGGGTCCAGATGCTAACCCGGCGCTGATCTCCCGAAAATATTGGAAGAACTGATGCAAGCCACAGTTTGGGAGGACGATGGTCGAGCCGAATAGCCCTGTTAAATCATAAGCCCATTCGCTGAGAATTCGCGTCAGCCGGCATTTGTGAATGTGGAGTTGTTTGAGCTGCACCCCACACGAGATCGGTGATGGCACAAACCATGCAAACATTGTCTGGGGTATGGGAGTGAAACCCTAAATGGTATTTGAAATATTAGATATTCTAGTTAGACCAAATGTTTTGATCAAGCAATTGAGGAGCCAGCTATTCCCTGATCATTATTTTGCTATAGAATTCTATGTATTCAGACCCTTAAATATTTCATGCAAATCATAGGTATCGTACGACATATCTTGCTTCCAAACTTGGAATTCTTTTTGAAATACCTGGAGCCCGCTCTAAAACTGGTTCAAAACTAGTCTTACCCATCCGAGTCACACTGGCTGTCATTACAAAGTATAGTAAGTACCTACTAGGTAGCTAATTCAAGTTACCCACATTATTTCTTATGGAATCATCTTGTATACACACCAAGTATTTAACACTAGTATTTCCACATGTCGACCATACATGTATTGGCTGCACAGGTCTTTGATACTTCATGACCCTAGGTGGTTAGCCGAGAGACCTTGGGCGAGCTGAAAATCTATCAGTCTAGTCACCATACTAGTCACACGCATTAGGCACAGATCAGCTTATTGCGAGTGTGCGCTAGTGTGTGTTTATGCTTTCACCATCGCTTCCACTTGCACCAGATTCAGCTGGTCATCTAGGAAAAACCAGCGTAAAATGTATGACAACGCATCCGGAGATTTCTACCACCACGGAGGAGGTAATCATGCAATAACATACCGGGAAGAACGTGAATGTGGCTCATTGTCATCTCTCGAACACATAATTTGGCATATATAGAGCTTAAATCACTCATATTAACATCAGAGGGCTTGCTTTGTCTCTGAAAAACACGCTCAAGATGTCAGGCTCTCCTGTTCCTCCTGTTCCACTTTCTTTTATTGACGCGCTGTACGTCTCTAAAGTCGAATGCCCTCTTTATGACCACTTCGTCAATCCTCCCCAGATATGGTTTTCCTCCGGAGAAAGCCGTGTCTGGTATTCACTGGGAGGCGCAACCAAAGCCACACCTGTCGCCATTTACAGCACCACTGCCTTTCGCGTAGTACTGGCGGCAGTTTCTTTGGGGCCCATCCAAGCCCTCACAGCTCCTCTGACGCTTGTAGGAAAGGCAGGGGAATGGACAGTCTTCAATTCGCAAAAGAAAAAGACAATCACAGATCTGGTGAAGGATCTTGTTGTTAATCAACCCACCATTAATGGTACAGCCAAGCCTTTACCATGGGGGCTGAGTTCAGACGTCACCTGGACACTGAGCGGTAATGACCCAAAGCAGCCTACCTACACATGCGAGACTGAGACAGAAGTCTATGTCTTCCCACCCAGCCTGCCCAATTATGTTGTCCGAGGTGGACTCCCTGTGCGACTTCTATCACTCAACGCTTTGTGGCCCGAATGGATGCGTAGCGCAGCTACCGATTGGGTCACATTTATCGTTAATGCAATATTCAATGACCCGCGCCTGGAGTATGAAACGTGGAGCGGGTCTTCCAAGTACACAAGCGGCATCATCACAGGTCTCGCATCTGATCTTGCAAATGATAGGGGTCTGGAGCTGTGGCTTGATCTTTGGCTCACCGATATGCTGGGTCTCAACGGTGTCAAGACACAGATGAACTGCTATGATCTAGCATGTCTTGTGCAAGTCTTAGTCTCTCTCGGAACCGACGCTGTGACTGGGAAGGTCCGCGCAAAATTCATGAGGCCGTATGGATATATCAAAGATACCAAGCTCATTGGGAGGATCGATCCGCGTAGGGACCCGACAGGCAAGCCAGTCAATCCGCAAAACTTGTGCAATAACCCTTTCTACGGTAACAATGGATACGCCAAAGATATGCTAGTTGACAGAAATAACAACATCAGGTCAGCATTTGGCAATCATTTATTCGTCACAATTGAGAGAGCAGGAGAAACATACGTCCTGGATGCCTGCTGCGGCCCTCAAACCGGCACCATCAAATTGCAGAATTATCCAGCCGAGGCCATCGATACTCGCAGCGATAACAGAGGCAGGCCCGGAACTCTCTTCGACATTATAGATGGCGTCGGCGTAAACCATCTTATCGTTTCTCGCGCCCTTGGAAGAGTCAACCCTCCACCCAGTTCCGCTCTTCTGATCGACCAGGTGACCCAACTGGACCCAACTGGGACATGGAACACGCCGTTCTTTGCGTCCCCAGCTCAGAATTATTCCATTTCTGCAACCTGGACTTTGATTCCAACCGGATATCCAGGAAAAACCATCAATATTGATGTGTTTCGGTATGAGGATGCCTACATTCCGCGCCGTGTGACGACCGTGCAAGACGCATACGCCATGCGTGTTGCGACTATTAGAGACCAGTGGGTCGTTGAGACGTCAAACGAAGGTAAGAGTGATGGTGTCACAGGAAGCATTCGCATTTTTTGCAATCCGTCTGCGGGATATCTGGCCGTTATCAGGTCGACCGAGCTCAAAACGGTCGACACAGCGACGCTGAAGGCTCAATTTAAGATTCTTTTGGACACGAGCATGATCCCAACGGGGCAGACGTGGATCCAGAACATCAACACCGACAAGAGTCTTCCGATCAAAGTCAATCAATCATTTATTATTACTATAACCGTGAGCTGAACCGCGCCCCCCCCCCTCTATTATGACCCGTAGGCTTCTTGCTAAGTCACAAGCAGCCCACGTTCGCGGCACAGCAGGTGTGGAGGGGGTATACAATCAGAGGCCCACGAGGGGTGAGTTTCACAACGTGGTGTTTATTTCAATGGAGGAGAAGCTAATTCATTTCGAAGCATGCCCTATTGCTCGGGGCCCAGCAGATGTCTGACAATACAGTCCAATTCAAGTTTCTGGCTCGGTCTTCCGGCTTTGAAATGATAACTATATCCATGTATGATGGTAATTTGGAAGTGGACACCCGAGTTGTCAATGTGTGGCTTCAGGATTAATGCGCAACGCGTTTTTCGTTTGTCTTGGTTTAACAGTGACTCGGTGACGAGAAGCAAAAGGTTAACGTGGCCGGTTGGACGCTATCGGCCGCTGTCGTACGGCAAGAATAAGAAAAGAATGTAATTAAAAAAGCCAGTTACAAAAACATTGATCTCAGTCTGGGAAAAAGGAAGAGATACCCAATTATGTTCAAGGGCGTGGGCTCGCGGAGGTATCAAGTGTATCCCATACCAAAGACCCGGCCTCGTCGGATCCCTCGCCCACAAGTATTTTCACAACTTGACACAACCTACTCACCAGGCTCTTTGCAACCTGCTCCGTGAGTATCAAGCTACTACCAAGAGCTCGGATCCTCAGCCCCCCCCTGGAACAGGATGAAAAACAACACCCAAAGGTAAAGTGGCCATTGAACCGGATTCTCATACCAGTGAAGCTTGGCACTGGTACCGGCAAAATTGATCTGAGGGTTCTCGTTGATGTTTTGATGTTGAACGAAAGACTCCAGAGTGTTACTGCCACCTGTAGATGGGTCATGCTAGTTTGTGCAAGACCAAATAATATCTTCCCAGCCCATCATGAATCCTGTTCGCCCGACTGAGATAAATTGATCGTGTATCAATTTTGGAAGCTCACGAATGTTCAAGGCACTCATCTCGTCTTTTGAGGGAACTTGCACTCCGACGAGGATGATATTGACACAGGGGCCAATAACATCGTGAGCGGAAGGGGGATTTTCACAACCCGCGACGAGATGACCAAACACAACGTCACTCTGGCCAGTAATATGAGAGAGCAAAATCGCTCAAGCAGAGCTAATAAGAGTTGACTGTGGAAGTTGATCAAATTTCTGTTGATGAAGTGTGACAAGCTTGAATTTTGTAGAATGTCTTTGACCTTGAAGGGCAACCGGGAACCTGGCTGTTGGAAAGACACGAAAAAAACGGGGTGTTGCGTGAACCAGCCATACGGCGAGTCCAATCTAACCGAGACCGATTGCGCTGAGTAACCAGGTGGGCTAGGTAAATAGGGAAGGGTGAGTCGGGAGATGACATCTGAGCGTCCTGCACTTTCCCATCATAAACATCTGCCAAGGTCTGAAGCATGGGTGCTAAGGAAAGACCGTCATATTGGGCATGCGAGAGGCGAATGATTAGTCGCGAGGTTTGGACCTCTTGGTTGTGAGAGTGGCTGCGCACAAGAACTAATTTAGTGTGAAGTTCATTTGGAGAGAGTCTCTGGCGAGTATCATCTTCACAGATGGCAGTACAGGCTATATCCAGAGAGCTTTTGGTATCGACAATGGTGAGAGACGGCGATGACTGTTGTTGCACAACTATGAAATCATTTCCCTCGAAGGACATAAAAGTGCTTCGAGGTAATGGGTAATGCTGGAAAAGCAGCTCCCAACTAGTTCGCGATAGCCCTTCATCAACCTGCTCAGTACCATTGTCAAAGTAGAAGTAGTTGCATGGCTGCTTGATGCTCTGTATCTGGAAATCGGTCATTGGAAAGATATCCTCGACATTTTCAGGCAGCAACATGTCAAAACTCTTTGCCTTTGAGCCTCATTCACGAGATTGTAGGGTTTTTAGATCATCTCTGATTCCTCTTCAAGTTCCACGTCCAAAACACAGTTCACGATGAGCTCTGCGATGGTCCACTGTTGGAATATATCCGCCACCGAGAATTCGAGTCCGTGTTTGCGAGCTCCACCAACAAGTTGTACAGCTGTGATGGAATCTCCACCAAGCGCAATGAAAGTATCACCGAGTCCAACCATATCCTGCGGCATATGCAAAATCCGAACCCACAAGCTTTGTAGACGGACTTCCAACGGAGTCACCGGCTGGCGGCGGGGCTGCTTATTGTAGGTAGGCCTCTCATAAGGTCGAGTTGCTCACGAGAGAGTGAGGATGCAAGTATGCGAAGTTCTTTTCGGTTCGTTTTGCCGGTCGCAGTCATTGGCGTGGCGATGAGGGGCACATAGAGCGAGGGAACCATGTCAGGTGGAAGAGGACGTGACTTTTTTCATTAGACAACATCGTGGACTCATGGTACTCCAGGTCAGGGTAGAGACCACCGTTCTCCCAGTCAGATACCAAGGCTAGCTGCGTGTGCTAGATTTGGAATCGCTTTACTCTATCTATAATCACAGGGCTATGTACAGACGCCAGGAGACCGACCGTTTGAAGGGGATGCTTTTTCTCAATGATGCTTAGAGCCAGCTCAGTTGAAAGGGGTCAGTGCAGTGGTCGCTCTACAAAAGGTTGTTCTCACCCACTATCACTCAACGCTTCCTTGCCATGTCTATTGCACTCACCATTCTCTTCAAAGAAAGTAAATGTGGTTTTTTCAATCAAATATACTACATAAATCTACTCTAAGCAACACCTACTACATACGACCATAGGGTGTGGAGAACAGGGCTTCCCGTCCGCTCAGCCGTACTTAAGCCACATATAGAACGCTGTTAATTCTCTAACAGCCTTGAGGGCTTAAAGCAGAGTGGTTGCTTGGCTTATGGTGAGTGTACGTGATATAGGTGAGAATCTTCGCGAAGGGGGGTGATAGTGGGTGAGAATGGGTGAGTAGAGTGAGAATACCCACTATGATACTTGCCCCCTCCCCCCTCCTCTCTCTCTGTAATAATAAATAACCTATGAGGCTGCTCCGCCGGTTTACCATCCTTAACTTCTTTATGATATTCTGCTTTCCTTCGGACCTCGGTATGTTTTTCTAGGAACGTTTCAAACTCGATACTGGCTGGTACTTGCTGAAGTAGCTCCCACGGTAGGCTCTCGATGTTTGCCATGGAAAGAAAAATGGTCGATGATAAATTTGAATTTTAAGTCAAGGCTCATGGCGTATGATTTGAAAGTAACAGTGAATGAGACGGATTATGAGATTCACATCTGCCAGCAGCCCCAATGTAGCCCCCCCCGGGGAGGCAATGTCGATAACCGGAAACGCGTACTATGCAATCCAATTTGAGCAAGCGCCGTCATAGCTCCTCTCTCCTTTTCCCAATGTTTAATAAGGTTTCGTGATTAGGGAAAAAGAAATTCTCGAAAGGGTGTCAAGTTGCTAAGTAGAAATTCAAGGTTTCTAAATTGACGAATACACCTCAAAGCAGAACGGTCAGATCCATCCCAGGAGACTTCGATCAAGTAGGACGGGAGCCCTAAGCTACGGGAGGAAGGTTAAGGAGTCATACATTCTTATCGCTCACAAAAACTCATGAGTGAGAATGGAGTTATCTCTCCCGATGATGACCAAATGATAGTACTATCATTTCAGAAAATAGCTCAAGTGTTGGGTCTATCCGGGGGCTCTTCAATGTTTTCACCTACAACATTATCTGCTGGCCTGACTGATAGGGCCCATGCGGTACACAGTGCGATTAGACTCGCGTGGTATTAGTATGATTGTAGCAAATTCTCCGTTTTGATATAAAAGGGGGGCCCAATGGACAATCAGATGTAGTATTATCTTCGTTGGCGGAAGTGCACCAGTGGCTAACCATACACGTCTCCCTACACTTTCAAGGAGTTCCGAGAGCAGTCACCGAAAAGTGCGTTGCTGAACTTATGACACAGGATGGACATCTTTACCGAAAACTCGAATGACATGGAAAAAATCGAACTACTTATTCTATTCCGAGAAATCTATTTCATCAGCCCAAGGAATGGATTCTTGAGCACCAAGTCTTTCGATTGTCCGGGCTGACGCTTTACATGCCCTAGTCACGGCCCTACTAATATCCCACTTTCCAAGCTGCTTTTGCCTGATATACTCAGTGGCATAATTCCCCACGAAGGTGTCTCTAGTTGAAATTCTGAGTCAGTATTGTCTTGAAATTTGCTGTAGTAGCCAAATGCACAAATCATGTATCACGTTCATGGCAGTGCTAAGAAGATAGTCTGACACTTACCCCGCCCCCGTTGTATCCATCACATTGATATTTTTCTCGGCATCGACCACTCCTTTTTTCCCATCGCTCGTACCATAATACGCGCCTTTCGCCCCCAACGTAATAACCACATTGGTGACGCCCAACTGAATAAAGTCCTCCACTGCCTCTTGCCAAGCGGTTAGATGGTTAAGCTCATCAACATTACGCCCAGACAGCAAAGCAGCTTCGGTCTCGTTCAAAACAAGATGAGTGAGGTTTTTGTATGTTGAGTTGACCAAATAGACGGCGGGAGAAGGATTGAGTAGCGTGTCGACGCCGCTTCGGCTAGCCGTCTCAAGCACGCGTTCGACTTCCTCGCGTCGAACTCCAAGGTGGGCGATTACCAGATCTGGCTTCTCCCCACCCGCTAAGCACTCCACCGAGGTGTGTTGACGAGGCGTCCATTTTAGATTTGCTCCCTGATATGCTATGTTTCTGCTGTCACCCGATTCCGTCTCCACGATGACAACACACGTACCGCTCCTGGTTTCTTGAATGGTGCGGATTCCGGAGATTTCAACGCCATCTTGCTCTAGCCTGGCCTTTAGCACGACCCCAAAGTCGTCGTCTCCCACTGCCCCGTTCATGAATACCCGAATATCGCCTTGGCCAGCTCGTCCAAATGCGAGCTTAGTCGACTCGGAGCGGCTTGCCCGGTAAGTCGCGATAGCAGTATTGGCACCTTTTCCACCGGGGAAATTTGACAAAGTCGTGCTGTCCATAGACTCGCCAATATCAGGCAAGCGCTCCGTCTCAAAGATCATGTCCATATTTAGCCCCCCCCCACTACAGCGACAATAGACCCCGTCATATCTTCCTAAATGTAGGTAATGGCCGAAAGCTCTGTGCTAGCAATAGAACGAAAATGAGGTCTTTGGTAGCAGTAAGAGTCAAAAAGAGGGGTAATGGCGGGGTCTTGTACTATTAAGCAAACCCCTGTCCGTCTGACATCTATGACTGGATAAATATTGACCGGCAGAACGTACAGTGATTCGTAAGAATGCGGTACTTATCTACTCTGCTAAGCTACACACAGATTACACTTGGGCACTTGATTTATCAACTATAAATTCTGATAATGAAAAGCAAAAGTCGCGCACTTGAAATAACCGCCAGTAATTGGTTTTACAATAGGTACCTGCTTTGAAATGAAGTCCCCACGTAAATTTATGTATCTGAAGAAGCCTTCTCATTATTCACAGCCCCCAAGACAAATTAGGTGATTCAGGACCCAGGTAATCAATGCATCCTTGGGCCCTGTGATCTTAAGGTTCTGATGCTGTAGATGTGGATCCGGTGGCCTCTGCTTGAAGGCTCCGACGCTTCTTCAATTTGGAATTTGGAAGCGGATGATAAAGGAACGTCACCAAGCATCTCAGCGACTGAGAGCTGCAACAAGGCAATTCTTCAGCCAATGAATCAGGGAAAAGACTTTCATTCTGCTATGGACTGAAATTGAGCGCACCGGTCTTTCAAACGACGACTTTGGTAAAACGAAGAACTTGGGCAATAAACAAACTATTTTGGTGCCGTGGAGATAAATCCATTGCTCTATCACCGTGGGGTTTGCTTCTTTGCCACTCTTGGAAGGATGGTGGAGCTAAAACCGAGCAAGAAGACTCGGCCAGAAGCACAACCTACGGCTATCTTATGATCTCGGACCATCAAGCACACCGGTCGGTATTCCCATGGAATCCATAGTATTTTGTCGCCGTTCCACGTAATCCATGACTTGTCAGCGAGAACCGAGTATAAAGATCGTGGCAAAGGCTCAGCACTCTGCGATGACGGCTGAAAGGGATTGTAACCCCTTTCCGTGACAAATCCGCTTCCATCTCTGGTGAAGGCTAGTTGAGTTGGGGAAGTTCCGATATTATAAGATACTTCAAAATCTCCTGTCTCAGCATGCCATATTGTCACTGTCTCGTCGTGAGCACCAGCCGCAAAGCGCTTCCTGTCATGGGAAAAGGCTACGGAGGTAATAGAGCTCTGACAGCTGAGTGTCTGTCGTAGATCACCAGTTTCGGCCTCCCATATTCGCACAGTCTTGTCTTGTGACCCTGAGATCAAGAATTTTCCATCAGAAGATAATGCGACAGATGTAACAGAATTGCTATGGCCCATCAATGTGTGTCGAAGCGCACCTGTCTGCGTCTTCCAAACCCTTATTGTTTTATCGTGGGACCCTGATACTAGTTGCCGTCCATCAGGAGAAAACGAAATCGAAAATATTGAATTTTTGTGACCTTTGAACACATTCCGTAATGTCCAATTGTCAGTATCCCAGATGCGGATAGTTTGATCATGCGAGCCGGATGCTAAATACTTTCCATCGGTAGAGAAGACCAGTGAGTAGACTGAACTCCTATGACCTTCGAGCACTTTGCAGAAGACCCCGGTTTCCGTATCCCAGATTCTGATTGTACTGTCAGACGAGCCAGAGCTGAGCAGTTTGCCATCTTGAGAAAATGCCAACGCGGAGACAGAGTTGCTATGGTAGTCTGAGGTTTGTTGTGTTGTATCGGTCTCTATGTCCCAGACACGGATAGTTTTGTCCTGCGAGCCTGACGCGAGTCTTTTCCCATCTGGAGAGAAACCAATGCATAAAGTGGAATTCCGATGCCCTTTGAGTGTCGCTACTGTTTCATCTGTTTCGCAATTCCATATGCGAACAAATGAATCTGTGGATCCAAAAGCCAATCTTTCCCCTCTCGGGGAGAAAGCCAAGCATAAAATCGGGCTTTTATGACCTTCAAGAGTTTGGAGCAACTGTGAGTTTTTTACATTCCAGACGCAGAGAGTGGTATCATGGGAGCTAGACGCAAGTCGTTGGTCATCCCACGAAAATGCCACCCAAGAGACAGAGCTTTGATGTCCGTCATACAGACTACACTGAGTTCCTGTCTCGACGTCCCAAATTCCTATCTTACCATTGTGCATGCCCGCCGCTAATCTGGCTCCGTCATAGGAGAAAGCAACAGATAGAACCCAAGAATCTGAGGCTTCGATCGTCCGGTAGATGGCCCCTGTTCTGGGCTTATATATGAGGACATTCCCATCATGTGAGCCTGATGCCAACCAGCTTCCGTCAGGCGAGAAAGCTACCGAAGAGACCAAGTCTTTATGATCCATCAGAATTTGCTGCAGTGCTCCAGTTCCAGCCTCCCAAATTCGTACAGATTTGTCATGGGATCCCGTTGCCAGTTGCGCGCCGTCATGCGAGAAAGCGACTGATGATATCCAATCTCGATGCCCCTGTAACGTTTGCTGCAGGGTGCCAGTCTCTGCGACCCATATGCGTACGGTTTTGTCGTGTGATCCCGAGGCCAGTCGTTTACCATCGTGTGAAAATGTGATAGAACAGACCGACCCTTTATGAGCCTCAAGCGTTTGTAGACAAGGACTCCAATGTTCCTCAACTGTCGGGGATGAAGTAATCCAGTTGGGCCTTTCCTTTTGAAACAAATTTTTGATTTTGCTTTGCATGGGACTAAACTCTATAGCCGCTGAATAAATCTGAAGGGGCGCGATCTCGATGATACCCTGATAGTAGAGAGTGAATCGATTTGCATCCTTCATCACAGACATGATTTCTGTGAGAATTTTAGGGGCTTGGCTCGAGTTTTCTTTGCTCTTGAGATAACGATTGAGGCGCGCGATGATAGCAGCACCGTCACCCACTTGGCGCAGTAAACTTAGCGCTTCAAGCCAATAGAGGAACTGATGTTTCATGAAATTCAGCATTGCGGCTAAATTTTTCCCATCGTCTTTGGAATCGCCCTTCAACATATGATCAAACCAGTTCAATGCAGCGTAAGCTGCAGGAATAAGGTCGTCATCTGTAGGATCGGGAGAGTATACTATCCGGGGTTCTGGTGTCTGATCAGAGCCAGGTATGGTGCTCTTGGACATTTTCGAAGCATAGCCTTGAGATGCTGATTGTATTTGGCCAATTTCAACCCCTGGATCGGGCAAATTCCAAATATTTTTTCGCAGCGAGGTGTTCAATATCTGGAGACATCGCCTAGCCAAGGAGGCATGAGCAGAAGCAAGACAATCACTGCTCTCGATAGCGCCCAAGCGTCCTTCCTTCAGCTGCTTTTCAAGCCATTGTTTCGCCGATTCGTGAATCATGTATACTGTCTTCTGCTTGTCATCATCTTCGGCGATCCTGAAAAAGCGACATAGCTTCAAAATCTTCAGAGGTGACACGTCTCGGGGAAAGTCAGCAAGGATTCGGATTTCAGCCAGCCTGAGCGGACGATTTGCGGTAGTTGCTATAGAAAGCGCCTTAATGCAGAAACCTGAGTTTCCATCCTTGTTTTGCTGAATTTGCAATTTCATCTTCTCATATATCTCTCCGAGTTTTCCTGAAGTCTCGTTGACCAGCCTTGGAAGTTCTCTGAGATCTGTTCTCTCATCCTCGATTCGCAAGAATATCAGAGCAACCCAAAGAAAGGTGCCATCGGCTTTGCGATGCATTTCCCTCGTCACATTCTGGAGCTTGGTGTGAATCATCTCTCGGTCCTCTTCTGTAACCTCGCCTTCGAACTCCCATTCTGCAAATAACCTTGTCTCCAGGTTGGACATTTTCTTGTCGATATAGGCTCTGATAGGACCTGCCAAAACTTTGCGATCCAGCTCTAGTTGAAGCGAGACCCATGATTTTGCCTCTGCTCTAGCGAATTTCATTTCGATGTCAAGCTCATCCCTGCTCGATATGAGGCACTTGACATTTGGGAAGTCCCGTGAAACTTGACAAATGAAATCAAGCAAATGTGCACGCCCGGGTATACCACCACTGCGGCTGGCATCAATACACTCATCGATTGCATCAATGATAATATAAACCTTTTTCATGATTGGATTCTTCAAGATTGCAAGCAGAATATTCTTGATATCAATAAAAGTGTTCAAGTCGTCGTCTAGACTCTGTCCAGCCAGGCGCATCGCATACTGCATAAGAGAGCGTTCTTGCCGGATAAACATCCAGATTAAGCCTCGTACCACAGCCGTTGCGGTATTTAGCTTGCCATTCGTGCCCTGGCAGAAGAAGTATGAAAGATACGGAGCATCGAAACGAGTTTCCTGCTGCGTTTGAAGCTCATCTTCTAATTTCTTGACCACACCTATTAGAAGCATCGTCTTCCCCATGCCCGCTTTTCCTTTAATCCAAAGCCTCCTACATCGATTTTGCTTTTCCCAGCTAGAAAATTTCACAAAAGCCTCATTGTTGAGAATCCAGTTCGAGGATTCCGGTATCAAATCATCTTTTCGATGCTGAAGAGACTGAATCTCCGTTTTCATGTTGATGACAAATATTTTCCTTAATACTTCATCCTCGGCACTCGAACGGTACAAGTCCACTAGAAGCTCAAGGTACGAAATCTTCCGCTCATCACTGTAGTCACGAATCGCATTGCGAAAATATGTCTCTTTCTCATTTGTCGTGCGAAACATCGTCTCCCATCCGTCTAACTTAAGCATGTCCTTGAATATCTGAGTTCTCCCTTTGTATGTTGCGCAAATGCATTTCAACAGACATCCGAGAATGTTTGTATAGAAATCAAGGATTCCTTCAGGCAGAGAACTGCGCAGGCTGACTAGCTTCTCGTGGCTGTCGTCGAGGATGATTTGTGATAAGCTGGAGTACCACTTCATCTTCAGCGCAATATCAGCGACCCCAGCATTACGAGCTCCTTGTTCGACGATTGTGTCTGATGCAAGCTAGAAATCTCATTGTCAGCAAGGCTGGAGACCGATATTTGTCTTGACAGTGAATTACCTGGAGTCCGATGCATACTCCAGTCCATGCCAAAGCGGCTATTGGCACGGGCTGCAGACTTGTACTAATCACCTCCTTCAGCGATAAAACAACATTAATCGCATCTGTCATTATTCTTTTCACTCCAGTTGGCTTCGGTATGTCTTTCAAGATTTTTTGTAGAATTCTCTCCATCTGCGTGCGCCTTATCTTCCAGTCATCTTGCTCAATTACATTCTCTTGGGCTCTTTTCGCTTCGGGGGAGGTCTCATAGTCCTGAGAAAGAATCTTTTCGTATGCTTCGACTATTGCCGGGTCCGATCTCTTAAGTTGATCATAAGCTTCATCCCACAACTTTATAGGATTTTCCAATGCCGGATCCCGCGAATTGTTGTGCTGGGTCGCATTTGAAGAGTCTCCAGCACGAGCTTCGGGGCGATAGAGAATCGCTGGCCCTGAATGTGATCGACTACCGATAGATGGCGCATCAGGCTTGGTTGTGGTAGGTGGATCTGGAAATTCATCAAGACTACTTCCGGGGATTATGAGGAGGGGTCTGTCTGTTTCTGCCGACCTGGGAGCAGCAGGTTCGTTTACAGTTGGATTTCCAACTTCATATGCAGGCGGTGGGCAATCTATAGAGTGTCGAGGGCTTCGTGTTGCAGGCTGTGTGATTTTGTTCCTCGAGTCTGCTGGACTTACATTTCGAATGTTAGATGGCGAACGAGCGTCGTCATGCTGCTCTCCTCTTGCTCCCGGTCGCAAAGAGTCCCTGCCGCGACGAAAGAGACCCGATAAAGAATTCCCTTTTCGACGCTTAGGTGCCATCATTACAATGAAATCCACCACGAAAATAATCGGAGAAATGCCTGAAGGCAATACGAAATTCTCGACAGATGAATATTAGTAGACCATTGCTTACGGGAACGCGGCTCGGGCCGATGTGCCCTACATAATTCAGTTGGACGGCGGCGTTTAGGTGGAACAGCGGGGTCTGTTAATTAACAAATTACTACGAATGGCCCCTGTAAGCCTTCATGCAGCTGAATCACAGGATAAATAGCGAAGCGATGTGACAGTCGGGTACCCCATCTCTCTCCACGCTATCTTTTCGTCCTTGGGTCTATTGAGGCTGAATAAAAGATAACAAATACAAGGAACGGGCGTAGCCACGTCACCCCTCCGCCACAAATGCAAGGTGTCCCATGACGCGGTATCAGGAGGAAATTCCGCTATTGGTGCCCCGAGGAAGTTCGAAACTCCTGTAGTGCGGACTCTAACACTTGTGCAGGGATGTGAGGCTCTTGATGAAGTATCACACAAAATCAAATTCCGTCACATTAGGCGCCCCGTAGCTTACCCCCCTACGTCCTTGGATCTATTGGTCTGGCTGAATAGAAGATAACAAATACAAGGAACGGACATAGCCACGTCACCCCTCCACCACAAATGCAAGGTGTCCCATGATGCGGTATCAGGAAGAAAATTTCGCTATTGGTGTCCCGAGGAAGCTCGAAACTCCTGTGGTGCGGACTCTAACACTTGTGCAGGGATGTGAGGCTCTTGATGAAGCATCACACAAAATCAAATCCCATCACGTTAGGCGCCCTGGAGCTTACCCCGTGCGTCCTTTTTCGTCTTTTTTCCTCTTGTAGTCCGTACATAGATAGTATTTCACTTCATCTCATTTTATCCAGAATCTATTATTTGATGGGTGCCAGTGTCCAGAGTCGCTTCGGTGTCCGTACACGCTCCTGTCCTGGTATCATACAGCCCGATAAAACTACATGTAAAACAGGGGAAACAAGAGCTCCCACCTAGGTATAATACGCTACATTTGATAATTAATGTGCCTGATCTTTCAGAAGGTGCAATTAAGTTCTGTCCAACATAAATCAATACGAGAAGCCCTAAAATACAAATTACTCCACGGCTGTATACGACGAGGCGAATTGCCACTTGTTCAAAATACAGGAACTGGCAGTCCTATTTGTCACTTTCGCTGCATTTCCTACGAGCTGAGTAGTACTATATTAAGCATAGTTTGGGTATCAATTCTTCATTTAATTGGTGCTTGAATACGAATCTCAACGCCGAACATACAAAGCTGTAAAAACGGGCCCATCGAGGCTAACTGCGTGGGAAACAATAATACCATTCCAACAGAAGTGGATCCTTACCACTCAGGGTGAGCGTAAACGAACCATGCTCTAGGGGCTATTTGTTTTACACAGGAATCAGGGGTCACCTTACGACGTGGGAGGTAATCATTGGCCAATTCTATGTGATAAGACACCTAGCAAGTGTCGTGAGCGCCTAGCGAAACATCACCCCGCTATCACACTATTTGAGCATGAGCTTTAAATTTCTGCTCGGGCGAGATTTTCTTCATCATTTCTGACTATTGAACCCGAGAAAGACTTGACTACAAAAATATAATCAAAGGTTCCATCCAATCGTCTCTTACTTGTCACGAACACAAGATGAATTCTGACGTGAACTACTTGCTATCACTCGGAGCCATCCGCGACAGGGCCCAAATTGTTTGGCAGGCTGCTGAAGCCGGAGAACTGACCCATTTCAATTTCCACGAGGACAAACTTAGCGACGTTGCAGATTTCGTAATTTCAGTCATTCAGGTTATTACCCACTTACTTTGTAGAGAGATAGATGCAGATACAGCAAGCTAATATTGCTTACAGCGAGACTTCGGGCCGGACAAATATGATACAATTCCACCCCATGGTCGCTGGCAGCACTTTGATGTGGGCAATGTGCCACGTGTGCAGAAACTGATTGACGAATGGAAGAGCAACGGTACCGAAAATTTGGAGATTACCCGCCGTCTCATCGACTTGTTTTTTGTTTCGGTGCTTCTGGATGCCGGTGCTGGTGATTATTGGCGCTTTGTTGAGGCAGAGGATGGCAAGAATTATGAGAGGAGTGAAGGCATTGCTCTTGCCAGCCTTCATATGTTCAAGTCTCTCGCCTTCACTGACTCGGTTCCAGGAAGTGCTCCCTCAGTCAATAGTATGCGCTCCATGAAAGTTCTGATCCCACGACTCTCTGCTAAATAATACAATCATTCAGGTAACGGCTTGAAAAATATGACGAATGAGAAGCTCATATCGGGTTTCCAAGTGTCGGACGAGAATCCAATGTTAGGAATGGATTCTCGCGCAACCCTACTAAGGAGTCTCGGGAAGTCTTTACATGAGCATCCTGCCGCCTTTGGTGACGAAGGCCGCCCTGGGAACCTCGTTGGTAAGAGGCCATTACCGAAATTCCAGTGGCACGATACCTGCTAACAGATACCAAGACTACATGATAAGGGCTGCTGAGGGCTCGTCAGAACTCGATGTCTTAACATTCTGGGAAGTCCTCCAGACTCTCTTAATTCCAGTCTGGCCCAAAGACCGTACTACTGTCGGCGGAATCCCTATCGGTGACGCTTGGCCTCTGAGCACGCTGCAAAAACGCATCGACCCTTCCAAACCGGCTGGCATCACGGCTGACATTCAGCCGTTCCATAAGCTAACCCAGTGGCTTACCTACTCATTGATGGTCCCTTTTCAAAGAATCCTAGGGATGAAATGGAAGAACTCGGAGGCCCTGACTGCTCTTGCAGAGTATCGCAATGGTGGCCTCTTCGTTGATCTCGGGGCTCTTTCTTTGAAGGAAGAACCTTTTCAGCGGGGTATCAAGGCATCTGGCCAAGAATTGCCTCTGTTCGATGCCAGTGACGACGTTATCGTGGAATGGCGAGCTCTGACTCTAAGCTTGCTGGACCGTGTATATGAAATTATTGCATCACGTTTGGGCCAAGGTGTTCATCTCACCATGGCTCAGGTACTCGAGGCTGGGACATGGAAATCCGGAAGAGAGATTGCTGCCAAGCGCCGGCCGACGACTAAGTCGAGTCCTATTCTCATCAAAAGTGATGGCACAGTGTTTTAAGATGATATGAATATTACACATTGCTTATCAGGCACTAGATGGGAAGATTGCCCACCATCTTAATGATCTTCTCTTCTCCAATCTTGTTGTATCTAGAATTTGAGTGTCTAACTACGAGTTTATGCTCTTTTAAGCTTCACAGATTGCTTCCGTTGACGACGTTCACTATGTATGGTGACTTAGGAAAACGTTGAACAGCGAGAATTACACAAATCAAGGAGCGATCATGTCGAGGCTGGATGGCCTCAGGCACTGATCCAGGCTGCCGGCACACCACCATATCCGTTTGTTCCCATAAGCTTTAGCACCTTCCATCTTCATCCATCTCATCTCTGATATCTGAATACTATTCATCTATCGATTCCCCTATCTCTCATTCCGCGTAGCCTCTACGGGTTAGCAGATCAGGCTGAGCCTCTACATAATGTAGGGATTAAAGAGATACATAGATAGCCCAAGGCGAAATCAAAGTCAGCTTTGCCGTTTATTTGGCCAATATTAGTGCATATATTCTCATAAAGAAAACAAAATGCCCAGGGACCGCTCCAGGCTCCAGGGTTGTTTCAGACAGACTGAGATAAGCCAATAATGCATGGATTCATGGATCATGGAATGGATGCTCTATCTAGGCTTGAATCTCACCCGCCTATCCCATTCCATGATTCTCCACCTTAGCACACTCACATTGCCCACTCCCGGTTGCGCGACCGTAAAGTGGCACACACCGCAGCAGTGAGCACCCATCCGACTATTGACTGCGTTCAAGCCACATATAGAACGCTGTTAATTCTCTAACAGCTTTGAGGGCTTAAAGTAGCGTGATTGCTTGACTTAGGGTGAGTGTACGTGATATAGGTGAGAATCTTCGCGAAGGGGGGTGATAGTGGGTGAGAATGGGTGAGTACAGTGAGAATACCCACTATGATACTTGCCCCCTCCCCCCTCTTCTCTCTCTGTAATAATAAATAACCCATGAGGCTGCTCCTCCGGCTCACCAACTCTACCCGGATACGCTGTCTTCTTCAACTCTATCAGCTTTGGCGATACTCAGGCTGAATTACAAGCTCATTACCACGAGGCTGTTATCGATGAGCTGGGGGTCGCCGCTAAGCCCCTTCGTATCTTCGGAATGTCGTTGAATCTCCTGTCTGTTTTCACTACCAACTGCCTAATTTTGACGGAGTGATTACATCTCTCAAGCTAAATTTGCTACTATGGCTCTTGATGACTACTATGTGGTCCACCAACAATTTATTTCATGTTCCCTTTCAGTTTCTAGTACTCAACACGAGGACGCGTTGTCGTTTTTTTCGGAAACCAGAAGATGACAACTGCCAGGATAGTTGAGGACAGTATGCAGCTAGATTCCAATGAACAATATATCCCCCTCTTACTAATTATCGACCCTAGTCAGGTCGAATCGAACAGTACCCTTGTCAAAGTGTCCTACCTCACTTGCTATTGGGACTTTCAGTAGAGGCATAATACTAACGGTTTGTCAGGACCTGCCGATGCCGATATCACTAAAGAAAGACCAATAGATTGTTGACTAGAAGAGAAAACTGCCAGAAGTCAATATAAATATGGATCAAGTGTATCCTTCCATGTCCCCCATTCAAATTTAGGGCCGATATCTGGCGGGGACTCAAATAGATTCTCTACATCCTCGTATAAGAAAGTATGTGTCTCCTTTTCAAACCAGATAACATCACTGTTACCACATATATCCTTCTCAGTACTAATAATAATATTAGGTTGGCTATTAGGCTACAGGGTCTTTTCCTATATTTGCTTACGTATCTCTTCTAAGAAGATATACTACAAATATCCACTATTAACGAATACCAGGAGACTTAGCTTAACGGAACCAACTATATCTAGTAATTTTAAAAGGTATAAGATAATATTGGTCTGGCTAATAATAAATCGTGATAACTTGAAGTGGCAAAGTTTATACTATTTCTTAAGAGAAAATATACTCTCTAGGAAAATAGGTACAGTACTAATTAGTAACTTATCGCCTTCAAAGTAACTATTCAGTCTAGTAGTATAGAAACTAAGCTCTTCTAGATTACCTACTTTACTTAGTACAACATAAAGTTTTCTGTTTCTAAAGGATTACTACTTAGGTTCAGACCTAGTTCTACTAAATATAAGAGGAAGATCAAGGTACTAGAATCCTAGGTACTTAAGAACCTTAACGAAATTTTTGTATTCCGGATAAAGATCTTTAAATATTCTATAATTAATTTCTGTAAACCACAGTCTAGTATTAAGACTTAGCTCTACTATATTATAATTATATTAGGTAAGTATATATATTGTAATACAGAATCTACAGTATTTTCCTCTTTATCTTTTATCAGTAGCTTACTAGGGGAAATATAAGTATATCTTTTAGCTCTTCTATAAGGGATATTAGCTATCTGAAGAGAATAGGATAGAAAAATATAGATAGAAAAACTTAAATTATTAAAGTTTAGTAAAATAGACTAAAGAGTAGGTTATAGGTATTTAGGGTTACTATAACTCTTCTTAGTATAGTAAACTTTTTAAGTCTATATATAAATATCTCTTTGTTATAGTTTCTAGTAAGAATATTATTTTATTTTTTAATTAATTAGTAATAATATTCCTAATACTCGCCTAATAAGGGCCTGTAATAGTAAATACTAAGGGATAGGCTAGAGACCTGTGACTAGGCAAGACTTCGGATAGTAATCAAATAGTAGGAGAATCAACTAATAATATATATAAATAGTAACAGAGACTAATTCTTGAAGAAACTTCAAGAATAAAGGAAACACTACGTAAAGTCATTCATCCCGACTATCACGTGAATCAGGCACGAATCGATATCGAATCGGGCACAAACCCCTAGCATAGCTAAGATAAGATCGGGTTGCCAAAGGGAATATAAAGAGAGTTAGTTGCTTCTTACCGAAGCTCGCCCTCTTTGACACGAGCCCCGTGACAATACTGTAGTAACTTAGGTTGATTAATCGCGAAGAACTAAATATATATGCGTAAAGAGTGTCCTATATATATTTAGTCCTTTCTTTCCTTGTAAGAGGAATCCGTTCCTACTATGAGGCCAGGTCCGTTCCATACGAACGGATGGGATGCTGTCGTGTGGTCACGTGATTGTTTTACTGTGTACTTGTGCTTTCGACGTAGTATAGGTGATGGTAGGAAGAACGCCTGCTTATGCGTCTTGGCCTGATTGTTCTCAACCCGTAGTTCTGGGGGTGCCTTGGGTACCCGTCTCGGTGCACGTGACTTTCGGAGCTAATGCATGCCCCTTCTTTTGGTTGGCTCTCGGTGGCCCATCAGTAAGTTGCGGCCCCTCGTCGCAAGGTCCGTAACAATATTCCTTTAGGGTCTTTTAGACTACCCATGTTTTTAGCGGTTTTCACCTTTACCTTCTTAGAATTTTACAATAGCTTACAAGGGTACACATAAGGGGAGAGTTTGCTGGGATCGAATAGGCAATGCTCTCCCTGGAATGGCCGTAGAAGGCTCATTCCAGTTCAAGACATACTACTATATAAGATTTTAGGAGCGAAAGGGTATATTATATTACTATCGGAGGGTTACAGGTTTATATATACTTCGGTCACTGGAGTACGGTGACCGAAATAGGCTTGTATGGCACTTCCAGGATCACAATAGTACGTGAGGCAGATCTATAAATTAATAGTGGTGTTTTTATTATTAGTTACTACAAACACTAGCTAGGTGATAGCCGCTACTGAGGCTACAAGCTTGAATTAACTAGCAAAGATTATAGTGATAGAGGTCCCTCTGTATTACTGTTCGTAGGTTTCTTAGAGATATTAAGTTGTTTCTTTATGTCCCACACTCTTCTATAAAGCTATCTAGCAGGTAGCAGACTACTTCAATAGTCCGAGAACGTGAAAATTGATCGTAGTGAGCAGACATACACTTCCAAGGAACAAATCAGTCTCTACACTTATCCAAAGTATATAGTCTGCTTGGGCAGCGTAGATAGATATAACTCTATCGGTAATTTCGATAATTGTAGTTACCGGGTGACTCTGGTGCGACGCCATTAAGGACAAGCCTGATAAAGCAAGCCTTAGCCGAACTTTTTTTGGACATCATTTACTATATAGGTGATTTGGGGGATTCCGTTGGACAGCCCCCGTTGGCCGTAGTAGCTATCCCCGCCAGGGACCAAAGCTTAGTCTGTCGTCGGCTCGGCTTATCTCCGCTGGATCCACAATTTAAGCACAGAGTCTCATACTAACCTAGGACGTCTCTACAAAGAAGGTTCCAAGTTCGCTCCCTTACTAATAAGAATTCGTATAGGCGCTACGAGCCAAAAAAAAAGTATCTATAATAGAGCCTGGAGCCTCGTAGAGGACTACAGTGACCGTCAAGCCTACTCATCGTTGTTTACTTCATTTTATGAATGAAAGAAACTAGGCCTGAAGTTTCAGGGCAGATGAAAGAGAATATCCGGAAAATATCTGGTAGTGGCGGAATTGGTGAACCTAGGACTACTCATCCCTGCGAAGCCCATAACTACAGCACAACTGCCGCGTGATGTACCAGCGGACCAGGCCCCATCGCGCAGCATCTAGTGATTTGATCCAATCGTGAGGTCATATCATTTAAGCTCTGTAATTACATGATTTGATTTTTGATTTTCTATAGGCGTAACCTGTCGTTTGGATCTATCTATTGCGGTCGAGGTCTAATGTAGGCTCTTACCAAAAAGCTCGTTCGTCAGAATACCGAAATTTCCAAGGTAAAAGAACAAGGCGCCGAGCAACCCACCACTCAAGACACAAGATCTTGGGGGGTATGTGCTGTATGTGCTGTATGTGTGCACCTTGATTACAGGAAGATATGACGTTGTGGAACCTGTAAAAGCTTTAAACTACCCTCGATCTGGCCTTGTCACTTTTCGCCGTGCCATTTCTCTAACCAACACCGATAATGACACTAACAACAAAAATCTGTGACATGCCATGGATGAAGCTGAACAAAAACGTCGCTCAACTCCAGTTGGTCTGGATGGGAATGGCTGGGTGAGACACTGCATCTACGACGTTCGTCGTGGAATCAACTGGGCCGTGGAAACGTCACCGCATATCCACACTGAAGTCCTACTCAGAGAAATTCAAGCAGCTTTTCAAGAACGAGATGAAGAAATTATCACGTATCTCGTGACCGAGGCCAATGCTCCTATGGAAGAGATCAACGCCTACAGGCTCTCCACTGTGCAATCGCTCCGTCTCTAGGAAGCAGTCCTTAAGTACAGATGGGATATCAATCAGCGGGGTATAGTACCTAGAGGTAGAAAGAATCTCCGATTACTAGACTTAGTCTGCTATAATAGAATCGACTGGCCAACAGTGGATGACGGCGAAAAAAGCACTGTAAAATGCCCACTCCTACTACAGTCTGCGGCTCAGAAGGAGTTTGTGCACCTCTGTAAATTCTTCTAAGAACTCAGGGCGCCCTGTAGACCTCGTAAGCCCCATATGGCCGTTCAGACAGCTAGCTGTCCACCCAAGACATATATGGGAATGGTTCGCTATCTTGTGGATGAACTCGGATATTATGTAAATCAGCTAGATGGGGATAAATATCTCCAGATCGGTGACACCATAGTAGTAGCCAGACCACCACCGTAGTAGGCTTTTGAATGCTCAACTAGGGGCGAAGAGGTTACTCAATCCTTGCTTAAACGCGGTATAGATCCGTAATTAAATGGTGATGCATCAAAGGAAGCAGAGAGAGGTGGGAAGGAAAGGGTCCTTTCAATACTGAAAGATTGGATAGAGGTGCATTCCAAAACTTCTCCTCCTGCTGCTATATAGTCAACTTTGAATAATTGGCGTTCTAACAAATTTGAATAAATCATTATCTTAGAAGGAGTTGACTGATATTTGAAAAAAAAAACATAGTAGGGGAGATCTGTTGAGAGAGATCCCATGTAGAGGCAGCGTCCGATAGCATTCGACGAAAGCAATAAGCCTAAGGAGATGTGCAGAAGAAGAGATGGAAGCTAGCTACCCATAGGTGGTGTCGGAGTCGGTGCGCTCCGGCCCAGGCATTAACACAATACACGGTCGCAGTTAATCTTCGATTCGAAGTCCGAATTATGTGTCCAATGACATAAAACACCTGCTCCGCTGAAGAGGACCAGTGCAGCGGTCTCGCGACAAAGGGTATTTCTCACCCGTTCTCACCCTGTAAACTGCACATCTACAATTGCCCGAGTCGCGCGACGCTATAACGACGCTGTATATTCATTATCCTTAATGCATCTGACATAGCCCCCTTCCCCGCTCTTTCAAGTACATACGACCATAGGGTGTGGAGAACAGGGCTTCCCGTCCGCTCAGCCGTACTTAAGCCACACGCCGGCAGGTTAGTAGTATGGTGGGTGACCACATGCGAATCCCTGCTGTTGTATGTTTTTGTTTCTTTCTTTTCTTCTTATCACTATTTTTTTTATCTGTTACTGTCAGCCGAGCTTACTGGATGCGAATTAGGATGAAAGTTTAAGAGTAAGCAGCTTGCATTAGTATAATTTCAGCGTCTCCACAATTTCGCTCGCCCACTCTATAAAGAATCGGGTAAACCTTGGAAAAGCCGGGATTGTTGGCATTCAGAGGTCTGGACTACCTAATGCTTTTTTGAACCAATTTTTTTTTTATCTCGGGTTCAGTCATTATTAGAAAACGATTTTGAAATGGCTAACTTCAGCTACAATTCCCCTGTCAACTGTGACGTGGAATTTGATGTCAAGAATATCGAAAACAAAACCGCAATTGTCACAGGTGGTATGTTACATTGGAAAAACTAATGGATATCGAAGATCAATCTTGGCTTACCCGAATAGGTGCAAATGGACTTGGAGAGGCATATGTCCGCGCACTCGTCACAGCAGGGTAAGAAACACTGAATCACGTTCGACCACCAGCCTACTCATTCAGATTCAGAGCGACCGTGGTAATCGCCGACCTTGACGTTGATGCAGGAAATAAACTCGAAAAAGAGTTGATTCAGTATGTCTACCCTGAACAAAGAACATTCGTCTCCACTAACCCTGTTAGTGTGAAATTCATCAAGTGCGACACAACCAGCTGGGATGACCAAGTCCATCTCTTCGCAGCTGCAGCCTCATTCTCCCCTACCGGCAGAATTTCCTTCGTCGTCGCAAATGCTGGTATCCACCGAAAAGATGAAGTTTTTGCCTATTCTGGCGACGACAAAGCGCCCCAAAAGCCAGATCTCACTACCATTGACGTCAACCTAATCGGCACGCTTTACACGTCGAAGCTCGCTTCACATTACTTCATTAAGCAAAATGGCCAAGAACATTCTGGGTCACAGGAGGATACTTGTTTGATCTTGATAGGATCAGGCGCAGCTTTCTTAGACTGTCCTCGCGCTCCTCAGTACTGCAGTACGAAATGGGCCATGAGAGGTATCATGCACTCACTTCGAAGAACTGCATTCTACTATGGGAGTCGTGTTAATGTTATCTCGCCATGGTACGATAATTCCCTTCGCTCCTGATGGTCTCTAAAATGGCACTGATGAATTCAGGTATGTTAAAACGAATATCCTCTCCGAAGAAGCTTTTGCGCACATCACAAGCGTGGGCGTCCAGTTTGCGGAATCTTCCGAGGCGGGTCAATGTCTCCTGAGAATTCTCAGTGATAAAAATATCAATGGTCGCTCGTTCTTTGTTTCTGGGAAGAAGTGGTCCACAAGTGGGTACCTCGATTTGGATATTGAGGATTACCAAGAGAATTCTCTGGTTGATAGTATCCAGCGAGATCAGGTCAAGTCTGCTCCTGTTGAGCTGGGGCTTTTTACTTAGTGTTACACCGGGGCAGTCTACCTTTCTACGCTTGTCGACAACTTTGAGAGAAGCAAGTTTGAAAGGACTCTAAATATACATATTAGGTAAAACGCTTGAAGATTTGAAGCTGCAATACTATTCAGACAACGAAAATTACTTTAAAATCCTGGTTCCGTAACTCCAAACCATGCTTGCTTGATTTTTGCTTGCTTGCTTGTTCTCATTTCGGCTTCCCAATTGCTGCCCGGCATCCAGAGACAAAACCGGCCTCGCAAAATGCAACAAGTCTTTCGTAGTTATCAGCTTCAGAAAGAGGAATTTCCGATGGGTGTCCTGCAGCAACAAATTTCAAATATGGCTGCAGATGACGCTTTTTTGGATCATGATCGGTAGGTGAAATCCATGTTGAGGTGTGTGGTGAGGGCTCAAGGTTCTCTGAGCGGTCGGCAATGTTTTGAGCCGATATAGGGACTGGGGTTGCGTTGGAAATACCGCCGAATAAGACGATCAGGATAAATAATTTCATGGCTTGCGATCAATGGTGTAGACGTAGGAGGTTAACCGCGAGGGTTCCGTCGCTGATGGTGTGATGAACAAGGAAATTTTGGAATTGCAGAAAATCGGTTGAATACATAGGTATGGTAGAATCTTTGGGCAGGAAAAATCGTAGGTATACTACTAGTATATACCATTTTTAGCTTGAACGGCATTTGTCGGATTTAAGACGAGACAAAAAGATAACTGAACGAGGTCACGAAATGGACCCATGGGTCTAATGTCATCAACTACTTGGCGATTTCTTGGCTCTTTAGCATGGCGCCAAGAATGCTCGATCACATCATCGGGCGCCTGTGTCTGAAATCAATCAAGAATAAAAATACAAATCAATGTGTGCCCAATTTTAAGATGTACCTTAAGCAAGGTAAATTCGCCCTTGAAGCCCTTGCTATTGAAATGCGCAAGTGGGTCTATCCTCCCGGTGCCAACGGGACGAATTTCGATATCATTAACAGTAATGAAAAGGGACTCGCTCAAAGAGGCGACCAGAATCTTGCTTCTTTTATGCCTGTGTCAAGACATCTTTCCAAACAAATGGTTTCTCTCCTCTAGACCTCCTCCAACGATTGGTGGAAATCAGTAACTCTGGCGAATCAAGGAGTAACCATTTCCATTTTCGCGCAAAGCCTTCTGTAACCTCCCAATTTTTTGCTTCCCACGAGTTTCCCCACACTAGTAATGTAGCAGCTGTATTTCTTGTGTCCCAAAACGCCATGAGATCATGACAAAGGTCATCGTCATCAAAAGAGTCTCCAGCCAGAATCATACAATCACGCATGCGAGGGAAGGGGAAAAAGTCTAACCAAGGATGATGAGGCACATGTAGCTGGATATAACTAGGGCGTAAACAAGGCGGAATCCCCTGGATTGAGAAGCCGGGCTGGGAAAGGTTGAATATTGATATCGAGTCGTCGTCTTGCATCCACCTAGGCGTCATGCCAATTGCAAAGATATTTTCGTTGATGGCTTTGTGCACGTTCAGCCGACTAAGACTGATAAGATGATCTCTGTTCGGTGCGCCGTTCATATAGCTCTCGAAGGCCTTCGCCTCAAACCATTTACGGAATTGGCGAGCATTCGGAGGCGCCAGAGCGCATTCCCAAATTTCACCAGTCTCCTCTTGGAACTCAAGTGAGACCATATGCGGATTGGACAAATTGGAGGGATTTGGGGAGGTGATGGCACCCTCCGATTTCGCCTCATCGGCTTGCTTCCTCCGCCCTAGCAAATAATGAGATACTGAATAAACCACGTTTTCGCCCGGGCGGATCGAGCGGATACTATACATACGGAAACGTCGCTGATTGAGACGATTTTGCAATTTCCTTCGTTCCTCCCGATTTATGACGCCAGTCCAATCGTCGCGGGCTTCCCGGACACTAGCCTGCTGTGGCATTCTTCTCAATGGAATGATCTGCGTTCCGGATGTGGGATCTGCCATGCTGTGGTTGGTATGATATGCAATATGCTGACAAGCTAAAGAGAAAGTGGCTCGTTAATAAAGCCGAGATGGGGCCGTGGAGTATCTTGCTGACGGCCTCTCCACCAGATTGCCAAGCTCAGAAATTCTGTCTGCCTGTTGGGTTGTGCTTGCTTTTGAGAAATGCCAAGTAGATCGCCACTTGCCAAGCTCGGAAAACACCTCTGATTGGTCAATGGCGAACTTTAGCTCACGGACCCATGTAAGCAAAAGTCCCCTGTTTGATTGGTCCATCGCACTATCCGTATCTACATGGCTCTCAAAAGTACCCGGTTGCCATCGAGCGAAGCCACGCCGAGAAAGATGAAGAAAAAATTTGACCAGAAAATATGCCAGGATTTGATTGATTCAACCCGGGCTCATTGGGTGAAGAGTTGCGTTAAACAAGGAAAATATAGACCAAGGGTTTCATAATTAGAAGCAACTAACTCCATCTGACGAGCATACGCGGAGCTATCTCATCTAACATGATTCAAGTTTAGTGATACTATAAAATTAAGTACAGAGAGAGCTTCTAGTAATACTGCAGTCTCAGTCTCCTTGTGGAATTGTTCCACTACGTCTCCATACTTTGCAGCATTCCACCTGATGGGTCCAACAAGCGGAAGAAATTCGAGAATAACTCAATCAAAAAAGGCCCACTTGAACTAACCACAAGTTTGGTTCACGCAAGATTTGTTTGAAAAAACTCAGTGAGTCGTTGAAACGGGATAAGACGGGTACGATCGTATAGATCGACGTGACCAGCACCCGGTACCCAGAGGAGCTCCTTCGGCTCAGCAGCACGTGAATAAGCGTCCTGGCTAAACTGGCGAGAGTGTGCCTGGTCGCCGGCAATGAACAGCATCGGGCGAGGTGATATTGTCTCGATACCATTAAATGGATAGAAATTGATGAATTTTGTGAAGGTCGAGAGCGTGGGATGAGTGGTGAGATCTAATGTCGATCCAACAGGCACAAACTCGCCACGCTTGGTACGGTAGTAGTCGTAAAACTCACGTTCGACTGCAGTGGCATTTGCTGTGAGATGATTTATGGTACCGCTGGTATACTGCGTTTCGCCACCATCACTCTCAGTCCAGCGTTGCTGTGAGGCTTCGTCGATTGTTTCCTTCAGCTGGTCGACACTTTGCGAATTTTGTAACCCCTGGCGGGCGAGAGTACCCATATCGTACATGCTTGCTGTAGCAATAGCCTTGATTCTCGAGTCCAGCTTTGCAGCGCTAATCACGAAGGAGCCACTACCACATATACCGAGTCCTCCTATCCGCTCGCGGTCAACGGACGTTATGTTCTGGATGCCCAGATAATCAACTGCGGCGCTGAATGCCTCTGCGTAGAGATCGGGCAATACGACATTGCGCGGCTCACCCATGCTCGCACCCCAAAATGGGAGATCGATAGAGACCGTAATGAATCCCTGCTCGGCAAGTCTGGTTGCGTAGAGGTTGGCACTCTGTTCTTTAACTGCACCCATAGGATGGCCGACGACGACGGCAGGTGCAGCGCCGTTGCTCTGGCCTTTAAGATAGAAGAGATTGCCTGCGACTGTTGTCCTGTATTGTGTTGGGAAACTGATCGGTTGGACTGTCACGTTGTTGCTGCGATAGAAATTTTTGGCCCCGTAAGTCATGTTTTGTGCAATGGCTGAAACTCCCATGCTGAGCGCGAGGATACACTGATTAATCGATTTCATGATTACCGTGGAGGTTTTTGATCGCGATTGCACAAGATAGGGCGAGTAGAGGCTTGGGGAGGGAGGGAAATGCTACTTCTTCCAAGACAGACAGTGAGTCTTATAATTGCCAGTGGCCAAGTAGGTAATTAGACCACGCAATGCTGTCATCCTGCCAAGATCTCAAAGTTATTCTTATACCGTATGTGAACTAATACCATCTGAGATCAAATCAGGTAGAAGCCAAATATTCAAGCCAAGACATTTGGATGACACTAGAAAAGGTTTATCTCCGTGGGTACCTACTGACTAGTAGGTATGTCATCAAAGTCTCTTTGTTGATTATCATAGACTCCACCACTGCTAATGCAACTTGCTTACCCTCTCAACTTGAAAGTTAAAGCCCAATCAGTCATTAACTTGATAGTACATCGACAGCGATCATCCCGTGGCTCGACAAGCCAATTTTCCACTCCTGCCCTGTGTATTGTCACAGCTTGAACACCCGCCCGGGCGTGGACCAACATACTAGTATGCTGCTCATCTAGACAATATAAACTTGAACACCAGAATAAGGATTTTCTAGACAAATTTCCGATCGAGGACAATGGATGAACTCAACTTGAAGTTTCAAGTTCTCTTTTGAATAGCTGGGTCTACGTTCTCACACAGCTTGCTACCACTGCCTACTGCAATAGCTCAGATATCTGAGAAAACACCATTAAGTTTAGAAGGCAACCTTGGGAAACAAGGCGGTTTGCATTCACGAAACCTCCATGGTAAAAAGTATCGCCAGAGTAAATAGAATATTTAGATACATTAAATTGGGGCGAGAAGAAAGGCTCTTCAATGAACCGTATGCATAATATGCTTCATCATGGCCTCGATCCATTGGGGTCAACGGAAGCAGGATCTTATTTTTGTAGATCAAAAGTGAGGGCTCTGAAGCATTGACAAGAAGTCTAATTGGCTCTGTAGAATATGTGGCTGAAGTAAATACGACATCGGACGGGAAACGCTGAATACATATCCTATAGCCATATTCGCTTATCTGCATGAAAGTAGTCGGCTGACAGCCACCACATTATAACCAGCCTATCGTAAGCGTTGTTCAATTCGTAATTGGCCATTTCTATCTATTCGCATATCCATTTGGCCGAAGTAATGCCTCATTACCCCGCATTCAAACCAGCTTAAATACCCCAAGAAGAGACAGGATTGGAGATAAATTATTTACTAGTAGTATCCAACTCCAGGGCCTGTTCCAACTATTCCCCCATCCTTATTTTACTACGATTTTATATAGCTTCTCTTAGCATCCCTCTACTGGTTGGCCATGAGTTCGACTGTTAGTTATTTCTCCCTTCCTGAACGGAATTGTGATCCACACAGGTAATTCGGGGCACTTCTCTCAATTCTAAATATGTTATAGAATCTCCCCAGCGGATCAGTTGAGTGGTACCACTCAATCTATAGCTATGATTCGGACTGTCCTGGATGCTATGGAGTAATAAAAGCCGACCAAAAGGCTTGGAACTGGAGCCAAACTCAAGGTCAACAAATCGCCAATGGTCGTGGGCCTTATTGCGTAGGCTGTGTGAGTGGTACCCCTGCTTCCCTTGAAATCTGTATTGAAAGTCATTCGCCTGCTAATTCCGAATATTTTATATAGTATAATAATACTAAGAGGGCCGGTGATACTGTTCGAGGCAGTGGGGCTTGATAATAAATAATACATAGCGTGAATCACGCTTTCTCCTTTACGGTGAAAGGTTCAGTGGAACATTTGATGAACGGCACGTCAGAATAAGACTGTCAGATAGCGCACTAGGCCACTATAGTTTCTATTGAACATTTGACCAATTCTTTAGGTAAGGTGAACTGTGATGCTAGATAGGAAGTAAGCTTGACCTGTACTGGGTCGACTGCCGTTCCTAAAAGGCTATGGAGGGCCGTAACAGTAGATTGACATCATCTGTTTCGGCCGCTCGAAGGAGAGTGCCCAGGTGGGGTACCGTCGGCCAGTGGTAGGGTGTTGTTGCATTTTTTGCTATCGCTCCCCATGCTAAACTCAATTCTCATGGAGATTCCAGGGGATCTTGTGGCAAAGAGGTAGTGTACTTTTAGAATTGAAGCAATTACCCCGCTCCTCTCACAATTTTCAACACTCAAGACATTGTTTTAGCTACCGGTAAAGTGGTTGGGCCGCATACAAATCCCTTTTGTTGTACAATTTTGGGTCTTTAGCACTTTAAATTTCTATTTTGGCATTGTTGTCAAGGTATAGACACACTTGCTGGGTTCACGTCGCGATAGCCCCCCCCTGAACAATCGATAATATAGAAGCCCTAATCGCTAAGCCCTAGTTTCCCCTTTTGGTAATTTGACGTGTCGTGCTGGACAAGTCTGGGAACCTCCTCCGTTTACTCTCCATCCCCTTTTCCAGAGTCTGCTCTGATTCCTGTGTACATCTCATCGCGAAAAATGCCGGGTCTGGAAGACATTCCCGCTGAGCTTCTCAGGCATGTTCTGTCCTTCTTCGTCCTGCCTGCGTCACCCCAATGGGAGATCTGGAATGAATTCCGCACTGGGCAGTTGAAAGCGGACCCTAATGAAGAAGATGAGGATGATTATGAAAGCCTTGACTCTCTATACAGTATGTGTCTAGTGTCGAAGAAGTTCCGCGATATTGCTCAACCTCTTCTACTTGCCAACTTCACCGATGATGGCGCTCTTGGCAGCATCGAGGAAACCGTCCGCTTTGCAAATTGCCTCTCTGGTAATTCAGATCTCGGTCAATTCGTTCAGGATATCACCATAGGGAGCCCGATTATGTTCGATCCTGAAATATCCGATGGAGATTTTGAAGTCTCCGAAGAACAAATTCAGCTTTTGACGACAGCAATCAAAGCTCTTGGTCTAGGCGCCGAGGAAGACAAATGGATTTCCGCTGTGAAGAACTGCGACAAATACAGAGACATCCCTGTCTACGCCGCTTTGATCCTCAATAAAACTCCCAACCTTCGTCACCTGGTTATGCCCGGCACCTTATCTTCCGTGAACCCTTTCCCAGAACTCTTCCGACGAAACCCTTCGTTTTTGCGCAGGCTTGAAAAGTTTGGGATGGAAGGCCAAAGGCCAGCCGAGGGCTATGACTACGCATCTTATGCCGATTTTTTTGCCCTGCCTAGCCTGAAAATTGTCATGTTTGAGAATGGCGATCTTCAGAGTAGGACATGTCCATCAACATGGGAGCCTAGGACCTTCAACATAGAGGAGCTCATTTTCCGCGATTCCATGATTGACGCCGTGTCCCTCGGTAGACTCACGGGTGCATGCAAGAACCTGAAGGTGTTCCTGCTTAACAACTTCGACGCTCACACCGAACCGATTGACCATCCCAACGGGGCATCGCTCTTCAACGCTGCCGATGCCCACAAAGCTCTCTTGCCGCATAAAGACACCCTTGAGCATTTGCGTATTGAATTTCCCAGGGGAGTGCGTGATTTGATGGATTGGCAGCGGTTCCTTTCCAGCCGTGCCAAGATTGGATCTCTGCGCGAATTTTCGGTGCTTAGCGACATTCATCTTCAACAAGCGATCGTTCCGGTCCACCCTCAATTCCCACCGACGCTCAAGAGGCTCTTCATTACGGACTGCAACTCTTCTGTCATCAATCTTGTCAAAAATATCGCGAAGGATTGCAGGAAAGGTTTGTACCCAGACTTGGTTGAGTTCAGGATGCTTTCTGTTGATATTACACAACCCGTCCAGCTACCTGGCCAGAGAATTCCAGAAAACAAAACGCCAGAGCAAGCTCATCAGTCTCTTGTGGATCTATTCAAAGATACCAAGGTAGAATTTTGCATAGCGCCATTTAATCAGCCTAGTATGGATGAGATGCTCATGGATGCCTACGGCGGTGACTATGACGATGATGAGGATTGGGACGATGACGGTGAATTCGATGAAAATATTCTCTATGATCACGATCCGGCCTCTGGACTTGAAATTGAAGATCCGATCAGGGATGCATTGAGGGATTCAATGAGGGCTGCGCGTTTGGGCGGAGCTGGACGAGGTGGGGGCGGAGCTGGAGGGGGCGGAGGTATAGGTGGGCCCAATGGCCCAATGCCTCCAGGGCTTCTTGAATATTTTATGCAACGTGCTATGCAGGATCCTGACTTCGCACACTTACATCGACCTTCGGGGGGAAACAGGTGAGCACCGTAGGAAGCTCGGAATGTACAGACCGATGACATTGAAAAATCTATGACAGCGAAGGAACGGATCAATAACGTATAACATCGTCTTGTAAAATAAAAACCAAATTATTTCAACTTGGGCTCCGATTAAGAATTCTCGATTCGTGTTTTACATGTACCTCTCATCATTTTCGGGGCATCTTAAATTGGAATATTCGTGAAAAAGAAACCTCGCTATTCATTCCAATATTTAGGTCCAGGACTGCAGATTAGTTCTTTCAAGTCCTACAAGTAGACAAGAATTTGAAGTTGGTGACGGTGCCACGTGGGTGCAAGTCACATCTGCTTTATATACGCTAGTTACCTATCACCAGTTAGGTATGGAGACAAATAAGATGTTGAGCGAGACCAGCGAAGTTAAATTACTAGTCAACTCAACTCAGATGGTTAAAGACATGCGACTCGTAACAATCTCCTATGTACTCATCAAGATGATAAATTGTTCAAGTTCTTTGTTATCAGATCCAGTCAAGAGACTTCCAGTAGTCCCGAATAGGCGCCGGTCCAAAGTTAATCTTCTCCGCAGCCGAAGCGATAACTTCAAGCTTGACATATTTGTCTCCTCTGAAAAATTAGGCCAACCTTCTGTCGTCCTGGGGCACAGGGAGCGTCGCATCGACATAGTCAGATCCGGCGGCAGTCAAGGCTGGCCACTCGACCGAAATCATTGCTGGACCATACACAATTCTGTGCGTATTCACGTTGATTTTGACATAGTTGGTGCCTCGGAAGATGTATGCTTCACCAGGCTTTTTGGGAACGGGCATTGCAGCATCAATTGTGTCATACCTGGTCGAGGCCAGGGCCTTAAGCTTTTCAGCAATGAGCCAAGGTCCACCGACCACGGTATCATCGTTTGACTCAGGGACAACTTTGCTTTGGGCAACTTTGCTCCCGTGGAAAACAAACAGCTCTTCTGCGCTGTTTTCGACGGGCAGGATGGCATCGACGGTGCCGAACTCAATGGAAACAAGAGATGGCCAGCGTTCAGAAATCTTGTCAGGGCCCTAGCTGATCATGTCATCATTTGTCACGGGCGAAAACTTGATGCGAGCGTAGCGACGGCCTCCGAAGAAGTACATCTACTTGAAGGTGGGGTGCCAATAAGCTGCGTCAACCATGTTGAAGATTTTTGAAGGAAAGAAGTATTTGTTTAATATCTCAATTTGAACCCCCCTTGGAATGCTGATGAGAATGGATCAATTACAGGCTGGGAAATATGGTGGGTTTTTATACCTGGCATTGAATGATATTGGATTCATGACCTCATGGGCTGCGTTACTGATATTGAGCTTTTGCAGATACCCTGAGGTCAATCGACAACGATTCGTATTCAATATCTCTTACGGTTGATGAAGTTTCAACCATGTGTAAAGCCATCGTTGGCCCAAACTCTTTGTGTAACAGCTTGACTGTGTTGTGTCACCCCAATACCTGCATGTTCTATGTGTAACATGCAAAAGCGCGATTTCAGCCAGCCAACTCCCAATTCTATGTACTCCTCATATTTCCCCAAGGTTACGGGTCGGCCCGAGATTACAATTTCTGGGCTTAATATAAGCGCTAGCTCCGAGAAATAAATGAAATATAGTTTAGCATTTGAGTGATCAGTCTGTGTTATCTAAGATGAAAGGATGGGGCAGAGACTGCATCTAATTTCCCCAAGCTGTCTGAAACACTCAGGTGATTGTCTTGCCCAATTACCGTACAGAATTTAAACTACTTAATTTATGCGGTCTAAGGTATGTGGGAGATAATTTGGCATAATGCACCATTCGTGCACCTGGGCAGGAAGAGTGCTGTGGTACTGGATTTTCCCAAAATCCGTACAAACATGTACACTAGCCTGCTAACCCTCCCGCGCCCAGTCCCATTTACCTTCTATACATGAGTGAGCTAGGCTTTTATTTTTCAAATAGCATGAGTCTAACTCTCTTCCCCTAGGCCTAAATTGCTATGTATGCACAACGGCTCATCGACGCAGCTTTGCGGAGCTTTATCATACCTGAAAGTCCCGCTAGGAGAGGAGATTGCGAAATCTCAGCTAGCCACTCAAATTCCAGTTTGTCCGGTCAATAATTCTCACAAACAACCCAGGTAGTAGTTTGAATTTTGTCTTGTTGCTTCGAGACTTGGGACAGTGACTACCGAAACGACATTTTAGCTTGACTTGTATTCTTAACCCCACATATCCAACTACTACCATCTCATTAACATCCCCAGGAAACATTTTTCACAGGTGAGGAATAATCATTGATATGTCGAAAAAAGCCATATTTCCCAATGTCTAATCCACTGTCAATGATAACTGGGTAGCAGGGTATCCTCCAATCTGAGCTAAAAGATCGCAGATCTCATAATCAAAACACAAAAATATCATGTCAGTACTAAGATGAAGGTATAAGAGGCAAAAATATGGTCCCAGAGGGGGTCGAACCCTCGACTTTCACGTTATTAGCATGACACTCTAACCAACTGAGTTATGGAACCTGGACGATGCAAATTTCGAGATTTGAGGCTCCACCAGGGCTCACCCCACTTTTTGACAAATTCACCACAAAAGAATCGTGATACCATCTATCACTTCTGCAGCCATGACACCTCATTTATATGCTATAGATTCTGAACAAATCGGCTAAAATGGAAATCAAAAAATTGAATGAAAGCGAGCATTACTGTATATATTCTAGATTTTCTAGTTAGTTTTACCGTAAATCGAGCATTAACTAGTATGGCCGATTGGGCACCAAATATCTTCTTTCAAGAAAGCATAGTTATAGAATATTGGAGCTTGATTAAGGCATACCAGAACTTTGAGATTGCTAAAGAGGTCGAATTAGGAAATTGGGATCATGTTACATATATCTCTGAGTGTTCTAGCGCTTAACAAGTGAAGTAGTATCTAGCCTAGAACCCTGACACCGGCACACTACCTGACAATAAGGAACAAAGTGTAGGGCTTTAGATACTGCCTTCAAATCTCCAATGGTGAATTCTGTATAGAGGCCAATGCAGCCCAGTTGCTGAATTGAAATGTCTATACAAGAACAAACAAGTTACACATGGTGACACTGCCCTATGGGCTGTTGTGCCATGGGTTTCGGGCGATTATTTGTGAGAGGCCGGCTCGCTTTATTAGTACCATCAAGCCAGATCCTGTAACAGTGACGCAGGTTGACCCCAAGCTGAGAACATGAGCAATACTGCCACGGGGAGATCCAACCTATAACTGACCTCGGGTCTTACTTTATCGACCACCGAGTACTATCAGTACTCAGGGCGAAGCCTCTCCTATATAAGAGGATGAACGGACGCAGTGGATTCTCGACAGGACTGAACCCTGGTCATGGCATCAGGTGGAACGGGATAATATTGAAATGCTATAGAGCGTGTTTCATGTCCGAAACCACAGAACAGGACCCCTTTGTTCTGCAAGGCAGGCATTAAGCCCGCGATTATTTGAAGGTTCTTTAAGAATCAGTTGTTGAGTCTCAATCGAAGCCGAGTGTCCTGGTCTAGTTCTTCACTGCCCAATCAGTTAACTACTAGCTGATATGTTAGGACCGTTACACGCGGGCGGTTGCGCTCCCAAGGGTAAGCTGCCTGCAAGTTGCGAGCCTCCTGAACGGCTGAGGCACATAGGCAAGGTTTCAAGAAAGTTTCAAGTGCATTTTTTAAGATATCTCACTTTAGTATCTAATTACGAGATTTGATTCCACCACACGAGAGCTGCTACTATATAAATCCTGATTTTTACATTTGTTGCCTTCAAGTTCAAGTTGATGTCCTGATCGGATGGCATCCACTTCTACACATTTGTCTATACCTGATTCCTGCTTCCTTAAACTCTTCCTCCTCTTCTGCAAACCCCAGCCAGACCGGAATACTGGCAGATATTATTCCATAACAGTGAAAAAAAAGCGATAGGTAAAAACAACACGGTACTGGTCAATTGAAGCAAAAACATGGTCCCAGAGGGGGTCGAACCCTCGACTTTCACGTTATTAGCATGACACTCTAACCAACTGAGTTATGGAACCGCTTGATTGATTCGAGCACGATTTATGGTTACATGATGGAAATACTATAGTAAGATCTAAAATTGAAAAAATTTTTCAATTAGACAGACTAAGGCAAAAATCTGGTCCCAGAGGGGGTCGAACCCTCGACTTTCACGTTATTAGCATGACACTCTAACCAACTGAGTTATGGAACCTCTTGATCGGTCGTACTGGAATTTGGGTCTTATCGAGCAGAAGCGTTCCAGGATATGTCCGGAACAAAATTGTGTGTAGCCATTGGTGCTGAATATCTTAGAACAAAGGAGAGGGGCTACGCGCGTAACCGTACCCGAGCATCCTTACATTCAGTACCCCAGCCCATCCATTATAGCTGGTAATTTGCAGTATCTTCTACATCATTGTTTCATCAGTAATTCAGTTGCCCAATCGTCTTGCCTAGTTCTAACTCAAATCAAGGCTAGTATCGTTAACACATTAATTTCTTTGCTTGACGCATGTCTTTAAGTCACTTCAATCCTTGCCTAGTAACATTCTCTTCGCAGGTATCTAGTACTAGTAGCAGCTATGGTGCTATAGACACTATCGACTCTGTGGATGTGCTAGCCAGTTATGCCGGTAGAAAAAGGGGACCGCCCGCATAACCATGTCCCAACATTGCTAGCATTCTCCACACAGATTGCGGCACGGCTGCTAGGCCCAAGTCTCTAATATAGCGGCTATACGCCGCCTTCACCGCAATCGCCTTCAGTATAACGCTCGTGCTTCCCCCTCTCCTGTCTCTGATTGGCACTACTTCTGCTGCTTGAATACCCAAGAAGCCAAGAGACTTAATGATATTAACCAGCCCAACTTTTTGGAGAGAGCACTGGTAATTTTGGGACGCTAATGTTTCGGCCTCCAGCCTGATGGCAGCCAGGCCAAGCCCCCCCTCCCAATACCCCTAACGGATCCACCGAATCGATTATATCTCGTACCAGTACTATGAAACACCGTAAGCAGCAAGGCGAAAATTTACGAGTAAATATGAGCTATCTCCGCATTGACAACGGATTTCGCTCCTAGGATTTTGGTGTACTACTGATTAGTAGCTAGAATCTCGTCAGATTCGATGGAGAAGAGAAGGCCTGAGGGATGCATAGCTAGAATGTGTGTCATGTGGTGATAGCTAGAAGTGAGATGTCTATCCTATTACTACTAGTGACTATACACAGACTAAGAAGTCCTGAGGCTTGAAGCATAGACCTGAGTAACCGCATTTAATCTGTGTATCTGGTTTGGCGCCGGGCTCCTGTCTTCGAGCGATTGACAATCCAACGGCGACGCAACGAACAAGTCTCATTGAAGGGTACATCCTCTAGTAGATCTACTAGCGTGTTCATGCGCATGGCAATTTTGCTTCCGCCAGAGCTCTGAAGCCATGTGTTGATTTTGTTTCCGAAGGCATCCAGGCCCTTGATTGATATCGCAAGTCGGCTCGATGGATCGTAATTCATCGCCTTGCGCGCAAAGCGATGACGAACAGCCATTTGGTAAAGATTGAACTGCACAATAAGCTTGCTTCCGGGTGGGATATTTAGCAATTGGGGCACACAGATGATGAATTTTCCACATGTAATAAATCCACGTTTGCGGCCTGGAGCACACTTCACCGTTGTTTCCTTGCCCTTGAGGTATTCCTTCATCCTGTCAATGGTGCTCTGTTCATTGGAGCTCCAAGCCTGCTGGAGCTGTCTCTTGTTATTCTCAAGCCAGTATTTGCGTAGTTCTGGGTCCGGGGAGTTTCGGAGATCATTGTAGGAGTCTCTGGCTTTCTGCGCCCATGATCGGATAGCTGCATCCTCTGAGTGTAGAAGTGCCTGGAAGCTTGGTCGATCGAAGACTTCTTTTCTTTCCGGCATGATTTCATCTTGGAACCTTTGCCATATAGGTGGTACAACATTGAGATGACGGCCGGCAAACGACCGTTTGATAGATGGAGATAAATATTTGTCGAGATCTCTTGCAGTGAGAGTCTGGAACAGACATGCCATCCACATTTCGAGGAGGTTCAGCAAACATTGATCAGCTCTAGGGAGAGTCTTTCCCTTGGTACCCGGGTCAAGTGTAGCAAGTACAACAAACTTCGAGCACATATCTTCTCTCGAATCCCAAATGTGATAATGGAGGCTAGGATGCTTCCTGCGGTAAATTTTGTTGTTGTGATCGGCTATCCTTCTTGCCAAGTCTGTTGCTTGGCCAACGTACAACCAGAAACGTTCGGGCTCTTCTGAAAGCCAGATAATATGCAAGTAGACTCCGCATGCAGTGCTTTCGGTGTCTCCTCCAATCGATTGTAGTCTAGGTAGCCAGGTTTAGGAGAAGCTAATATATTCCGTAGACGTGAATACACTTACTTTCCAACTGAAGATAACCCATCATCACTGACCTGTTTCACACCTGGCGTGAGAAAATATTCAAGCTTTGCACATATATCTACAGTAGAATGATACTGTAAAACATCTCTGTAACGTTCGGAATGAAGCTCTTCGACCTTTTGGATCAGATAGGTCAAAACCTGCCTTCGGTCCACCGATGTGAGATCTAGTGGAATTGGAAGAAACACTTCTGGCTTCGCATCAAATTCTCCGTCATTTTCTTCCAAGGCCACATACTTTTCTTGAGTTGAGTTTTCGGGCTGCAGGGATTTTTTGGGCTGCAGGAAGTGTTCGGGTTGTAGGCTAGAATCGATGGCCGCTGGATTTCCGGTGTCGCTCTCACTTTTATCTGTTCTAGAAATGGCCATTCCCGCTTGCCAGTGATTGCGTTGCTCCTCGAATTCCGCATCCCATCTTTTGATCCTGGCCTGCCGCTCTTCTTCCTTGACCTGCTTGGCTGTTTTGATAGCAGCGCTTCGGGTCAAGTTTGATGGTTGCCGCTCCATCCGGTTTAAGCAAAAGTAGAAGACCTCGACGATCTTCGTGTAGTGTCCTTCTTTAAACTCTTCAAGCTGTTCTGCAGTATCGGGATCAAGGTGGGGGTAGTAACGGTCGTCGAAGTCCTCGCTGAACTCTTCAAGCAGTCGATTCACAACATTTTGACGCGCTGTCTCTTCAAAAACTGTCTCCTCGTCTACAGCAGTTGGGAGTGCACTTGGGTCAATTTGAATGTCAAAGCTATCAACCAGGAAGTGAATAATATCCTTCAGAAGCGAAATGTAGCGACAGCCATACGGATCTCTCTGGCAATATGCTGTGTAAGCCTGGACGGCTTCATCACTGGGGGCTCCCATTGGGCCGGTGACAATCTTCAGGCATGAGCTTCCCAGTAGTGTAGTGTAGCGTGTGATATATTGGCATTGGAGAAGCCGTTGGAAATGTCGCGGGCAGTTTTGAGCTTTCTTGATGCCGATTTTGATGCTCTGCCCATCACTGTCGACAACTCGATACCGCAGTATTCACCTTGGTGTTTTTGGGAATCAGGGCATTGCCAACCTTGGAACATCGTCGCAAGGTGGTCATCAGCCCGCATAGTGGGATGGAACAGGGCGGATTAAGGTGAAGCAGCTTGAGCTTGAATCTAGGGAAGGAGCGGCCTTGGATGCCTCGGGCCATGGGTGCTAGGCATCCATCGTCAACAATTACTACCTACTACCTAGGTAGATACTCTACTACCTAGTAACTAGTTAGTACTTAGATACTAGTGTACCCAGGCTCGAACCTTGGAAATATCTACCACCTGGTACCTAGCTAAGACATCTGCGTACACAATGTATAGACAGCAATAGCCTTGGGGTGTAGTAGCATTGGCTAAAATATCAAGCATAGACAAGAGATTCGGAGGAGAGAGATAGAGCCTAGAGCCTCAAGGTAGACAAGAATTCCCAGGTAACCAGGCCCCAGGGTCCTTTGAAGCTGCCTGGCCAACCTACCAGTAGTACGCTTTATGATATAAGATAGGTATCTGATCGGAATGGGCCCTGGGGGACATGGATCCATAAATACTTCCAGTTCTTGGAACTCTAATATTAAGATCAGGACTTGTATATCTCAGCCTTGACCTTGGAACTGTATCATACATACCTAGCCTACTAGGTATAGTGAACGATCTAGGAAACACAGACCACAATTCAAGGTCACATGACATGAGAGGTTCCATAACTCAGTTGGTTAGAGTGTCATGCTAATAACGTGAAAGTCGAGGGTTCGACCCCCTCTGGGACCATAATTTTTACACTTTGGAGTAAATATTTTTGCATCATATTGAGGCTTTTGTGATTTGAATTATCATATCAAAAGATTTTGGGTGCATTATAGACAGGTTCCATAACTCAGTTGGTTAGAGTGTCATGCTAATAACGTGAAAGTCGAGGGTTCGACCCCCTCTGGGACCATGTTTTTGTCTATTTCAGATGTAAAAACATCTGAAATTGCCTATATAAAGGCAGGCAGTATTTTTGCCCGGCAGGTGGAGGAGGATGATTGCGCTTAAATGGTGGGAATGAATCAGGGTTCGTCGCACGATCAGTAACCCAAGGTTGGAAATAGCTTTTCCATCACGAACAATGATAGAATAGTAATAGTACTACTAGTATTGGCCGGGGCTGTATTGATAGACCTGAAAGACTACTTACTACCTAGGTAGTAAGTACTACTCGGTATCTTAGTATTTATTTATGCATACTATAGATACTACTTGCAGTATTATATAGTGTTGAATTTAAATTAATCTCGTGGGAATCCCAATCCATGGATTAGAATTCTGTTCCAAGGTCCAATCGACTTTGCTCACCAGCGAAGACTTTATTGGAGGTAGGTAGACCTTCATTCGAGTTTGATTTCATAGGCTTTCCTGAGCTACTATGGCAGATGTTCCAACTTGAAGGTTATTCATCCGGGCGATACATCGTACTCCCGCTAAAAAATTCAATAATTTCAAACCACTTTCTAAGGTTGCTTGTTGCTTTTATGTTCCTCGGAAACTCCACCAAAGCCACTGGCATCAAATTCAAAGAGAACTCAGTTATGACATATAGTTTATTTTCTCTAATACTAATCTGAGCTCGTGTGTTAGGCTAGTGACAATTCGGCTCTTGGAGAGAATTCCCAGAGAAAAAGATCTTAAATTTCGTACACTTCCTTACGCTCTATATTCGGGTCCTGCAAAAGCATTCGAAGTTCAAAGACTCTTCCTAATAAGTCATTTCATATCCTAGATTAAACCAAATCGTGGAAAGGACGTGGACAGTTCACTCAATGAGTATTACCAACTAATGCAACGGCTATCCACTTCCAGAAGCAAGCTAGGTATGATAGATTCTATCTCGAAACGTCCAGCTGGTCCTGATCTGCAAAATGGATCTGAAAGCTTCGCCAAGGATTTTTTTTTTTCAATTTTTTCCAGTGACAGTTTCAACAGTGAGATCCTCTGGCCACGCGGGATAATCTATGCCATTTCCACGAGTGCCAACTTGATACCTCAAATCCACTTCATTGCCAGGGAATTGAGCGATCGGTTTAACCAGGCAAAAATCGGCGCCGAGGAAGTTCGATTTCCTTGTTTCGAAAAATTCTGGATTAAAAAGCGATTCTTGATCGTGCTTATAAAGACTTTTTATCATGGCAGGGATTGAGTGCTGCATCGCATGGTAATGGCGGAAGGCCAAATTCTCATGTCTGGCCCACAACTCTTTCCATGTTTCGTTGTCGTAGGTTCCGCAGGAGCGAATGAGCCATTGGGAATAATAGTTGAGTGAGACCTTTTTAAATGAGAACGGTTATTAATCTCGTTGATCTTGAGACTTAGGCCGAGGAAGATATTGAGTAGGGATTTTCTTTTTCTTACATCAATGCCATAGCAGCCTCCATGTTCGCCACGGCGTACAAGGGCTTCCAGAATCGCCGTGCAGCCTGCGGCTCCGGTACTAAAAACGGTTGTAAGCTCCACCCCAGCTATATTCTGGCTTTTATAACGTACCAATAATCCGAATTTGGAAAAACGGGAGTCACGGCCTCATCATGACCCATTGCTTGTGCATAAGATCTCGAAACACCACAACACTATTGTTGTCAGCCTTTTTCAGTTCTTTCTATTTGAATCTTTCAAGTTTGAATATGCTTACGGCGTCACTTATCTGCTGCCAGCCACTTCGGTGAGACCATGGCCCATACCATCCATAACAATTTTCTCGCACGTGCAGGATACCGCGTCGGCGATCCTTAACCAAATCAAAGATAACTTGACGACTGAAGCCCAATTTCTCCATAACACCGGGACGATATCCATCAACCACGACATCAGCATCTCGAATTAGATCTCGTAGCTTTTCCCTATCTGCCTCATCCTTGAGGTGCAAGAACGAATTCCACTTGCCCCAGTTTAGATCTTGGTGAAGGGCAGAAAGGTCAGTCACATGCGGAGAAACGACACGCATGACACTCGCGCCCATTTCAGCAAGACTTCTTGTAATAGTAGGACCAGCGATAACTCGGGTAAGATCCACCACCTTTAGACCGGCAAGCGGCCGCTTAGGCGAAGAAGGATTAGAGACGTTTTCTGGCCACCAAGAAGCCTGCTGGGTCGAGCTTGGGTCTTTGATGATCTCGTAAAGCCCAATTTTACCCGAAGCTTTGCCATGTTCGCTCGCAAAATACTCATCCGATGACCAAGCTATGGTTCCAGAAGTTCTGGCTTTCTCATTCATGAGTTCGTCAAGATCCTCTGCGTTATACTCAGAGATCTTATTCTGGATTCTTTCGACCACAGAGTCATAAGTGTCATTTTCTTCGCCATTTAAGGGAAGATCTAAAGCTGCTAGGGCAGGTTCGGGATTCATATTTCCATGCATATGGTAGAACCGACCATCCTTTGTCTTATAGATATTGGTCACTAAGCTTCGATTGAGACTTGCGTGCGATTGGTGCTTGTCTTGGTTCGGGAACATTTTTTGCGTTTCCGATGAAAATGGATCCATAGGAACCGGATTGCCTTCCTTGATATAGCGTGCGATCAAGGGGGACATGAAAAAAAGACTCGCATGGTTCCTAGTACTGGTTGTCAAACTAGGAGGTGTGGTTACAATACACAGGTGAACTCACGTATTGATGACAACCTCGACAGGGTCAATTTTGTACTTCTGACCCAGAAGATGGTTGAGCATGGTGGCCTCAAAGGCCTTGATCGCCGATATACTCTCCGCGAATCTCCAGTTAATAGGGATAATTGGCTGAGATGAGCCCTCAAACCGCACATGTTTGCTAAGAGACACTAATTCCTTGGGCAGGGTGCTCATCAAAGGGTTTCGCAAGATGCCGTTTTCGAATACCTGTTTCGCCTCGGAAGGAACGGAATATTGATCGGTAGATCCCATGATGGACTCGCTCGCACACTAGGATTGGGGCGGTCGGGAGAAAAAGAAGCGAAGGGGTTGAAGCGACTCGGAGGAGGTGAAAAGGCTGAGGGGGTGAGGGGTAATCCAAAGATGAAGGATTTGAAGTTCCCACGGTGGGGGCCTGATGTTTTAAATCAACAGAGCCCGTCAGCAAAATCAATAGTACTCGGTAAATGTGAACCTTCTACGGCCGTTAGTACAGTGCTGCACCCATCTGGCAGGTGGGTACTCGTAAAAGTTCAACACGAGAGTGGATATATTCTGCGACTGGTATGTATTAGTACAGACTCGGAGCCAGTCATTCCAACCTTGGAAGGTTCACATTGATAATGAGCAAAAGTCTGCTTTTTGTTCACAGCTTCACAAAATTACCTCATACTTGATTGTTTCCTAGCATGAGAACATTTATTAATCTGTCCCTCGATGAATCGTCATTTTCAAGATTATAGCCTCGATGTGGGGAAGCAGGTGATAAGGCGGGGTGGATAAACCCTGCACAAAACATGCCACATTTATGCACATACATAGGCAAGTTGAGCTGTGTAAAAGAGTTTGAATCTATAGAGATCAAAACAAACATTACATTGCGTGGCTTTCTTTTTACATCTGCCACGGCCTTTTAGATAATCTCTTCGCATATTTTCTCCGGATTGCCAAATTATCCGCAAGAAACACCCGGGATATTAACCAAGCTATCCAAAGATTCCAGATTCTGAATGGCGAGACGCTACTAGGAGAGACGAACTGTTATATGATATTATATGCCTTCTAATGCTACCATATATAGAGTTTTTCAAATGAGCAGAGGTACTGGTCCCTATGACTTTTCAGAAGCTATCCTCTCGCTTGCCCAGTTCAATACGACACTTGTCTCTTCATCTTCAATAGAAACCAATGATTTCAATCTTTTGACAACTGTCTGTCCCGCTAATGTTTCCCACCACGAATCCTTCGAGCGGCCAATAAGTGCACCCCAACAGATGTATATCAACAAGGCAAGTGGCTCTTTTTCTTGAACTAGGCTCACAAAGGCCTCGCCAACCTCAACAACCCATGCAAGAGTCATCCCTTTATCTCTTTCAGAGCAATTTTCTAGCATTAAAATAGCTCTCGCATAAATTTCCCGGGACTGCAAGCTTGTATGATCGCATAGACTTCTCAGTTCAGGCGGGATAGCGCTACCTGTTGGAGGAGACGCGGTCCAATATTCCTTAGGATAAAGTTGAATCGCGGAATTTAAGGGACTTTTATCAAGCCAGGGCTGGGAACTTTCAATGACGGAGTGTATTCCCTTTACAAAGAAGAATATTGACGTAAGGCTTGTATGACCAGTCTCCGAATCCTTATTTGTTTCGCTGTCGTTGGTAGCATCGAAAAAGGGAGATACGGCTGCAAAAGCCATCATTATCATAGAGCATAGAAGAAGCGCTTCGCAGTTTGATGATGAGATTTGCACCAGCTTGGCCCGAAAAGCAGGCAGAGCTCTTTCTTGATACCTGAGCGCATCATCGAGGATCGATGCAGACCGTGGAACGAATTCGGTCCCTTCGGCTGCGATATGCAAGCATGTAAATGCAAGTAGTGAGTCCATCAGAAACTCGTGATTCATTGCCAGCTGTACAGTGTAGTTTTGAAAGATATCGCTCAACTCGGGAGAAAAGCTGCGATATGTTTTCAAGCACCAGTGATGCATTAAGCCCAGCTCTCTCATTCGCTTGGTGGAACTGTCTCCAGATGGCTTTCCCGGGGGTGTCGGATTTTCGTCCTGTGCTTGTCGAATTTCCTGAGCTTGGTCGCTCCAATGGGAATGTTGAAAACCAGTACCTGGATATTTGCAATCCAAGTTTCGAGGACTGCAGTTCATACAGGGAGGACCAGTCTCGTCACACTTCTTGCGTCGAGTCTTGCATTGCTGACAGCCAGCTCGAGACTTTGTATGAGACCTTCGTGGTGGCATCTTTCAAGGGATAGAACATGTTGGATTGAAAGAAGAAAAACACGAGACCGACTCGGAGCGAGCCGCAACTTTCTCATGAAATCGCAGGGGCGGTGAGCATACATACGGTATCTTGAAGAAATGAATATAATAAGTTCCAATAGTTGAATATCTATGGATTTTCCGTTTAATTACAAATATAGGGTATCCGTCTAACCCACTTCTCCTGGATAGCCTCTTCCATCACCCATTCCGCAACACTCGCTCGGCTAATCCACATGCCATCTTTTCCAGTGCCCAGGAAAGTTGCTTCAACAGGACGTTTCTCTCCGTTTGTCAAACCTCCGACTCGAAACAATGTCCATTTAATGTCATCCTCAGCTGGCAGTGACGTGACGTATTCCCCAACACTGATCATTTCCCCGTATTGGCCACGCGTAGAAGGGATCGCCTTCATTGTCCATTCTCCAAGTCGCCATTTAAACGACGCAACATCGGATGCGCCCTTATAGGAAGGGGTGCAGAGAATGAGGAGTCGTTTGATGCCCTGAGAAACTAGTTTTGGAACGAGGGCTCGATATCCATCTGTCAGGGGCTAAAACAATTCAGAAATCGTCAGTGTTTTCCTTCAAATAATGATGTTCTTGAAAAAGGGACTTCCATACCGTGTTCTTGCTTCCAACTGGTGGTCCAGCGAAGGATACAAATGTATCAGCCCCGCATCTTGAGACTTCGTCTAGAGTATCTTCGTCTTCCAGTATTCCTTCGATGATTGCCACCCTTTTGTTGTCGGCGACTCTGGCTGGTACCTTGTCCCGATTTCGGATAAAAAGGGTGAGAGTATGCCTTGCCTCGAGAGTAATATCACAAAAGATATTCCCGATCGCACCTTAAAAGATAGAACGGTAAGTTGGTCTGCTAAGTAACTATGATAAAGAGTATACAGACCCGTAGACCCCAAAACTAGAAAATGCATGGTTGGGAATATTGGAATTCTGTCGACTTTCTTTTTGGAGCTAGAATATTTGGAAATTTCAAAAAAATTCCAAGCGACTTCTCTCGAGTTAAATAAGTCATCTGCCTTGGTATAGATTTTGAGATTCCCAAGCAGGTCGTGATACCCTCTCTTAATTGGTGGTAAGAAGTGGCAACTCCTCTCGAGCGCCGGAAACTCCACACGAATACGCTGCTCCATCGCTAAAAAAGGAAAGTCATACGCATCCAATCACATTCATCTGCGGCCAAAACAACCACAAGGAAGCCATCGACGTACGGAGCGTTGCAAATTGTAAGGAGCACGTGGACCATGTCCGTTATAAGCATTTCTAAGTTCTTGTGTACGTGATTAATTTGCAAAGCTACTAGTTAGTAGAATATCAGGTTGAGATCTTCATTCTATTTCCAGGCGATATAAACAATACTAAAGTTCAGCTTCAACATCTGAATTGAAACCTATGTACAAATTTTACAATCCATATCCGCCATTCAAAAAGGACTCTGTCGGCAGGAGGGAAATTATCGCCGAGACGAGCCGTAAAAGACAATTGTAGCCAGCGTTATCTGCGCCACCATACATGAAAGAGACTGTCTCTCCGCGGTGCATAACCGCGTTTTTTTATCATTCTTGAGACCCCCAGCCCAAGCGACCGAAACATAATCATGAAGCCCGAGCCTTATGCAGAGCCGCGGGCAGAAAGGGAAGAAAAAGAGTAAGAAAAAAATACTGAGTCAAGAGAAGAAGAGCGAATTTGAGACAGCCATGAATGAGAAAAGAGTTCATGCCGGACCTCGATCGTGAAGCAGGCCTGCTGGCTTCCAGTTCAAGTTGGAGATGCCATTGTCTAAGTCTCCGAGTGGTGGCGTTGAATGGCCCGAGTTCAGAGGCGGAAGCAGACGTGTCGATATCATATTCATGCAGGTACAGGATCCACGCATGCACGTCATTTCGGATTTAAAGGCAGGAGGTACGGCTAGTCGAAGCAATGAGAGGGGAGAGAAACACAGCGGTCGATATCTGTGGAGACTGGAAGGCGGGTTGAAAGTCGTCCTCTCGACGGAACGGGCGAAAAGGGGAGAAAAAAAGAAGTCGTGATTTTTGTTTATGGGGGGACAGGGCGAGTCAGAACTCATCGGCGCTTGAGCTCATTGGCGAGGCATTCGAGGGCCTGTAGATAATTAGCATTGTGAACATGTATAACCTGTAAATTAATACATACCGTCTCGGGGACTGCGCCCTGGTTGTAAAGGTACTTTCCAAGGCCGCGAACAAGCTCGAGCTGCTCGTCAACGGTCAGGCCGTTGATCGCGGTCTCGATGATATCACCAACGGAAACCTTGTAGACAGCGATGAAGCTGTGGTAGTACATGAAGGCAAAGAATCCCATGATGAACTGGCAATCCATACGATCGGTGATACCACCGTGGCCGGGGATCGACTCGCCAAAGTCCTTGATGTTGAAGGTGCGCTTCAGACCAGAGGCAAAAAATCCACCGAAGGGAGCGATGAGAGAGGCAAAAGTGGCGAATCCGAGGATGTGGAACTGCATAGGCTCAACGTAGAAAGTCTTGTCGATGCCGAACACTTCGAGAGAGAAGGCCTGGGGGACAAAAGCCGGGTTCAAGGTGCATTCCAAACCAGTCAAGACGTTCGATCCCAGGTCATTGACAGGGCAGATGAAGTACTTGTAGCGCATCAGAATGTTGGTCATGAAGTAACCGAAGATAATGGTGCAAATCCAAGCACCGAGGAAACCCTCAACAGTCTTCTTGGGGGACAGTTGAATCAGCTGGGTGCGTCCAAAAGTTATACCACAGACGTAGGCGAAGATATCATTGGTGATGACCAGGGAAGCGGGAAGGAAGAACCAAATCATGCCCTCGAAGATGTTGTTCATCACAAAGTGGGCCTGCACCACAATGAGGTATAGTGCCATATGGGTCCAAGCGAATTGGGTGAACTGGAATCGATAGTGACGCTTCTGCAGGGATCCAACGAAGAACACAAAGCCTAGATGGATTAGTACACATCAACATGTAATTTAGAAAAGGGGGACGTTTTACGCCCACGTACCCATAACATAGAGGAAGAAGCTAATGAAGCGATGGTGAGCGGCCAGAGGGAGCAGGACCTTGTCAACGAGCAGAATGTGCTTGAAGTAGTAGATCACACTCTCTCCGTAAAGGAAGTACATGGTCGTCGCGAGGAAGTACCAATTCAGGGTCTTGGTGAAGCGGAGATTCTTCTCCTTGCTGGGGACATTGGCGATGGCAATAACTTCCTTGAACGAGACGATTTGAATGGCGGTGACCAGAACAATGATGTAGATGTGACCGGAGAACATGGCGATAAAGAAACCCGCGATCATGACGAAAGTCCATATCGTGCGGGTAATGAAGGTCTGCTTCTTCTTCTCGTATTCGGATTGGGCGGGTTTCTGATTAAATTCATAAAAAACGCGGTTAGACATAGTTATCAAATATAACCCCAACTGTAGACAATCTCACATCCTCAGGAATCGTAGTTTGCTTGGAGGCGGCGCCATTCTTGCTAGGACTAGAGGGCTCCGAGGTTGCGTCGCTGACGTCGGAGGACACGCTCAAGCGGCGCTCGCCATTACGGTGCGGAAACCGGACATTGCGGCGGGACTTGGTCATGATTTATGACAGAAACGGGAAAAAGAGAGAGAGAAAAAGGGAAGAGGGGGGAAAGGGGGGGCGGGTGAGAAGTCGTTGAGAAAGAGGGAGAGAGTGGAGTTTAGTAATTCCAGCAGGAGCTCGAGGCTGTCGCTCATGTGAACCCGAAAGCGGTCAACTCCGCAACCACTGACAGTAACAGTAACCATCGACCACAACCACAACACATCTACCTACTCTCATTCAAAACAATACAACAGAGAAAGAAGTAAAAGCAAGAGGATGATCTTTCTGCTTTGATCCATCTCTCTCAATCGCATCTTTCCATTTCAAATACCGCAATTCCCCTACTTCAACTTCATTCATGGCGGGGGCATGGACGATGATGATTACTTCTCCGACGATTTCGACTCCCTGCCGCCTGGTACGCTGTACGAGCTAGAGCAAAATGCCTATCAGGCGACTCAAGCTCCAGCTACTCAAGCATCAGTCACTCAGCACCATGTTCAGCCGATCGAGCATGCTCATCTCAATGCCAAGGTCGCCACGCCTGCGCAGCAATCGACGACCCTAAGACCACCACCTCGACTGCATACCGGATTAACGAATGACTACCTTTCACTCGAAGTGGGTGAACCGGAGGCGGAGGTGCATAATGATTTCGAGAACCAGCCAGCCCTTCACCAGGGCTCCTATGTCTTGGTTGCGCAAAACGAATGGCCCGGGCCTAACAATGGTACGATGGGCGACGACGCGATGGAACTAGACAACTACGACCGGACGAACGCGTATCCAACAAATGCAAATTTGGAACAGGTAATACTGACACGGTGACTCTTGAATTTGACGTGCGCTCGCTAACTCCGTCTACAGCTAGAACAGGAAAAAGAACTGATCCGACGCGAACTAGCCGAAGCCCAGGCGCTTGCCGAAACAAAAGCTGGGGAGATCGCCATAATCCGCTCAAAACAAGCCAGCATAGTCCGGGATTATGATCGCCAACTGGCAGCTTTGCGCAAGGCCATGGCAGACGAGGTGGCCAAACACAAGGTCGAGGTCGAGGCGGCTCTATCGGAAGGGAGGAAACTGGCGACAGAGAACACTTTCCTACAGCATGATCTGGCTGAGGAGACATATCACCTACGGAACTTCAAAGTCAAACAGCAACGACTTGATGACAATGCCCAACCGGTCACTCCCAGGAAATCCCGGGTGCTTCCTTTTCGGGACGGATTCGACGACGATGAAATTGCGGTAGTCTCTCCTAGCAAGTCTGCTGCACGATCGAAACGAGCAACGCCAACTCATCCCGGAAAACGTAAGCGACGGGCAAGCCAAGATAGTCCTGCTCCATTGCAGCTGAGTCCCGCCGCGGAAATGATGATGGTTGACGCTCCGTCCGAGGACATCCCCGATGCTGATTCGGAGGACGAGCACAAGTCTTCCCGCCGAGACCCCCGCGACGAAAAGTATATGAAGAGATTGCTGAATCACCGCCTGATTGAAAGTCAAGAAACCGATATTGAAGCGATGGCACACTTTTATTTCCCATCAGAACCCAAAGGACCAATATCTAGGATTCTGCTAGATGATCTCGCCAGCCTTGGCACGGGCAGCTTTGCTGTGGACTACATACATGCGATCGGCCCACTTTGGCAACGTGCAATGAAAGAGAAATTCTATGACCCCATTCCTCGATTCATGGCCATTACCCGATTCGTTTTGACATTGGACGATGTCCGGCTCCAAGATCTCATACGACCACTGGTCAATGTCCTTCAATATGCCGTGGAAGTCAATGCCGCCAAGCGATTCGAATTCTCCCCCGCGCGCGCTCTTCGCCAATCCCCTCAAACACCACAATCTGATCTACAACCGTTAGTCGATTCGACAGAATGCTTGCGACTCCTCTTTCAAATTGCTTGTGGGTTATTACATGCCAAACGTGCTATGAATAAATTCTGGCGCCATATCCGCCACGACTTCATCCTGGTCATGCTTCACGGATCTCAACCTCTCAAAGACATATCACTTACCATGCACTTGCTGTCAACGAGTATTCGCCCCGACTCTTTCGGGCCCATCATGCCCTCGGAAGAAGAACAGGCCGCTGTGCAGAGATATATTGTCGACCGACTAACTCACATGCTTCACGAATCAGCCCAGCCAGACGAAGGCCTCGAGCCTTACTCTGTCTACGATATCTGTGCGATGCGACTAGAAGTTCTACTATGTTTAGAAGCACTCGCCTTCAACCCAGCTGCCCCGTCAAGAGACCACGGCAGTGCCATCCTGGCAGTCCATCAAAATGCACTAGCGCGCCTCTTCAGATCGATGCACGACGAACTGGATGCGCTTTACTCGTCCCCGCCAGAACAAGAACTCCGTGCCGCGCTGGTCAACGGTCTGATGCGGCTTATTTACGGCGTCATGCGTCGCCATGGCGAGTCAATAAATATGCAGGACAAGCTCTCATGCGTGGCCGGCAGTAAACAAAAACATCTCGTCGTGCTCACTCGGCTCGCCTTTTGTGATGGCGTCATTTTAGAGGCCGGTATTGAGGACGAGACTGTTGACATGGCGCACGAATTACTAGAAGAATGGACCAACCCGCAAGAAGCGGAGTCCCTTGCCGCGGCCTTTCCTAGTTCCCGGCGAGAGTGATCTGGGAGCTGTGACTATGAGGTACACAAAGGATTTTGGAATCAGAGTACAAGGCTGTTTGCAATCACGTTTTTCATATACTCCGCTGTCGTCTTTCTTTCCGATATATCCATCGCGATTTGTTGATCTATGATTGAATGCCATTCCTACCCTAATAAAATTCAAAGACCATGTACTACCTAGATATTATTTTACACGTCCGGTCATGGTGGTTGCGATGCCTGCCGAAGAGTCTAACACTCCTCAGCTGACCCAAGAGAGAGCCGAGGAGGTAAGTTGGTCGATGAGCCCTCAAAGATGGGTTTCAAGGACGGAAGCTAGTCCAGATTGGATATGGATAGTCCAACACAGATATTTGTGACACATGCAACTGTAATATTGTGGTAAATGATTTATTTAACTCTGGAAGTAAATTTTCAAGAACGTGAGGTTGATCAAGATGGGAAATCAACAGGAAGCTCTCAGCAAGGAGTACCGAGCGTACCAAAATGCAAATTTGTGTTTTCTCGACCCTTATATGGGCTCTTCGATGATTCAGGTTGATAGAGCGAGTGGCCATACCTATCTACTAGTAGTAAGTACTACTAGTACTAGTTATTACCTGTGAAATGGGTTGTTGTGTGCCAGCCCTGTACCTACTAGGTGGTAGTTAGTGGGATCCTCAACTTGAACAAGATGCCATGGAGGATGGCAGCTGCTGACAGGCGGGAAAGAGTGAACTTCAAGTTGAAACCCTGCCAGTGGAGGGAGGTGGCTTGAACTTGAACGATTCAGTTACCTTCTACCTAGTAGTACTACTACTAGTATTATAAATCATCATGGTTACTTTTTTCTTTTTTTTACAACAGTACGTTCTTGGATGCATAGATAGTGAGTGGTCTGGAGTACTTAAAAATGCCGAGCAAAAAGTCGGGCTTACTCTAGTGTGAGAGCTCAACACGAATAGAATATGAAAAATGAATAAACCGAGGAGATAGAGGAAGAGAGAAGATCTCATCGCAACTATCGTACATGAAGATGTGAGACAAGGTCAGGTGATCAGACACTACGTACGCTCACATAGACGCCTAATGGGGCGGAGTCCAGATCTTGGGGCCTGACAGCGGCATACGTGGCAAGACAGGCAAGAGTTTTGAGATATGGCTCTGATAGAACAGCTTTCACCGACATACGCTGATTATGGAGAACTTAATCTAAGTATAGTTTGTATTACAATTCTCTTCTCCACACTCGAGCCACTGGCCCAGAAGATGATGAAAAGAAATAGGATCCAACAAGTGGAAAGTGCCAAAGAATGCGCCTGTCAATGACCCGAAGGCCGTTGAACAGACTGTTCCGCCGCGCTGTGCAATGCAGGGACCAATCTGTGGTGGGCCGCCTTCATGAGCGCAGCCACCCAAACAAGGTAAGTATGAAGAAGAAAAAAAGGAGAGGAAGGGCGGCCGGCGAAGGTTGACTTTATACTCTGCCGTCACGGGGTGCGGGCGCTAGTGCTAAGCGAGAACAGCACGGACCAATCGATGTATCTAAAGCAAGGGATGACCAACGTAGTGTCTATCGACATGTGACCTACCTAGCCTCAACACAGCCTTTATCAAAGCACTCATAAATCTAGATACCAGGTCACATACCAGTATAACCCCAGGTCAAAAAAATAGCTCACGGACTTCAGAAGGCAAAAACATGGTCCCAGAGGGGGTCGAACCCTCGACTTTCACGTTATTAGCATGACACTCTAACCAACTGAGTTATGGAACCAGTTGTTGAAATAGGCGGATAATTATGGTTACGTGACAAGCGTAGTGGAGATCTTAAAACAAAAAAAATATTCTCAACTGGAGCAAGTCGAGGCAAAAAAGTGGTCCCAGAGGGGGTCGAACCCTCGACTTTCACGTTATTAGCATGACACTCTAACCAACTGAGTTATGGAACCGCTTAATTGAATTACACTGCAATTTCTGGCTTCATGCAGTGCAGAATCATGTCCGAATCCATACAATTACTTGTGTAGTTCCTAATGCTCCGTCACACAGGAAATATGATTCATAGTGCATTCGCCCCCAAAACGAGGAGTTGTCGGAATGCCTGCGTCAATTTCAGAGTTATTCAAATTTTGCTGTAACAGCAAGATACTGTAAAAATACAAAAATTACATATGGCTGCACTAATGCAAGCTAAGATGTCTAGATTTGTATGGGATGAGGGAGTACTAATTCCACCCATGAACCTAACAGTTTGACTTCATGTCGAGGAGATGGTCAGATTTTCATGTATCTGACATCCAGATACTCACCATGACCGCATACAACATGATTTTGTAATCCTCCTCATCTCAAATAATACACTTGTTGTCCCCTGGTTCTTCAAATATATAGGTGCTATAAACAATGCAAACTACTAGTATTACTAGTAATGAGGTATGCCCCTGCCATCTACTAGGTAAATAGAACAGCATTAATCCCCAAACCATGTTCACCAAGCCGTAGGATTGCCTAGGTATCTGACGTGACTTTAGAACAACAGCCAGTACTAGTATGATAGATGCAGAAATTCACTTAAGAAGATCTGAGTTCCATACTTCCTATTGTGCGGTCATGGAAAAAAAAACATGCTTCAGAATCGAAGGAACTTGAACTGCGGCATAAAACACATTGGCAGTCTTTTTTTTGTCTGGACTTACTTCATGACTCGAGTTCCACTTGATTTGTATGTCAATTCACCTTCGAATATCGTTTCGCACCTTGTACAATTAATGAACAATCATTCAAGCAATGCCCGACACTCTTATAATGAATATTATTTCCTTACATAACGACGGGACAGATTATTAAAAGATCAGTTTGTTTCTTCGATGTAAGGGGAAAACCCGGGAGGAAGCGTAGACGTTTAGACTTTGCAAGACACAAAATTGATGGGAGTTCGGCTGTAATGAACTTAATTAAAATCTGCCGTTTTTTATTATTAAATTTGTTGTGGCTTATAGACTATCCTCCACTGTGTTGTAGGCATTTGATTTCGTTCAGCCTGCTTTCGAAGGCAATTTCTTCCTGTATTATCCCGCACAGATGATTTGGGACACCCGAACATCCTTGTTCGTAGCTGATGTGTGATTCACGGAGCTATATTGAATCAAAATATGGCCCTGCATTCGATGAAGAGCCGTTCACTAGTGCCCTGACAGCTGCTGTCGAACACTTACACTGCCTGGGATTGGCCCATAACGACATCAACCCGGCGAATATTTTGCTCACTGAAGACCAAATGCCCGTTCTCGCAGACTTCAACTCGTGCCATCCCATTGGCGAGAAGCTAGAGCTTAGTCGGGGCACCGAAGGCTGTATAGATACAGAGGATTCCTGGGATACATCTGAGACTCACCATGACTTCTTTGCTATAGAGAAGATTCGAGAGTCGCTTAAGGAAGCCAGAGAAAACTGGCCAGAGGGTGATGCAGTGACAGATACTCAGAATGTTTAGATTTATGTCAAATTTGCTTAGGCCTACCGACTTATACTTATGTAGCCTCGAAGAAAAAAATGCCAATGAAAAAGGAAAAAGCAAAAACATGGTCCCAGAGGGGGTCGAACCCTCGACTTTCACGTTATTAGCATGACACTCTAACCAACTGAGTTATGGAACCTGGTAGATAAATGCATGGCTCAATATTGACATCATCAATTGCACAGCTATCAGGCTTGAAATATGTGGCCGCTCATCAGTCATCCACGTGACCTGCGGAAGTTTTGGAGGACCGGCTTCAAGACATGGCCAGACCAGACGACTCGCAATCGATCTCTCTCCCTCAAGGTCGCGTCCCTCACACTTGCCACAATGAGAAACAGGGCCAGCAACTCCCTATCTAAGGGTGTAAGTTCCAATTGATCACATTAATCTCCCCCACGTCTCGAAACCACTAACACCTGTCTATCCAGAAAATCCGTCAATCATGGAGCAAGTACAACCTGTATAACCTACAACGATTGCGAAGCCCGGCCACCGCAAACCGCACATTCTTCCAGCAAAAATGGTCTGCCAAGGCTCTGGGGCGTGCCTATCACGGTGAGCAGGTTCGCGAGGGTCAATGGAAGCGCATGTTCTCCAAGCGCATTCGCAGCGTCATCCCCATGGACACCGCCGATCTGGCCGCCGATGATGGATCCAAGAACTCTGCTGGCCGAGGCTCTGGTCTTCAAACACAGGGCGAGAAGGGCCGTCCCTCTAGAATTATCCCTTTTACCCAGATGGCTTTCGCCCCTCTCGAGCGTCGGTTGGATGTTGCTATCTTCCGATCCCTCTTTGCCAGCAGCACACGTCAAGCACGCCAGTTCGTCATCCACGGAGCAGTTACCGTCAATGGACAGAAGGTATGAAAGAATAGCTCGACCATCTCGATTCAATTGCTCGAATACTAACTTCACCCGCCTCCAGATGCGACACCCAAGCTATCTCCTCAACCCCGGTGACCTATTCCAAGTCGACCCCGATCGCGTGATGTTCGCCACAGGTGCCGCCAAGACAAAATTCGAGCGACGTGAAACCCGCCAGCTGAAGCAGAAGGATGAAGAGGACGCCGAGGGCGAATCCGAGGCCAAATCCGAGGACGCCGCCGAGACAAAGCCAGACGCCGAGAAGGAAGACGGCCGTGATACCCTCAAGGCACTGATGGCCCAAGCCAAGAACATTATGTCCACAGACAAGGAAATCCTCCCCGCCAAGCGCAAGCAGGAACTCCGCGGATTCCAAAAGGCCGTCCGGCGCGTTCTCTCTCGCTCCGGAACCAGCACCATCCTCACAGACAACCTGGAAGCCCAATTCTCCGAGCTCACCCTCATGCTGAACGCAAAGCGTGCCGAGAAGAAGCCCGCTAAGCAAACCAAGCAGGCGAAGACCGACGCCGAGGATTCCAACGCCGCTACTTCCGTCGAGTCCGAGGCTGCCAGCGATAAGCTCTCCGAAGCTTTCCAGGCCGCTGCCGAGGGCGCTGACGTCGACGCCTCCGAGCTGACCGATGAGGAGTTCGAGGTCCTCAAGCGTGCTCTTACCCAGATGCGTGATAACCCCATCGACAACTCCAAGCCCTACGCCACCCCCTGGCGCCCGCGTGACTTCATGTCCGCCTTCGCCTTCATCCCCCGCTACCTCGAAGTCAACCAGAACATCTGCGCCGCTGTGTACCTGCGTCACCCCGTTGCCCGGCCCGGCTCTGCCGAGGTTCCTACCCCCTTCGGCGAGAGCATCAGCACTCCGGCTTATGGCTGGTACTTGAAGAGACGGTGGTAAAGAAGATGTGATTGATTCTTCATATCTCCTTTCTTCTGGTTTCCCGTCTCGTCTCGTCTTGCCTTGTCTCTATTACCTTACCCTCTTCTACCCATTCCCACCCCACGAATGTATTACCGCCCTCCTCTATCTGCATACCTACTCCGATGCTCATAGATCTATCTCCCCATAGTTTTGATTTTTAGCTGGGAGAGACCCGTTCGGGTCCTTTGAGCATGGTGTTGGTGCTTATTGTCCTCTTGTTATTATTGGAGCTTCTATGCTCTCTGTGTACCACCATAGCCATGATTCGACTGTAAATGGATATAAATTTTCTGTTCACGTTAGATGACCTTTGTGAATCTGAGTACTCGTAATCGCAAAACAATCACTGTAAAGTAATTTGAAACCTAGGTACTAGTATGTTGTACCCCATAGAAATCATATACCTAGGTAGTCAGATGCCAGTAATATCTGGGCGCACATATCTGTAACTAGTAGATCTCCACATTGTGATGCTAACATCTCTATCCCAGAACCAGCTAGGAGATTGCGCTCCTCTGCGTTGATCAATATCAAATTCAGTACTATTGAGTGTTATTGAGTGCTTTTACTCGAATCCGGGAGTTTTATATTCATTGCAATCCAAGGGTTCAAACGCAACGGCAGCGAGTACATACTAGTACTATAGTAGTAGGTAGCTGGATTCAAAGTTTCAAGTTCATTTTAGTATCTTTTACCCTCCAAGACTGGTCAAAAGCCTGCCTAGAATTCTTAACACCTGGTAGTTGACTACTAGTATATTCTACTACTACTAGTAGTACGCGATTCATTTCTAAAGTTGCCCAGGTGGACAGCACTGCCTTGGATGGATTGCACTAGCGCAACGTTCTCCACAAGGATCCTAGGTACAGACCTCATGTCTGCCTGGAAATATCATTTTACATAGAAGCCATTGTACTTATACGGGCATTGTAAGTGTATCCAAGGGTCCGTACATTTTGTCGCATCTTACTAGTACATCATGCGTGTTTTGGAGGGGAAAAAAGAATGCCTCTTGAATGAAGAACACATGAATTTTCAGAAAGACTATAAGACCAAGAAAGAATTTATGTACCAACATTGCCAATCGACACCGCAGACGCATCATATGAAGGCAACGCTGCCGGATCTCGCTTTGACGAGATTATGAGAGGAATTAATAATTTAATCGAGCCGTTATTTCGAACATTCAGCCTGCATTTCAGGGTGTATATACGAGAGACCAGACAAGAATGAAAAGTCGGTACGAAATTCTCGCACGGGAGAGTCGTGGGTATCTGCAATGTAGTAATATACGCGCCTGTTGCAGACTGAGCCCAAGGAACCGATGAGATGGGGCGTATCAGCGGCGGAAACTGCTTGTCGTAGAAGTTTGTTGGCTGGCCGAGGAATTCCCGTTTCTCGATACGTTGATAGTCATCGTTTTTCTTTGTCGTGTAGAGGGTCGTTGCTATAATTTGACTTTCGAAAGAGTCCAGCTCCAGCTCTGGCGGTTGCGTTGACTGCTGGTTGTGTTGCTGGTAGATAAGGGAAAGTGGGATGGCCTGGCTTAGGAGGAGATTTGGATCTCGCAAGGGAAGCCAGATGCAGACGGGTCCTTGTACTGTTACGGATAGGCTTCCGACTGCTTCTTTCTGGCGCTTGGGGTAGATAAGTCTTTCTCCTTGCATGCGGTATTCGAATTGAGTGAGGCAGTCTGGATACAAGCCCAGGCTACTGTCGTCAAGTGCGGGTTTGATCCGGAGCTGTTGTCGTTTGGCGAATAGTGTTTCTTGTTTCCCAGAGAGTGCATTCGCGCGGTTTAATTGGAACTTGATGCTGTATAATATTTGGCATGCTGCTGGTGCAAAATCATCCCGCAGCTTACCACCGAGCCCGGAGATGGTTGCGTCTCCAAGGCTTGGGGGAAGTTGCAGATGTGCTGCTTTGACACGGGCCGAGGCGGACGTGTGGAGACAGGCAGCTGGAGGCAAAATATCTAAGACTTGGAATGAGAATTCAAAATTGTACTTTTTGTTCTTGTATAGTACCCGCGGGGTTGGAAGTGCAGATTCGGATTGCATGAGGTTCTGGAACTGATGGTGGGACTTGTTCGGCGTGGCGTGGCGTGTGTGCGTACTTTGCTCCCCTGTTGCGCGTTTAAGCCAAGCCCAGTGAATGACAAGTTTGAACTTGCGAGATTTCTTATACCCACCCTCAAAACTTATCTGAAGATTATCAAACTTCACATCGTGGGAGGAGACAACTGAAACCACTCCTTTGATTTGATCTCCGGTTGTATAGGATGAGATGTATGAGTTTGTGTTCGCGAAGGGACCATGTAAGCTAATTTCTGCGGAGATTGCATAGCTCAAGTCCATTGTTCAGTAAGAATCTGGATATTTGAAAGAAAAGAGATTCGAGGTGGCTTTTATGTCGACCTCACTTTTTTTTGGGGGGGAAGCACAATGCTTATAAAAGGTTCTTTTTCGCGTCGGGTGGAACTAGGCAGTAGACCAATGGTTGAAACAGTATTGTGATCTACCCCACTCAGATAGAGTAATGTTAATGTCGTGTACTCCGTACAAATGTGACCAGTGATTTAACTCCTAGAACCTGACATGCCTAATATCCTATATCAACATAGTTTCCGCGCGTAACAACACCACTGATATTCATAACCTTCCTCAAATTGTTGTACATCACAAATATATCACATATATTAATTCTCCCTACAAATAAATAAAGTAGGTAACAGAAAGTGCAAAACCATTCACCAAGGACCAAAGTGGAGACAAGCGGGCCCAACCAACCCTTAAAGTGCAATTCCGCGGGTGAAAATTACCGCCCGCTCAAAATTGCAAGACGCACTCCCGGATTTGCACTTCTCCTCCTTCTTTCCCCCCCGGATCGACAATCACCTTATCAGCCCGCTTCTCAAATTTGGCCGATATCAAGTCCAGCATTCGTTCTTTCTTGAGAAAATATTACTGTTCTTATTCTACAAATAGGCATAGCCTACTTGTTCCCTTCCGCCAGGAACCTCACCTCCTCCTCACTCACTCACCTCCCTGCCTATCAATATCCCTCCCATATACCCGCAACCCCAGATCAAACTAGATCCACCCCGTTAATGGTCCGCGAAAACGCACAGGGCTACGATAAGTCTCCCTTCAAGCTTCATCGCCGTCTCCCGAGCCTCTCTGGCGCCCTGGGGATCCGTCAAGCACGCATCACTTCGTATCATTCTACGACCAACGTCCACGCCGCGGCGAACTGGCCAATTTCCACACGCGCATACAAGACCTCCCTCCCCAACGAACAAAAAACTGGAGTCTCGAACGAGGGATAGGAACCGGTGATCCGGAGATATAACCACCCTACGAGCCGATGACTAGCATTTCCAGAAGCGAGACAGCCGGCGGGCCAGTCATGCGAAACAACATGAATACAATCCAAGCCCAACCCGTCTTGCGAGGAACCAAGCGCGCCGCAGCAGCCGACATGGACACCGAAGACGGGCCGCGCAAACACGGCAAGCGCCTCACAACCAAGGAGGAAGTCTCGCTATTCGAGATGTGCAATCGGCACGCGGGCACGTTCGGCAAACGCAGCGATATATGTAACTGGTGGAAGACGATAGCGGCGGAATTCACATTCGCGCATGGCCGGCCTTACTCGTGGCATTCTGTGCGGCGAAAGGTTGAAATCGTCACGAAGCAGCGAATCAAGTTCCTAGACGAGCAGCAGCAGCGGCAGCGGGACTTTTCGGGCCCGAATCTCGTGGAGGATCTGATGAATCCGCAGTGGTGTGCTGTGCTCGATGCTTGGATTCCGAATTGGCAGCGGTGGGAGGAGGCCGAGGCGAGGCGCATTGCGAAGCGTGATGAGATGATTGTGCGCAGGAGGTCTTCTAAGCCTGGGGATGCGTCGTGGAGCCCTCCCACCGATCCTCCGCAAGGGATGGCCGTGGGGAGAGTGGGTGTTCCTTCACCGGTTAGTCCTGATGCAATGGATGTCGGTGTGAGTACACGCCATTCTTTCCATGATGAAAGTACTAGTACCACCCATATCCCGGGTGATGCGCTTCAAATCTCGGATTCTACCCCCACGCCTGCTCCTGTCGTTCCGGCCCATCCTTTCGAAACCCCCTCAGCACCGCCTACAAATGCCGTTAGGCTACCGCCGGGGTTTGAAAATATGTTCTCAAATCCCATTCCAGTAAGCCAGGTCACACCTCCTGTGCCTGTAGCACCTAGCACGACACCGGCAGACCCGTCTCCAAACAATCGCATGTTCGGCGCCGTGCTGGAAACACTTGGCAAGCTTAACAAGCATCTCGACGCCGCTTCTGGCAATGGTAGTGCCGACGTTCGAGCCTCGCCTGTAATATCGGCACTGGTTCAAGCTGCCTCTGAGTCGAATTCGCAGGCCGCCTCTGTTCAGAGTTCTGAGCGAGAGATACAGCAGTATCCCGGGCCATATGATATCAATCGGATCAAGGATGAGCTGCGGAATGAGCTTAGAGCCGAGCTTCGGCACGAGATGAAGCGTGACCGGGCGGCGTTGGAAGAGAAACTAGACTCTGTCCAGCGGACGCAAGAGATGATTCTCGAGATGTTGCGGCAGGAGCCCGCTTGAGAAGAGCCTTTTAAGCCTGCTACACCACATCTAGTCTCCTATTTCCTAGATTTGATACTCGCTGTACGGAGTTTTCGGGTGGTGATGATGTTTTGTTTCTTCTTTTACCTTGCTACGATACCCATCATGCGCTCAGCGTCTTGTTTATATATTACCAGATCTACTATTCAACGAGTATATACTATAGTACCTTCTAGTTTATTTTGAAACACGAACCTAGTCAGAATAAGTCTACCTAGGTAGGTATTTGGCTCTTTCCTGCTATTTCCTCTCTTTCCGACACCTACCTAGGTAGGTAGTAAGGGACTATTCTGTTTCCAAGCTTCCAACCTCAATCTCATGAGGTCGACGTGCGTGCGCGAATACAACCCACCTGGGCACTGGCAAGACTCGAAGCGGCACTTCGATACAAACAAGCATTCTTAAACCTCTAAATCCGATACTAGTAGTACTAGGAAACTCTGGACAAGATGTGTGGATCTCTAGATCGGGTTTCCAAAAACTGGATAGGAGGCAAGTGCCCAAAGCTACTAGTATATCTCAAAGAAGAATTCATGGAACCAATGCCAATGATGATTTCTACTCTAGAACAAGAAACCAGGACGAACGAAGAAAAAGTAGTCATCGGCTAAATTACAGATAAGGGGTAGATAGAAACAGGGATGCACTGCGGGAATCTTTCCACGGAGAGAAGAAAGACAAACTCCAGAGCCCCGTGGAGGTTTGGTTAAAACGACAAAGATTTTCAATAGGACCAGGATTCAGGTCCGCACCGTCGGGGGTTATAGGATACTTCGACTTCGAACTTCCATCTAGTAGTAGAAGGTCTCGTCAACGGTACGGCCACGCATCCACTTGGGCTCGGAGCCGCGGACGTAGATGTCCTCGAACAGGTTGCGGGCGGTGTTCTCGGGGACGACCATCTTCTCGGCCTCGGCGACCTCGGCGTCGACGTAGGCGCGGGCCTCCTTGTCGATGGCCTTGAGGTCCTCCTCGGAGGTGACGCCCCACTCGAGCATCTTCTGCTTGAGACCGGCAATGGGGTCGTTGGTGCTGCGCATGCGCTGGATCTCCTCACGGCTACGGTAGGTGGTACCGGGGTCGGACATGGAGTGACCACCGTAACGGTAGGTCACGTACTCGAAGACGAGGGGACCGTTGCCGGAGATGGCGTAGTTCTTTCCGTACTGGACGGCGGCCTTGGTGGCGAGGACGTCCATGCCGTTGACCTTGATACCGGGGATGTACTGACCACGCTTGTAGTACTCGGTCAGGGCGGAGGAGCGGGCGGCGGAGGTACCCATACCATACTTGTTGTCTATAGAGCGCGTATATTAGAATTTTGATCCGGGTTGCAGGGGTGGGAGGCTCTAATCGAAATTAAAGGGTGGAAACTTACTCTCACAGCCGAACAGGACGGGGAGGTTCCACAGCTTAGCCATGTTGAAAGCCTCGAACACTTGACCCTGGTTAGAGGCACCATCACCGTACAGGACGATGGAGGTGTTGGGCTGCTCGTTGTACTGCTGGGCGAAAGCCAGACCAGCACCGACGGGAACCTGGGCACCGACGATACCGTTACCACCGTAGAAGTTCTCGGCGAACATGTGCATGGAACCACCCTTGCCGTATGCGATACCCTCGCGGCGGCCCAGGAGCTCACCAATGATGGACTTGACGGTACCACCGCGCATCAAGGCGAAACCGTGGCAACGGTAGGCGGTAATGATCTTGTCCATGTTGTTGATAGCGTGCTCGATACCAACAGCGACGGCCTCCTGACCGGTCGACAGATGGCAGAAACCGCGAATCTTCTTCTCCTTGTACAGGCGATCGGCGGCCATCTCCATGCGACTATATCAAAGGGAAAAGGGCAAACGGTTAGAGCGAGCTTCTCGCAAGGAGGTAGGAGGTGAAATCGTGCGCATACCGGATCGAAACCATGTCGTGGTACATCTGCTTAAGCTCCTTCTTGGTGGTCTCCAGGGTGTATGGGGGCGGGTCGAGCTGGTAGGTCTCGAAGCTCTCGTCGGAGAGGCGGACAGTGAAGGGCTTGTCATCCTCCTGTATAGCGCAATTGCCAGTATCAGCATTGAGTCTGCGAGGCCTTGTATGGCAATTTCCTATTCTCCGGATGAGGTCTCAACAAACCTTAGGGATGTTCTCGGCGTGCGCGGAGGCGGCGTCGGTGGTGACAGAGCGACGGGTGATAGGGGCGAAAGCCTGGCGACGCAGGGGCGCGGCCTGACGGGCCACAGTACGGAAGAGCATGGTGAACAACGATTCCCAATTGACGATGGGAGAAGGATGAGGTTGATAGCGACACTTTTCCGTGAGATGTTGGGAACAAACTTTCCCGATTTCATTACATAATCTTTCCCATTCGGGGGCCGCCGGTGTGGCTGCTGCAAACAAAGCAAACCCGGAGCTGGCCTACGCCGGACTGAATACCTTGGGGAAGTTCAACAGTGTTATGAAGGTATCATTGAAGCATTTATGAAAGGGATATAATGGTGATCAAAATCATTCATCATGGTACACACTACTTGCAAGACCATTTGGTGTGGCTGTCTTCATTCCCTTCTATGATCTCCGCCCTTCTCCGGTCAAACCCTGTTTTTCCCGGCTTGTCCCAACAGGAATGCCAATGCAGAAGGCGTGAGCTCCCCAGGGGCGTAGGAATAATCCGGGCTAGCAGTGATGGAGCAATTTAAAGTGTCTTTGTCCGGAGGTGGTGTGGGATCTAAGCTCCGGTAACTCTCCGATTCCTCCGGAGCAATGCCCGACTTGCCAGTTGGCGGCCCCGAGTAGTCGATCAATCTCAACAGATATCTCCACAACAGAGTGATGCGGGAGTGACAACAGAGCTACTACTAGTCTTGCTTACCTATGTATTACTACATCTCAGCCACAAGCAGAACCACGCACAAGCTCCAGTCGGATCGCACCCACCACAAGGCCAGCGCCTCATTCACCATCAGCGGGGCCGTCACCCCTCTCAACAACCTTGATCACACGTCTAATGCCCAGGTGCTCCTCTGGGGGCCAGTGCACCATCAAAGTACACTGTGTCACCCTACGCTGGTAGTTACGCGACACATCTGGTGGGATAAGGCTAGCATGTCCATTGTTAAGAAACAGCCAATGCACCTTTCGTACGTGATGAGATGTAAGTTGCGACCTATCTATCTTCCAAGGTTGTATCTAGGTATTGAATAATGGATATATCGGATTCTCGAGTCTGTCCTCCATCCCAACCCTTGGAAGCCAGTACGGATACAGAGAGTTGAATGGTGATTCTCGGAGGACCAGCAGAACCTTGTATACTTCTATCTGCAGGCGACGAGTCAGGTGTTCTCCACCCGTACACTATGACACTTGATACATCGATTCTCACTTCTTCGTTCCAACGTCTTTTTGAATCTAGGTCTCGTCACTCAGCATGTCTAGGTGAGCGATGCGCGAAAAAAAATGACATGTCATTGACCGTGCACCCCTCCATAACGCCTGGTCCATGCGGTTGATCATCAGCCGCTGCAAATCAGTACCTACATACGGAGTAGTATGTAGTCCAACAGGTCAAGTTCAGTCCACCTTTCAGGCGGTGCAAAAATACAGATATACAGATATACCCATGATCGTGTAATAAGAAGAAAAAGAAACTTGAATCCATCTTGTAAAACAGACCCATATAAAAACCGATAGAGACAGCAAACGATTTGATCGTATCGCAACCTGAAACCTCTAATCCACAGGATTCAAATAAAAAAAACGGGTTCTAGGGCTATTTTTTTTAATAAAGAGAAAAGGCTGGCTGAACTGGGCCTAGACACACTATTCCGAGTCACTGTTAGCCCGGTATTAGGAACCAAACAGCTGGAATCGCCTCCCATGGACCAGGATTCACCGGTCTTCCAATTGATGAATGGTCGTCAGCACCGCGTTCGCCGAAGACGAGGATGGTTGTTTCAGGGTCCGGGTAGGGGGTTTCATACGGACCCAGTCTGATCGAAATCTGATCCTGATCTCGATCTAAGCCGGGCTCCAGCGTTTGAAGATAATGAGCTCTAAAAACAGTTCTCTCCGTCGTCGTCATAAGAGTCCCGCATGCCGCATGCCGCTTTGATAAAACATTGCGCACCAGTGCCAGTGCCTGCATAGATAGCGCACTCCACTGGTAGGAGACGCCCTGGGGCAGGGTATATCTATAACCATGAAACGCCCTGCATAATCATGCAGTGGGGGCGGGGCTCCTCCATATTGAAACAAACATGTGCCCGATCAGCAACTTGAACCTCTTCAAGAGAGATTTAGAGTTCGCTTCCGTATGTCGATGCAAGTAAAAACAAGAAAACAGGGAATCGTTCTAGGAAAACACTTTCCGTATACAGTACACCGTACGGAGCAGAGTATTATATGTACATACAAGCCATATCATCGGGTCCGGTCGCGCGTCCACCAACCCGAAGTAGAACCGACCCCTGGTCCTCGCACCGTCACCCTGCAGCACGAGTCTGCACACTAACTCCTTCAAGTCTCCCTTGAGGACGCAACGCCCCATAGGTCGGGACCCATGCGTCCGTCCTCGAGTCCGTCCTCTAGTACGGAAATCCCGATTGCGTCTAACTATTTTCACTAACAAGCCCACCAGGACGACCGTTTCGTTCCACAAACCTTAAATGGCCTTTACCTCACAGCGCCGAACGTATCTGTGCAGATAGTACGGAGTAACCAAATACAAAACGGACACACTACGCAAATATCGACCTTACCCTCCAAAGCCACGGCCCCAAAACCGTGCCACGTACTAGTACTAGTAAAATAAAAGCCGAAGAAAGGGGACCGGGCTCGCTGCCGATATCCCATGCTGAAACACCGGTTTCCAGCGATCTTCCAAGGGCACGGATATCGTTGTGGTCTGGGTTCGGGTTCGGGCTTCGCCTGGCGTCTATACCTAGGTATGGGCGTACCTACTAGTACTCACTTGGGTAGGTGGTATATCGTACGGGGTAACGAATGCCTATTACCTAGTTCAGTAGTAGTCTAGTCTAGTTTATCCATACAGGTAAGAAAACAAGAATACCGCTATATACAGCGAAAAGAAAACACATTCGGAATTATGTTGAGAGGTATGAAAGATATCTAGGTACATTAGCCTTTCGCTGACTTTCGAGCTTGACTCGTACGGCGCAGCGCCGGTCGCTTGATTGGCCCGGGCGGATTCCGAGCGATGCACGCTCTTTGCCCATCCCCGCAAGCCTTGAGACGGTGATCTTTATGCGGATTACTGGGCGCGCTGCAGTAGTGTTCTGCAGGCACGGGGACACAGGGCGGATTGCGAGAGATTTACGGATACTCCGTAGGAAGTCAGTAGGTAATGCGGGAAGGAAGAGGAAAGGAGAGGGGAAGAGGGAGAGGGGCAAAGGATCCGAAATTTGAGCATGAGGATCTTCTACTACTAGTAGTAGTACTCTCTCCGTAATTTGGTACTTTTTTTTCCCTGTTTTTTTTTTTTCTTATTTGATTTCAAGCTGCCTTTTACTCCGTTTTGGCTTGGACATATTGGTTTCTTCCCATTGTATTCAAGTTTTATTTCGATGGCGTGGAAATACCAGTACTATCATTACAGCCCGAGACCATTAACCTCGCGAAAAGAAAGGAGACAGGGAGATGGGAGGAAGAAAATCAGACTGAGCATACTACGAGGCAAGGTCGATTAATAGCCGTCAGCGGATGGGGCGATTAATTTGCGTAGGGCCCGTTGACAGCTTCAGGGGAGGGGGCACATGGGGATCAACCTAACCTAGTCCACGCTAATTGCCAGTGTGGACGGAGGAGTTACCTCTAGCAGCAATGTTTGTAGGATCTGTCCATTATTAAACTCAACTCAACCCAAACCTGTGGGAAGCAAGGCCCGTTGCTCAATTACGAGCAATGGCCCAAAATTGGACTTGAGCCATCGTAGGTGTAGTACTCCGTACATACTACACGTGCTTATAGTATTCTCCGATGCGCAGCCACGGTGCCAATCACTGGCACTCCGCCAAGGGGTGATCGTTGACAGGTCAAGTTCATTCGTCTCCATCATGCGCGCCTGTAAGTACGGTACATATCTTACGTTGTGACAGGGAGATTACTGTACGTCTTTGGATCGGAGATTGAGACTGATATTTAGCCTGTATGCTTCGTATGTACTCCATACATATGGAGAATTTGAAGAGGGGTCTAGGTCTACAGTACTCCGTACGTCCATAATACATCCACACCCAGCTCCGCTCCGTACATACGCAAGCATTTACAAAGCGAGTGGCTGGAATATGACAGGGGTAGTAGCTGCCGATCCGGCACTGCGTACAGCATTGCACAAGACAAGGGTGGAGAACCTCGTTGACTGAGCTCTCAAAATGAACCAATGGGGAGCGCGATCGGCAGTGCACGCGAAGTTGGCAATCCACCGTGGCGGCAGAAACGGCGCGCGAGTCGAAGACGACGGAGGCGTACTGGTGATTACTACTCCGTATTCAGGGCACGATGGAGTCAGTGATGTGCAAATAATCTCCCTTAGCTTCTCGCGCTCTTGTTTTTCTTTGCACATCGCTGCCACTAGTGGTGGGACGACGGGCGAAGTGTGGGGATTGATTGGCGGTCCATAGCGCGGCGAGAGCGCGGCTCGTGTGAAATCAAAGTGGCGATGAAAGGGGAGGGGGTTCAGGGGAGAATACTCCGAATGGATACGGAGGGTCTACGGAGTACGGAGTACAGTATGTACTAGTGCCTACTGTATATCCGTACGTTATGAGGTGAAGGAGAGATTGGGGAATTGGAATTGGCCGAATGGTCGGATATGGATCGTATTCCATTCGATTGGTCGGGACGTGCTGGATCTCCAGATCCCTGGCATTGGAAAGAAATCCTCCGTCCCATTGTGGTCCTTGGTTTGGTCTTGCCTTGGTCCCTGCGTGATCAGGATAGATTCACTCCGTACTGTGGGAGAACACGCTCAATCGCCACCATGATAGCATTCTCCAGGAAAATGATAGATAGCACTTGCCGAGTGACTGAAAAGTCCTGGGTCAATGACGTTCCGCAAAAATGAGGAGAAAGCTTATTCGAGGCCCTGAAAATAAACCAAGTTTGAAGCGTTGGCAAAGTGACAGAAGCCGTTGGAGTGATCGGCGGTTCCTTTGGTAAGTTATGGGGCCTGAGGCAACACTTTATTATGTCAGCAGTCGATCACGCGGTTCCATCCGGGGAGTAACCAGGGAAAGGTC